TTTTTGATATGTAAGAACTTTAATTGTCTAACCTTTATACGTTTTTTTTCTCCGCCGATATGTCAAGTGTAAACATGTATAAAAAGCAATAATAACAAGAGTATTTATTTATTAATTTATATATATATAAACATGTTATAAAGGAGGGGGAGGGTTGTGCTTTTTGTTTATTTAGGTATCACTAACAAAGTTATACTAACCATCATTATTATGCTTGGTTTGATCTATGTTTTCTTGCAAATTGTGGATCTATCTGTTTGTGATGAGTTTGATTTCTTGCTAATGCACCTAATATATCTGTCAAAGACACCACACCTATCAATTTCCCTGCAAGATGATCCTTTTCCATATAACCCATTGCGGAATCGAATGTATCAGCAGAAGAATTGGTAGAACCCACCAGGGGTTTTTTCAAAATTTTTTCAGATGATGTTATGGAATTCATTGATGCTAATGAGGAAGAGGAAGACGTTGTTGATGGCGTAGTTGAAGATGATGGTCTTTGTACGATCCATAATCGATGCGACTTTGTAGCGACCAATTTGGCAATGGTTCTAGCCAATGACGAGGTTGGATATACATGAAAGATTGGGAAAGAGTCCTTCCCGCCATTTTCCAACCCACGAGTGTTTAAAATCACCGATATGAAATGACGGCATGTGTTATTCAATAATGGATATTGTGAAGTTCTAGTGACGTGTTTGACATCTGTAACGCTAATGTTTCCAATTAAATTATATTGATCATCCACTACAGCTATTGATGAAATCCGTTCATTATACATCTTTAACAGGGCGTCTATTAGCGGTTGGTTCCCATTGACTGAGATGACTCTTGATTTACTGTTGTTGTTACTGCTATCATTATTGCTATTATTAATTGTCGATTGGCCTGCTTGTCCCTGTCCATAATTTAACACACCGATGTTTAAGTCTTTAATTGAAGAATTAAATAACGGTTCCAAATCGATAAAAGAGCGCGCATTGTCCCATAAATATTTCACCAGTCTTCTCTGTGATAGAATACCTTTGATTGTGGTCATGGTGACGTCCGTGATTGCAATTCTATGAACCCCCGAACCCAGGATATTAATTGCGTTTGATAAATTGTCTGTCTCTGCCAGTTTGAAGAATGGATCCTTTGGAGTTCTTTTAATCAAATCGCCAACTGGGACATTCCCTCCATTTTGACATTCTTTGGTCAACTTCAGATCATTAATATTAATCTTATTCAGGACTAACAATAAGTAAAAATTCAAATCGTTATAATCGAAAGTCAAATAGTTGCAACGATCGTTTGGTCTTTGTTGAACGGGCAAAGAAGATAGATGATATTGTATCAACGTATTAAACGCGTGTTCCACGTCCAGATCGCTCTGGATCGATATCAGTTTATTCGATTCGATCAATTGTGATAGCCTGATGTGCTGCCATTTGGTTGTGTGGACAGAATACAGTCCCTGGCTTGGCGTTGGTTGAATCATTGGCAGGGAAGTTAGAGACGTTTGCGAGTCGCTCTTTGATAACGTTGAGGACAGGTTGGAGATGGAGCTACTAGAGGAGTCGTTCGTCTCGGATCTCGTCAGTTCCGTAGTCGTCGTGCTATTATTAGTAGCACTCGTAATATTTCGTGGTAGTAATGGAGGCGTTGACAATAATTCCACTATCGACGTTGGCAATTTCTTACTATTCGTAATATTTTGATCCGCGAACAATGAATTATCATTAGAGGTCGGCATGATGTGTGTGTGTGGGGGGGTATATATATGTGTGAATGTATATAGATATGTAGAAGTATCTCACTATTGTTAGTTCAAATTAGTTTAAATGCACTTGATTTGCTAATTAAATATATGCCAACTGAAAAAAAACACGCAATTTTGACTAAGATGTAATTAAAATCTGCAAGAAACAGCGAAAAAAAAAAAAAAAGATCGATAGATAGATAGCTGTGGTATTTGTGGGGTATGCGATATAGAGAGAGGGCACAGAGAGCATCACAACTCTGTCGTGCACAGCGACACACCACGTGACACCACGTGACACCCACGGCTGTTGCCCCGGGCGTAAACGGACAATCGCCGAAGGCCGCAAGGGCGCGCTCCCCTCAACAAAACTGTCTGCCTCGCAAATATCGGAGGGCCACGCCGCCATCCCAACTGAAAACATCGAGAAACAGCAGCAGCAGCAGCAGCAGCAACTCCGACGGCCTGTCAAATTCACTCAACAACGACAGCGACGACTGCCACTGCCAAGTGAATTATCCGTCGATTCGTCGATTCGTCGATTCAACCGATAATTCACACAGTTTTCCACTGTTGTCTGTCCAGTTACTCGAAACAGATATAGCTTTATTACTGGCAATGGCAATGACAATGGCAATAACGACTGAATTATTTATTAACTCAACAGATTTCAGCTAGCTCAATGAATGTTCTGTTTGACGTATAATAGCACGATGTAAGGGACACACACACACACACACTACTACTACTGCTACTACTACTACTACTGCCCAACAAGATTAAAATTATAGCATAATGATTATTGTTTAAACAGAATAGTAGATGGATAGAGTCATGTCTATTATTATTAATAACTTGTTTCTCAACAATTTAAATGCTTTTCGGATTTATACAGAAACGAAAGGGTATATATATATATAGAGAAAGAGTATAATGATATATATTTATGATTTTGTTCTTGTTCAATATTTCTTATTGGATTATATTAGATTATATTAGCTAATAATACAGTACTACAATACAACAATACAATACAATACAATACAATACAATACGAAATGTCTGCTACAGCTACTATGTATCCTTCGGATCCATTAGCAGACTCATTTAGAGAAAAATTTGATGAGGTCGATCTAAAAGACGCTAATATTTTGGCTACCGGTATGGATAAGCAACAATTACGTGTGGTTAATGGATTTGGCTCTTTAATGGGCTCAAAAGAAATGACACAACTAGACTCAACCGATCCAACCGAAACTTTGAAAAATAATCAATTACGTCGTCATATCTCCGAACAACCTTGGACTTTGAATAATTGGTACAAACATTTAAATTGGTTAAATATTACCCTGGTTATCATATTCCCCGCTATCGGTTGGTTGCTGTATTTGACTAATCTAGTGCCTCTGCAACGTAACGTTTTCTTATTTTCAATATTTTATTACGGTGTCGGTGGTATCTCAATCACAGCAGGTTATCATAGACTATGGTCTCATAGATCGTATTCCGCCGCCTGGCCTTTGAGATTATTATACGCCTTCTTTGGTTCTGCCTCTGTCGAAGGCTCGATTAAATGGTGGAGTCATTCTCATAGAATTCATCATCGTTACACAGATACTCCAAGAGACCCCTACGATGCCCGTCGCGGTCTATTCTACTCTCATATGGGTTGGATGATCTTGAAACCAAACCCAAAATTTAGAGCTAGAGCAGACATATCAGATTTAAACGACGACTGGATCGTCCGTTTTCAACATCGTCATTATATTATTATAATGCTGCTATCTGCTTTCATTGTACCAACTGTAATCTGTGGGAAACTGTTTAATGATTATTTGGGTGGGTTCGTATATGCCGGGTTGATTCGTGTCTTTATGATTCAACAAGCCACGTTTTGTATCAATTCAATGGCTCATTATATCGGGACTCAACCATTCGACGATAAGAGAACTCCAAGAGATAATTGGTTGACGGCTCTGGTGACTTTTGGTGAAGGGTACCATAACTTCCACCACGAGTTCCCTACTGATTATAGAAACGCAATTAAATGGTACCAATACGATCCTACAAAAGTTTTAATTTACTCAACTTCCTTATTAGGTCTTGCATCCGATCTAAAGACATTTTCACAAAACGCAATTAATCAAGGTTTGGTTCAGCAACGTGAGAAAAAATTAGCTAAGGACACTAATTCGATCCATTGGGGGCCAAACGTTTCAGAGTTGCCCGTGTGGGACAAACAAGACTACCTCAACGAACTGAAACAAAATAACAATCTGGTAATCATCTCAGGGATCGTTCATGACGTTTCAGGCTACATTACAGAACATCCGGGCGGTCAACCGCTACTGAATTCTGCATTGGGGAAGGACGCTACAAAGGCATTCACGGGTGGTGTGTATCGTCATTCAAATGCAGCTAAAAATATATTGGCAGACATGAGAATAGCTATTTTGAAAGAGAAAAAAATGGCTGCTATCAATTTCGCTGGGAAACCACATAATTTAACTAGATCAAAATTCACTTAAGTTTACTTTTTTTTATTTTATTTTATTTTATTTTACTAATATACGTTTTATATTTTATTACAATTGTTAGATAATGGATATATTTTGTTTATATATATATATATATATATATATATATATCCGTTTTATGAATAATAATGACAAACAAAAAAAAAAGATTCTAATAATAATGTAAGTATGTACAATATACACCTCTATCTCTATGAATAAAGGATGTTATCAATATTCATAGAAACATTCCTTTGCTATCTCTCTCTCTCTCTCTCTCTCTCCCTCCTCGTTGGTTTATCTAGAAATCACTGCCTGTTTCGTTAATCAATGCCATAATCATTCTATACAAATAGAAGAAAAACATCAATAAATAGAACCCTAACTTCAGGAAACTTTCTCTCTTATGTTTTCCTAAAGTTCTGAAAATCTCAGTAGCATCCAATAATTGAGTCTTGTGATAGATCTTGTTCAAATTGTAAGCAAAAATTGGTAAATTCAATAAGAATACAAACCAATACCCACTGAATAGCATTAAGGTTGAAATCACCGCATGCAACCCAGCTTCAGGGACAATCAGTCTGTTCACCTTGGAACATAGTTCAATTGGATTGATATAGTCAGCCTCTAAATCAGCATAAAGAATAGTGAAATGGACTTGACCAAACAAATTGACACAGTTGGCGACAACTGCTAGAATAAATAACCAGGCTCCACCCATTGTACCAAAAACAAATATATCGTGTGATGAAATGCTATAGTATATATATACTGTTTGTCTATAACAATATCAAAATAGTTATTTTATGGGAACTACAATTTGTTTTGCCAATCCTCCTCTTTATCAAGATGTTAATCCTTAAAGATGTCAAAGAAAACATTCAAAAAGTTTTTTTTTCTTGCCTCTCTCTCTCTCTGCTTTTTCGTTTGGGGGCAAAAAAAATAGAATCAGGCAACTTCCGGGTAATTGAAAATCACTAGTGTGGCTTACCATTAATTATATAATAATACGGGAAAGAACGACTATTTATTTATATATATGTTTGTTCATTATCAGGGTAGACATGGGGCCATTAGTAGTGGGCTTCTAGGGTTTTCCAGGAGGCACCATTAGCGTCGACAACAGTACCGACACTCAATGCGTCGAACAAAGTTGGGAACTTGTTGGAATCAGCACCGTATTGAACAAGAGTATCAACAGTGCCTTGACTGGTCTCAAAGGCTCTAATAAAACTTAGGCCCTCCTTAGAGTTTTGACCCTTCTTACTTAGGAACCCCTGGATCCATTGTCCAACAACGATAACTAAACCGAAATATTCAGCAGTATCAATCTGCAAAGTGACAGATCTACCTTTAGTGACAGACCCATCAGTAATCACAATATCTTCCTTGGAGAAGTCGATTGGTTGCCACAATTCCATGAACTTGACACCTGGTTGATCCTTACCCATTGGGAAGATCTCCCCCTTTTCTTGTCTGACACCATTGTGGATGGTTTGCCAGTATGTCTCGACGGGACCCTCATGTTGATTAGGCATTTGTAAATATTTGTTAGAATCAAATCCAAATTCGAAAACTTCCTTTATAGTGTCTTCAGAGACCTTGGATACAGCGATGTCCTTATTTGTACCACCAAATGCCCATTCGAATGGGAAAGTGGCTTGTTCCTTTGTAGGATGTAATAATGGACGTAAAGAGATGTAATGACCATCAGTAGATTCCGAGGTAATAGTGTTGGTTTCCTCGAATAAGGAACCGTTGACTTCAAAGGCAATTCTTTTCAATAAAGCAGGCATGGTTGTAAAGTGTGTGTGTGTATCTATTTAATAACAAATGTTCAATTGACAATTGTGATCGCAATTACCCTTGTAACAACATTAAAATAATAATAATATACTGTCATTAATCTGTTTCTTATACCCCCATCCCATCCCCTTATATATATCGTCGATTACTTAATAAATTTGAAATTTCTACAATTTTAACGCGGAACGAAATTTTTCACCACACGGAAAGGCGGCGGCGGGTGCTTACATAATTTTTGCGATTACATAAGTTGCTGATACAACGAATACCAAAGCACCGTCGGACCACTGTCATACGATAAAGTCAGGAATTGTGTGTTCAGATAATGGCTGAAATACCACGTTTACGCCAGTAGTCGCTCACAGCGTGCCATTCACCATTGACTCTTTTAATGGCGTTGATAACACTCTTTGGTGCATGTTGGACGACATTATAACCCATCTGTTTCAAACTATCGATGGTTTCATGGCCTACCATGGAGATATCTTCTGTCTCTATTTCGTTTGGCAATAATTGATGATGCATACGTGGATATGCAATGGTCTCTAATAGAGGCATGTTGTACCAGTATGTTCTCACAATAGATTGAAACACAGATGTAGCTATTCTCGATCCACCTGACGCACCGACAACGAAATCAATTTGACCTAATTCATTTAATATAATTGTTGGAGTCATCGATGACAATGGTCTCTTGTTTGGTTGAATTAAATTGAATTGGGAGGCAGTTAAATTAAAAGTATTAGTCCTGTTCAATTGTGCAAAATCATCCATTTCGTTGTTGAATATTACACCGGTTAATGGATCATGAACTAAAGAACCAAATAATAAATTTATAGTAGATGTTAATGCTACTGCATTGCCAAACTTGTCAACAATACTCATATGTGTAGTCCCATGAGGTTCATTAATTTCATACAAAGGCTCATAGAATTTCCAATCATTATTTGTCTTGTAGTATGTTTCTCCTGTCGAGTCATTCAAATGAATACCTTCTAAGATCTTATCATATGCATTTTGAGTCCAGTTAGACGATAATAATAAATCATGCGCACTTGTGTAATTAATATTTCCCGTATCCCCCAGGTGACTTCTTGCACTAGCTAACCATTTCATTGCCTCAATCAAAACATATGTAGTGTCATCCTGATAATCACCACCTTGCACATTTGGAAATTTATCCATTAGTTTTAAAGCTGCCATTAGAGCCAGACCACTACTAGTACCATCACTAGTCAACACAGTTATATCATTATTGGGACTATATTGGTATCCCTGTCTTATTTTCTGAATAATGGGATTCATAATCTCAACTGTATATTGACTAAAATCATCGGCGGTCACTATACCACCATATCTTTTAATTGTGCTCACCATGGATTTCACAATCCAATGTTCTGGGTCATAAAAGGGATCTACTGAACCATTTGTTGCTAAGACATTCAGCATATTAGCCAAACGGGGCCTCACAATACGCTCACCCTTCTGTAAGACCTCTGTACCATTTTCATTAAGAACAAATGACCAATCCTGTTTGATACCCTCACATATAAAAATCGGTTCATATAATTTTAGAGTGGCCGCTAAAGCTTCATCAATAATCCAACCTTTATTACCTAAGTCCACCACAGGGTCTAACAAATCATGCCAACTGACGGTACCACTACCTTTCAATTTAAAAAATTCATATAATCCCTTTAATTCCCCGGGAACAGCTATTGACAAACCACCTATCTTTGTTTGATAATCTTCAACAAAGGAATCTGGATTTGTTGCATTAGGTGATATTTCTCTAAAATCCATCGACATATAGTCATCATGTTTAGTGTCGGCCCATGTGATATAACCACCACCACCGATCCCTGAATTAAAGAAGTTAACCATACCAATACATAGAGTCAGAGTCACCGCTGCGTCTGCCGCAGTAGCGTTTGGGAATTTATGAAATATTTGATGTAATGTCAAATTGTTACACAGTTGCAAATCTGAACTGATTGCATAATCATGACCGATTTTCCTCAGAGATTGGTCGGGACACATCGACGGTTTGCGATCTAGTGGGTCGATATCAATATCGTGGAATGGCAATTCATGAGGTAATTTGATAGGATTATCATCTTGTAAAATGTGGAAGGGTCTTTGTAAAACAGGGTTTGCAAACGTAATTGCCAAAAATAAGAAAATGGCCTTCATAATATTCAAATTAATACTAACAGCAGTATATACTTAAATCTTGCTAACTATTCGTGGTGTCAATACTTGAGTTTTTAGTGCAATATTTACTGTCATCTCACCTTCCCTTGACCTTTTATATCTATCTGTAAACCTGTTAAAGGATTATGAGATATCGCATGGCTTAAGCTCACAGAGATAAGCTGAACGGCCCGCAAAAACGGTCAGCGTTATTATTAGTCAGAATAAGCCTCGCAAATGTGATTGATAACGTACTTAAGCAAAGGTTTGAGAAAGCATAGTTGCCACCACGTATTAAGTTCAATATATTCTGATATTCAAGTATTTGTTGTTAGTTTATATATGTTGTAGTGTCGATGATATCGGTAGTGAAACTGACAAGTCCAATGTAGTTGGTGGTAATGGCGTGAAGTTCGCTGTATAGAGAGTACATGAATTTTACTTTTTTTATAAAAGTTGTCAATGCTACAAACATATCACATATCTGTACTCCCTCTTTCTCTCCTTCTTGTATTCTGTAACACTGTATATACTTGTCTTTAATGTAAAATTATGTTCATCCATTAGTACAAGAATAATAACAAACTGAAAAATTAACAGACAATATATCCATTCATAAAAGAAGCAATACCATCAAAAGCACCCGAAAGACAGGCAAGAGGCAAGAAGTACTACTATATTGAATCGACCATTGCCATTCATTTACTAGTACCACTATCAAAAAAAAAAATATGGCTAGATATTATTGTGAGTATTGCCATTCGTATTTAACACATGATACATTGAGTGTCCGGAAGTCTCATTTAGTAGGTAAGAATCATTTACGTATTGCAGCAGATTACTATCGCAATCAAGCTCACAATGAGACAAAGAGGAAAATATCAACAAGGTTACAGACAAATCGCAAGTGTAAGAAACAAAATTTAAAGGAGAAGGATCATTCCACTGTTAAGATACATTGTTCGACTAAGAAAGAAAAACGAAACCAAAGGAGAATATATGCAGCTCATATAAAGGAACTGAAGGATAGTAGTAACAGTAGTACGATATTAGCAAAGGATCTTGCTTCAATATATTATGGATCTCCTGGCTATAGCAAAGTATGGATCGACAGTAATAGGTTTGATGTTGGAGAACTCGTTAAAGCCACAGGTTTACCGAGACGTGCTAATATAGAACAACAGACCCATAGAGGTACTGAGCCCATACTTCCTAGAGATCACGTTTTCACTCGTAATGAAACAAAGACAAGTGAGGGGTCTTCCTTTGTATTGGCACCACCAATGATATTATCACAATGGAACAATACATTACCAAAACAAACTATGTATAACGACAGTGGGAATATCATGAAGACTACGTTGCAAACTGGCAAAAGACGTTTTCAAGAACATACAACCTCAGATTATCAATACAAGAGACCTAGAGTATAAGCATTTTGAGGGGAGCCAAACGGACTACAATGCTATCCTCCCCCTATATTCCAAAACTATAGATAGCCACAACATCTACCAATTGATGCCATAGATGCCACGTTAAACCCATCTAGTAATGCTACCAGTTCATATATAAATATGTATATAGTTTTCCTTACATCATCATCATCATCATTATTATTATATAATACACGGTGTCGTGCACAGTGATGTGCCTTCCCACCCAAAAAAAATTTTCAGCTGAGCGAAGGGATGGATTTGATTTATTGATTGAATGAATGATGGGAATTGATCAAGATAAACAAATTTTATTTCACCATCTTCTTCTTTAAAGTTGATTGGTATATAGATGGGTTTTATAATCGTATTGTAATTTGTATTATTTATTATACCTTTTTTTTCGTAAATACTTTAACTCAGCAATCTCAAATAATTATAAATATGTCTGCTCCACAACCAGCTAACGGTGAAGTTCCAACTTTTAAATTAGTCCTTGTCGGTGATGGTGGTACCGGTAAGACCACTTTTGTCAAGAGACATTTGACTGGTGAATTCGAAAAGAAGTACATTGCCACCATCGGTGTCGAAGTCCATCCTCTATCCTTCTACACTAACTTTGGTGAAATCAAGTTTGACTGTTGGGATACTGCCGGTCAAGAAAAATTCGGTGGTCTAAGAGATGGTTATTATATTAATGCTCAATGTGGTATCATCATGTTCGATGTCACCTCCAGAATTACTTATAAGAATGTTCCAAACTGGCACAGAGATTTAGTACGTGTTTGTGAAAACATTCCAATCGTACTATGTGGTAATAAGGTCGATGTTAAAGAAAGAAAGGTTAAGGCCAAGACTATCACTTTCCACAGAAAGAAGAATCTACAATACTACGATATCTCTGCTAAATCTAACTACAACTTTGAAAAGCCTTTCTTATGGTTAGCTAGAAAATTGGCAGGTAACCCACAATTAGAATTTGTTGCCTCTCCTGCTTTGGCTCCACCTGAAGTCCAAGTCGACGAACAATTGATGCAACAATACCAACAAGAAATGGAACAAGCTACTGCTTTGCCATTGCCAGATGAAGATGATGCTGATTTGTAAGCATCATGGCTAACATATGTCGCTTTTTCTTCCTTTACTCCTTGTGTTCTGAATAGATATCATTTTCTACCCTACACTTCTTTTGTATATACGTATTAAATATTTATATATATATTATGAAGATGTATTAGATTTCAATTATCAACAACAACTCCTTGTTTATCTAGTTTTATCATAACGATAACTGTTCCTTTATACCTTTGGAACAGTTTCGTTTATTTTTGCAATGCCAAGTCTGTGTGATACAGAGAATGAACCACTGGAAAAAATCGTTATTTCTGTGTGAAGCGAAGAAATAACGATTTTTATTTAGGTAACACGTACATTAAACATATAAATATATATAAATATAAATATAAATATATTCACTTAAGCTAGAACTGGTGTTTCTTTTTGGTGATAGCATTATTAGTGGGTACATACAGGCAATAATATATTACAGATTGATATTTTAGATACACATAGAATAATGGCTACTATACTTTATAATCAGAACAGTAAAGTGATTAAATGCGAGGACTCTGATCTAACAGAGACTCGTGAGATTTCAATCAATCAAATTAATAAATTATCTGCTGCCATCATTGCAGAATCTAATCCAAACTTCACTCCACAACCAAACGATGAACACTCTAAGATGATAAAGAGTCTCTTTGAGAGTGGCCTTGCCATGCTCAAACAAAAGAAGATGCAAGACGCGTTAAAGAATATTGCACTGGCTGTAGATATGGCACAACGTAGTAGGGCACCTTATGAAGCCTTTGGGATCCAATTACAAGAAATTCAATTCATGTTGAGACACAAGATCGATTTGTCTCTAATTACGGGACGTTATTTGGACGCATTACAAGATATAGAGTTCTTAATGAATACAGGGATGGCTCAAGCTGATGTATATATTAGAAAGTCAGATGCTTTATTGAAATTATCGCAATTCGATGATGCAAGAATTTGTTGTGAAAGAGGTCTAAGTTTACATCCAAATGAAACTAAGTTAAAGGCATTGATGTTGGAGATCAACAGAAGACTAGCAGAATACAATGGTGACAATTAATATACACATAGTTTTATACATATACATATTTAAATACTAAGATAACAAGTACTATTACTATATATATCTGTCTCTTTGCAGTCATCCACCACCCTATTCACACTACTTGATGAGTGGCATTTTTCCTGCTTTCTGCTTTTTTTTCCATTTTTGGCTGTGAAACGAAAAGTTCCAAGAAAATTTTGGAAAGTTCATCATCACCAATTATAATAAATATATAATAGAAAGGAAGAGAAAAGAAAATATTGCATCGACTTTTTATGCAGAGGTACAAGTGAGATAGAGAGCATTATAGGACCGTATACACATCACACCTTACTGGTACATCGAATCATGTCTTCACAAAGTATGCCCTCGTTGGTTCACAACAACAATCCTAATGCTGTTACAGAGATAGAAGTCTCTATTGACTCATTCATTGCTAAATTGAAAAGAAGACAAATTAGTGGATCATATATCATTGCATTGGAGACTTTGCAACTATTAAAACGGTTTATCTCTGCGGTCCGTTGGAGTCACGTCAATGAATTGATCGCTCAGATTAGAGAGTTGGGGAACCGTCTGGAGAAGGCAAATCCAACTGCTTTTGGTTGTGGGAATGTCATTAAGAGAATTCTTGCTGTCTTAAGAGATGAAATTGAAGAAGATATGAAAGAATCCCAAAACGCAGGAGCTTCATCTTCTCCTTCAGCAAACAATTTGAATGATAGAAATAGCAGTGCTGTAGGGGATGTATCTCAAGCAGAACCTTTGATTGCCTCTATGTTTAATCTTTTACAAAAACCAGAACAAAATTCACAAGATTTTTATGAATCAAAGTCGAAGACAAAGACGGATTTCCGTCAAGTAGTGATACAGGCCATTAAGGACTTGATAGATGAAATTAAAAATATAGATGATGGGATTCAACAAATTGCAATCGATTTGATTCATGATCATGAAATTTTATTGACACCAACGCCCGAATCTAAAACCGTCTTGAAATTTTTGATTAGAGCTCGTGAACGTGCCAATAGAACTTTCACCGTTCTAGTGACAGAAGGTTTCCCAAACAATACACAAAATGCTCATGATTTTGCTAAAAAATTGGCCCAACATGATATAGAGACCATTATTATTCCAGATTCTGCAGTGTTTGCGTTAATGTCAAGAGTCGGTAAAGTCATTATTGGTACAAAGACTGTTTTTATCAACGGTGGTTCCATCGTATCATCCGCTGGGGTGTCATCTGTATGTGAATGTGCCAGAGAGTTTAAGACCCCGGTATTTGCTGTAGCTGGTCTTTATAAATTGTCTCCATTGTATCCTTTCAATGTAGAGAAATTTGTTGAATTTGGTGGTTCACAACATATTTTACCAAGAATGGATCCTAGAAATCGTTTGGATACTATCAATAAGATCACGGATTATGTCCCACCCGAAAATATAGATATATATATCACGAATATTGGTGGGTTTGCTCCAAGTTTTATTTATAGAATTGCTTGGGATAATTACAAACAAATTGATGTTCATTTGGATGGCAAACAAAAATGAAAATTGTATATACCGTAATCCTGATAGAACTCTACTCTCTAGCATCATCTAACATAAAATATTTATAATAGATCATTATTAATCTCATCTTCCATCATCTTTAATTCAATATTTTATGTATATTTACTGATAATTATCTTACTGTATAAATTACAAATAACCAGTGATAAGTATTTTTTTTTTGTTTGACCTTTTTTTTTGTTTGGTCACCTAAAAAGCAGAAAACTTCTGAATATATTAAAATATATAAAATAGCCTTTTACCATTAAAAAACCTTATCCTATTTAATTAAATAATTACTTCAAACCCTCACATTACGTATCGATGACTATGACTATTCAGAAACTTGTTGTATTTGGTGGGAATGGATTCTTAGGGAAAAGAATCTGTCAACAAGCAGTTCTTAAGGGAATGCAGGTTACCGGGATATCCAGGTCTGGCAAGCCACCAGTTCCATTGACAAACAGTGATAAACATTGGATAAACGAAGTATCATGGAAATCTGCAGATATTTTTAACCCAGATTCTTATGGTCTTTATCTGAAAGATAGGCCTAACGTTGTTAATACTATTGGAATCTTATTAGAAAATGAAAACTACAAAAAAGAATTGAAAAACGGTTTCTCGTTACCTAGCTTATTTAAGAGAGCTCCCAATCCATTATTATACCCAAGAAATTCAGAACTACGTTTAAAATCAAATACCAATTTTACTTATGAAAGAATGAATACAAAGAGTATGATGATACTAGCAGACACATTCAAGTTAATCTTGGAGAAGAATGAGGTACAATCGGCCTTAAGACCGTCGTTGACTTATATATCTGCTGATAAAGGGTTTTTAGTTGTCCCTCAAGAATATATTCACTCAAAGCGTATCGCAGAGTTATATTTATTAGACATGACAAAAAATATGACAAATCCATTCAGACCTATAATAATACGGCCTGGATTTATGTTCGACGAACTGAACACTACACAATTCAATGATGTTAGAACAGTACTGCATGATGGGTTAGAAGTATTGAATTGTGCTAATAAATTGATATTGCGTAATCAATTCCAGATTGTTAATGACATAATAAGACCAACTATTTCTACTCAACAAGTAGGGAGATCACTTGTAGATAAACTCAATGACCAAAGGTATAGTGGCATATTAACTCTTGAAGAGATGCTCGACAGATAGATCCCTATGGAAATTATGAAAAGATAGTTTAGGAAGCCAACAGTGGCCATGCATATTTTGTTTATGTTTATGTTTTCTTTTTTTACTCTGCTTATAAATATTATATATATACATGAATGCTTTATGATTATTTTCTCAAGAATGCTTGGTATGCATCTTGGGATATTTGAATATTACCTATAGTTTTCAAATGTTTCTTACCTTCCTTTTGTTTCGCCAATAATTTTTTTCTTCTTGAAACATCTGAAGCATGCAATTTTGCCAGCACATCTTTACGACGGGCCTTTAATGTTTCACGAGCAAGAATCTTATTATTGACTCGAGCTTGTATAACGACTTCGTATAATTGTGAATCGACATATTCCTTGAACTTCTTAACCCATTCTCTCCCTATCTTTTCGGCTTGTGATTTATGAACTACTTGTGATAATGCATCCAAACTTCTTCCATTGACTAGTAATTCCAATTTAACAATATCAGACTCCTTATAACCGCAATCTTCATAATCAAGAGTAGCAAAACCCTTGGTAGAAGATTTCAATTTACCGAAGAAATCGTCGACCAGTTGAGATAATGGGATGTGATATTTCAATAACACAGAGTCTCTGACATCTAAATAGGAAAGCTCGATTTGTTCTCCACGTGCATTGTTACATAATTGGATTACTGTACCAAGATATTCAGTTGGTAGGGTCATTATTGCCTCCACATAAGGTTCTTGTAAAGATTTCAATCTCGTTCTGTTTTTGGATGTTGAGTCAGGGAAATCATCTGGGTTCCTGACAATTTTTTGGATATCATTATCATATTGAACAAGATATGGTACTGTTGGGTGTGTGATAATAAGTTTTGATCCATACTCCTTTTCTAAACGTTCTTTAAAAACAGAGGCATGAAGTGATCCTAAAAATCCAAGTCTCCACCCTTGCCCTAACGCATTTGACGTTTCTCTTTGTAATGTAACAGATCTGTCATTTAAAACTAACCTATTAATATCATCATCCATAATCTTTAAATCTATACCATCAGCAGGAAAAGCTCCTACAAAGACCATAGGTTTGGGTTCTTCAAAACCTGGTAAAAGTTCAGTTTTTTTTTCTTGGGATACATGAACTAAAGTGTCCCCAAGTAATGCATCTTTAAAATCCTTCGTACCTGGAACTATGTATCCAACTTGGCCAGCTTTTAGGTTTCCTGTAGCTGTCTGGTTTGGATACATTATTCCGATCTCTTTCACTTCAAATCTCTTCTTCATCCTTCCGCTTGAAATTTTATCACCTTTCTTCACTTCCCCATCGACCACTTTCACCAGCATGACGACACCAAGGTACGAATCATACCAGGAATCTAATATTAAGGACCTGAATGGTTTCTTAATCTCACCGGTAGGAGAAGGAATTGCGTTTATAATTGCAGGTAATAGTTTTTCTTTGATATTCAATCCACTCTTAGCACTGATCTTGACAATATCTTCTCTTTTAAAACCTAACGATGAAACAATTTGGTCTTCGACTTTCTGAACTTCTGCGTTCAATAAATCGACTTTGTTAATCACAGGTAGCATTTTAACTCCATAATCGTTAGCCATTTGGAAATTCGCTACAGTTTGAGCTTGAACACCCTTTTGGGCATCTACAAGTAAAATCGCACCATCAACAGAAGAGAATGCTCTGCTAACTTCACCTTTAAAATCTACATGACCTGGTGTATCTATTAATTGTAATAAGTAATCTTTATAGAACATGGTGCATGTTTGAGCCTTGATCGTAATACCACGTTCTCTTTCAACTTCTAATTTGTCTAACACTTGAGCATTTGCATCAGCATCTGAAATAACGTCAGTAATCTCCAATAATCTGTCACTAAGTGTGGATTTACCATGGTCAATGTGTGCTACAATAGAAAATACCCTGTATTTATCGATAGGGATTGCATTAATCCTGTTAGTCAACGTCTGATTAAATCTCTGAAATGTTAGCCTCGTCACCCTAGATACCTGCCATATTCGCAGCATCCTTCATCAATATAGATTTACGTTGTCAAAGAAATATCTTTATGATTAGTTTTGCTTTGTATTATCTCAATAGTTTACCTGTGTCCCCTAGTTAATATAGTCTTTTATATGAATCTCGATGGACAGGCTTTAATAAAGCAAACGCTTCATTGTTTGTTTTTTGTATTGAAGACAACTATAAGGAACTTGAATATATTCAAACTTAAAGGGCATCGCGTAATAAAACACGTTTATTAAGGGCAAATAAAGTGGATTTTAATTAATAACTTGAGCATTAGTTGCCTCTGAGTTGGGATCGTTACTTTGTTATGAAACTTAAAGTTGTATTAAACGATCAGCAATCGCCAGATGATTATAAATTATTCCGGACAGCAGTCTCTACGGTGGCGTCACTCCGAGATACAGCTGTATTGAGATTCACTGACGATGGATTGACCATCATATCCACCTCTAAAGTGTTCCTTAATGACAGTACAAATACATCTAGTCTACGTGGGGAAACGGACCAGTTATGGTGTCATTTACCAAGAGATATGTTTTTGTCATATAAATTGGCATCTATAAGAAAATCTAATACTGTCACAATGGAATATAATTGTGACGCTTTATTAACTGCTTTCAAAAGGTTTGATAAGATTATAGGTCAAGGTACGCCGACAGATTTTAAGATATCGTTAATACCCAGCTCACAATGGAATCAAACGGCGCCTCAACATGATGAGGATGGTGAAGCTGTGAATCCCATGCACATATTAAGCATCACATTTCAAGAGGTTGTGTATGTAAATAATGCACAAATAAATAATACAACATATGGCAATGATACACATAATGGGCCAAGTTATTCCAATGGTGGGACTAATAATAAAGTCATCGTGCATAATTTTAAAGTGCCAGTGAAATTATTATTCAAGGTACAGGATTTGTCAATCATTGAGCCCAGCATTATTCATGAGTCCTTAATCTTATATGACTTGCCACCAAGTACCGGGGCATTTGGTCAAGCTTTCCTCAATTTTATGAAAAGAATTGAACGATATTCGAATGTCCGTGACATTCGACTACATAGTGTTCGAAGGAAGGATACTGACGATGACTATAATGAAAATGAGAATAACGATCAATTAAAGATAATAATTGATAATGAATTACATTGGTATTTAGAAATATGTTGGAATGGACCGTTAACTTCTAGTGTGGTTCAAGACGATGAATCTGGTGATGAATCTCAACAATCCCCCCAGCGGCAACAAATCCCCCCAGCGACAACAACAGCAACATCCTCGCTTCTTGCTAGAACTCGACAACAAATTTCAGGGGCGGACTCTCAATCAGACTCAAGAGAGAAGAATGATATGTTTAATATTGAAAATAGTGAGGCCATGATTGGTCATAATTACTCCTCCACAGAAAACAGCATGTTAGATGACGACAACAATTACAGTACCATGAATAAAGATTTATATAATGTGTCGAAGATGGTTGAAAAAGCAGAGCAAGAGAACAATTTATTAAATGAGGTGATTATACGAGCAAAGGACTGGAAAGTTTGCTCAAAATTGTACCCTGTATGTGATGAGGCTGTGCTCCTGATCTCTCATGATTCTTCATGCGTATTCCAATGTGCATTACAGGGTGACACTTCAGAAGAGGAAAGCGGACGTTTAGCATACTACATCACGAGATCAAAGGCGTTGCCATGATCATTCTTAACCTATAGCATACCTATATATATATATATATATCCATTAGTATTGTAATGAAACTGTTCTGATTTTGCTTAGCCGTTCTATAGTCATTTGATCTATTTGACTGCTAACATCCGTACACCCTCAGATACCATCTGTACACCGCACCCACTACCACATATTTTTCTATCATTTCAATAAAATCTATTTTTCAACGAAGAAAAAACAGAACAAAATTCTGTCGCCCGAGGTGAACCGTCTGGTGCTTACTATTATTGTATTGTATTGACCTTTCACATCATTTTCACTTCCCATACACACTTTACACATACCCAATACTAATACAAGAAAGTGGATAGTTAAGAAGGCAGGTTTGTTAAATGCAACAAGTTTTATTTAAACTATCCTGAAAGAAGACCATATAACACAAATACGCAAAAATGGTATGTTAGACACGAACTAATGGATGGAAATGATGGAAAAAGAATGGAATAAAGAGAACAATGGTTAATAATATATTAAAAGACATTCAAAAACGTTTAATTAGATTAGATTAAGAAGAGTTACTATGATATAATCAATAATATGAGTGCACGGATGATCGTAAACGTGGTTTCTTTGAAGATGTTACGACAAATCGTAATGACATAATATTGTTTTATTCTACTTTGTTCTTTACTTGAGCGATAGACATCCAAATAAACTAAAAAAAAAATATTTTTTACTAACAAATAATGTATGATATTTATTTTATTGATATCAACGTGATTATTATTACAGGCTAAAGTTCATGGTTCTCTAGCTCGTGCTGGTAAAGTTAAATCTCAAACTCCAAAGGTCGACAAGACTGAAAAGCCAAAGAAGCCAAAGGGTAGAGCTTACAAGAGACTTTTGTACACCAGAAGATTCGTCAACGTCACCCTAGTTAACGGTAAGAGAAGAATGAACCCAGGTCCATCCTCTCAATAAGTGTAATGTCCCTTTATTATTATTATTATTATCATTAAATTTTTTATAAAGACAAATATTACTACTTTGTTACTATTAACTGCAAACTACATGGAATGAAAAAACTATAATGATGGACCTACGGTAAATGATGGTTCGTCATTGAATACAAAAAAGGTTCTGATTTCTGTATAAACAAAAATATAATTTACTTCACATATTCTTTAAGTAAAATATTATTACCAATAAAGAAATTTCATATTAATTAAATTAGCTCGGCTTTATACTTCAATTGATTATAGTATTGCATTCGTCGAAGTACATACTCAATATATAAATTTCTATATAAATGTATCCAGACACATCATCTTGGGAATCCAATATAATCCTACATTTGATTTCCAAGATGGTGATGGCATCAGTAGCATCAACTTTACGTATGTTTTAGATTATAGTTCAGTAAAAATAACGTTACCCTCAGGTTGCAAAATTTTGAAAAATTATTTATTGTCATTTCCAAGAGCTGATTATTAGATTTAAAAGGTCATCGCTCTTGAATTACACTAAGAAGCCCAGTAAATGCTCATTCAAATATATATAGAATTAACTACAACTCTCTAATATGACAGACATTATAACTACAACCCAATTAAAAGAGCTTCAGAAGGCTATTAGAGATCAATTTGTCACGCTTTATAAGAATAATACAGATGCTTTGCGAGCCATCTCATCGAGTACCAAAATCAAGGATTCTACACCTTGTGCCGAACTTGTAAAGCTTGCACAACTTATTAAATCACATACAACCAAGATCGGTATTATATTGAATCCAGAAACATTTACAGAGGAAAATTATAACGCTACATTCAAAGAATTAAAATCATTTATTGATTATGTTTTCTTCTATTTTAGCATATTACCATTATTTTACAAAGATGAGGAATACCCAGAATTTATGTTAAAGAAGATTGATAACGCAACATTGGAATTACTTAATGGTATGGATGTTCTTTGTGAGGAATTGGATAAGAAATTTGAACATCATGACACTGATGAAGATAGATTATTGTGTGTAGGGATAATTTGGAATAGTTGTGACACTCTTGAAGATATTGGTAAGAAAGGTAAGTTTGGGTTGCTTGCAGATTCAATTAGAGAGAGTAATGGTTTAGTCGATGATGTGCTAATCGAGGTGGACGAATTTTTAGAAGAACCTACATTGGGTAATGGTTTCATGTTAGACGATGGATTTGATTCAGAAGAGGAAGATGATGAAGATGAAACACCAAAGATTCTGGAAGATGATAAAGAAACAGTAGAAAAACTTACCGAGTTTTTAAAGATATGGAAAACAAAATTGAAGATGATTAAATTGTTATTATCGTCATTCACTTCCACTATATCTTCTACTACTTATAAATCTACAAATAAAAAGGGTTCTATCCTGGATGACTTATATTCACAACATCAAATTATAACACAAAATATTGATGAATTGATAGGAGATGTATTTATGACAGAATCTGTATTTGAATCGAGCGATTTTGAAGAACAAATTGAATTGTTGAATAAAAGTTTGACTTCGATTGTTTCTGTGATGAAAAAATTGAACGATGAAGATGTTAAGAAATCTAAATGGATCAACGTTTGGGAAGTTAAATATTTTGAAAATTAAGAAGGCAAAAAAAAGTATCTATTTCTTATTTAATTGTTTACGTATAACATTGCATTATCATTATCATAACATAAAATTGAAGTATATTAATTTAAAAGTTTCATTCAATTAGTTTATAATGTTGGAATATCATGTTTTGGACCTAATGGAGTTAAACTCAAAGTATTACGAAGCTTTCTTGAACGTGTGTAAAATAGTTTAATATGATCAAAGTTTGTAGTTTCTTTGAAACTTGGATGATTCCAATATAAGTTCTTTAACCATTTTAAGATTAGCGGATAATCTGTTCTTATCAATTTGTAATTACAAGTGAAATGGTAACTATAAACAGAATCGAAACGAATTATAGTAGTAAATAATCTAATATCAGCATCTGTGATATGATCGACAAATAAGAAAAACTTTTTCAAAATTTCATCTTCAAGCTTGTATTCTTTTGATAATTTTTCGTATCTTAATTTCAATTTATTTTCAACTTTGTCAAGCGAATTGTATAATTTTATAGTTTCTTCTTCAAATATAGATTGACTCTTTGCTAAACCAACTTTATAAACACCATAATTGATATTTGGACCTAACCATTGATTATAATCATCCAATTCCTTAATTAGATCCTTTGGTGCTAAATCGACATTTTTCTCAGCATCATTTGGATCAATAAATTCATTGAAGGAAGAATTCAATATCCTAATGATTTCACCACTATCATTATTAACAATAGTCTTGGTCTTTAAATCCCATAGGATTGGTACAGAAAATGATCCTTTATAATCTTTATTACTCATCATATAAAGTTCTTTTACACTCTTTACACCGTAATTTGGGTCGAAGGATCCATCGATGAATAACCTAGAGGAATCATCAGGAAGATCACCAATTGGGCCTGACGTGTCATCTTTAAATCCATGAACACCACCATCAACTTTATAAGCATTTTCACCCATTTCTTTAGGATCTGCTTGCAAAAACTTCCAACCTTCATCACCTAACATCCATTGAGCAACAGAGACTCCGATGACATTGTTTAGGCCCTTAAGAGCTCTCGTAATTAGAGCTCTACTAGCGTATGGGCATCCAGCAGCAATGTACAGCCAGTATCTACCCTTTTCTGGTTTATAGACGGGATGATCTGGAGAAATAGTTTCGTTAAATGATACGATATCTTTGGACATAATTATATGTATGTAAATGTTTTTATTCTTGAGTGAATATGTTTTTTGATATTGATTGTTATTATTTTAATGAACAATTGATAGAATAACTAACTCAAATGATCACAAACAATGTCTATATCTATATATATATATATTTATTTACTGAAAGCTCAAATTAAAGAAGAGAATAGCCTTAATCATCATAATAAAGAGATATTATTTGTTGCGTTGTCTTAGTAATAGCATCATTAACGTGCAGCCCCTTCTCTTGACAGATTATCCCTTTAATTTGTCGCTCTCTAGGGCATCTCTTTCACTATGATTTTTTAGTGATTTTTTCTGTTTGCTTAGTCAGTTAAAATTGTGTATATGCATCAGCCTCGTACAATATGATTTTCAAAGAAAAATTAGTCAGCGTGTCTTTCACATACAATTTCTGCTAAGATCAACGCATGACAGGGACCTATGTATGACTGTTGCTAATTACTAAGTTTATAGTCTGTTCATAATACAAGTATGTTAATTGTTGATAGTGCTGGTTGTTAAATTCATGCTGCATTATTACTAGACACGTTTACGAAATTCCTCAACCACCACCACACCACATTCATAAATATGTTCTAAACTGAAATAACTACTTGTGACAGTGTAGAGACATTATGGATAGTATTACCAATTTTAGTCACTATATCATACTAAAATATTGTGTATATTATTTAGTAGCATTACAATAATACATCATCTCATGTCTCGTTCTCCCATACGACAAGTGAAATATCAATAGCTTCGCCTTTGCCAGCCACAACATCTATATATATATATATTATTTACTGCCGCCTCTCACCTGTACTCTAACTATTTTATTGAGGTTTATAATTACACAGCTGTTATCGAATTCCCAATGGTTTTTTATGTTTATTTGCTGGCACTAATGGCATTTGCTTTCTCTCTACCTGCTAATCTTTTGGCTGCGCGTCGTTCCCAGTTCCGTTCGCCGCTGGTCAAATATTTTCACCAGCCAAAAGAGAAGAATATTGTGTGTGGTGCGCGCAGAGAAGAGTGCGCACGCCGAATGATAAATTGCCCAGCTTTTATATTCTGCATACTGAACGAGATGAGATGTCAATAATTGAGATGAAATAATAAGCTAATAAAGAAAGTGTCAGTAAAGACGGGATATTGATTGAATTAGTTAATGCTTTACTAACGGTGTGGTTTGTTTACATTCCAGGTTTGTTATGTAAACATATCGAACTTTATTTGAGTTATGTTATTCTTTCACATTTGTTTTTGTTTATGTTTTTGATAACAATGCGCTGTGGTGTGTGCACTGATTTACCAATATGAATATCATTTGGGGTCAAACATGTTCGATACATGCTGTAGATAAAACAAGGATTAAAATTGAGAAAGAAATTATGTATTTGAACAGAATACATATATAAGGAAGGCAAGAGTGTTGAAGGAATGGTTGTGGTTGTATTTGGTTTTCAATTTCTCTTTTCTCATTTTATATTTTTAACATAATAATAACAATAACAATAATAAAATCATTCGTTTGTTAGTTCTGTTTACTATTATTTCCACTCGTTTTACAAATAATAATCTATAATATAGCCCAATCCATTCATTCTTGAGGCTTATTTTCCCAACTAATTGTCTTTCACTTTACACATTTTTTATTACATTCGTTTTAATAACAATTTAAACCAAAAAAAATACAAAATAATTATTTCAACTCTACACACATATCTTTTTGAATTAATCTCTAATTTTTCTTTCTAATAACAATGCTACAAACACAATTCCTTATAATTACAACTATACTATTGCTTCGCTCACTGGTATACGCATTCGATAACAATGCTCAAAACAATGTTGCTGTCTACTGGGGTCAAAACTCTCATGGTTCTCAAGAAAGTCTAGCCACCTACTGTCAATCCTCTGATGCAGACATCTTCTTACTATCATTTGCTGATGCCTTCCCAACTATTACTCTAAATTTCGCCAACGCCTGTTCAGAAACTTTCGCTGATGACTCTGGTCTTCTACATTGTTCTCAAATTGCAGCTGATATCGCCACTTGTCAATCCCTAGGTAAAAAGGTCCTATTATCCTTAGGTGGGGCTAGCGGTGCTTACGGTTTCACTGATAACTCCCAGGCTGAAACTTTCGCTCAAACTCTATGGGATACCTTTGCAGAAGGTACAGGTGTTACCAACCGTCCATTCGATTCAGCTATTGTTGATGGGTTTGACTTCGATATTGAAAATAATAATAACGTCGGTTACGCTGCTTTAGTTACTAAATTAAGAACTCTATTTGCTACTGGGTCTAAACAATATTATATCTCAGCTGCTCCCCAATGTCCATACCCAGATGCTTCAGTCGGTGACTTATTAGCTAACGCCGATGTCGATTTCGCATTTATTCAATTCTATAACAACTATTGTAATGTCGAGACTTCTTTCAATTGGGATACCTGGGTGAACTATGCTGAAAATATTTCTCCAAACAGTAACATTAAACTATATTTAGGTTTACCAGGTTCTGCAACTGCTGCTGGTTCCGGTTATATATCTGATCTTTCCGTATTAAAGACTACCATTGAAAAGATCTCTACCTTTGCTAACTTTGGTGGTGTTTCATTATGGGATGCCTCTCAAGCCTTTAACAATGACATTGATGGTGAAACTTATATCCATGCCGTCAAATCCCTACTAGATGATAACGTTTCCTTTTCTTCTGCTACCACAACTACTGCTGCTGCTAATACTCATTCTTCTTCCAGAATTACTACTACTTTGCAACCAACTACTTCCACCACCTCCGAAGATGATACCGTTACAACTATTTCATCTGAAGATATTCCAACTGATACTTCAAGTATCGTTATGACTACCACTACCTCTAATGTTGCCCAAGTGACAACTACTTCTGATGATATCAATAACAGTGTTACTGCTACCACTGAAGGTAAGAATGTCGATGAACCATCAGTTAGAACCCGTTCCCAAGAATCTACTGTTGTAGATGTTGGCGCAACTTCTACTACCGCTATGGCTACTACTTCTGATATTGCTGCTACAACAGCTGCTACAACAGCCACTACTATGGCAACCGTTGCTACTACATCCAATGCTCAAGTTGCAACTGCTACCACCACTACATCTTCTGCTTCTACTGATTCTGCTGCTCATACCATTGCAAAGAATTTAAACACTCAATATGCCGCTGGTCAATATAACGGTCAAGCTACATGTACAGATGGTGAACTTGCCTGTTCTGCAGATGGTTCCTTTGCCATGTGTAACTTCGGTTCATGGGTATCCATGCCATGTGCTGCAGGTACCACATGTTATGCCTATGATTATGATAATACCGTGTTGACTCAATGTGGTTTCACAGAACAAAAGGCACAATTCATGTAAATTCCAACAAAGACTAAATAAGTCTATGGATTTGGCATTTATTATCATTTATTTTTCTTACAATAATTCGGGTATTTCTTTTCTTTTCATCTTCATTCTTTTCATATTTCTTTCTCAAAACGTTCATTCATAAAGACAATCGTCATATATACAATAATATAAATATTTACATAAAAATTTTAAACATTCAAAAAAATAATAATAACATAATTGTTCTATTAATGTGCTAAATTATAAACACATGCATTTTGTTTTATTATAATTGTAAATAATATGCGTATACACGAGATCTAATCTCAATGGTTTCGTCGTCCTCTTCAAACATTGGTTTCCAATTAACCATTTCTATCTTCGTTACTTTGAAATTGTAATCATCCCTTGCAGTATCGAAGAATTGTAAATCATTAGGCAACAATTTTGGTCTATGTGGAGAAAATACAACTAAAGCTCTACCGTCTTCTTTTAAAAGATCCTTTGTAGTCTTCAATAATTTGTGATGTTCCGTATGATTAAACACTAAATCACTTAATATAATGAAATCGAATTTTTCATTGTTATTTAATTTTAAGATTTCATCATAACTGTTCCCCCAAATGTAACCTTGGACATGAACATTATCTAAGTTATTACAATTGTGTTCAATATTGGAAATTAGATCGGCATCTGGATAATCTGTAGAGACGACATTCTTCGCACCAACTAAGCCTGATACAATTGATGGTAATGCACTGGCGGCACCTAATTCTAATACACACTTACCAATGATTTGTTCAGGATGGTTATCTATATATTGGGCTGTATATTTACCAGCATTCCATAATAAATGACCCCATAATGGTGAATTCCCAACTAATTTCAATTCGATTTCTTTCTTTTGGGATTTGGATTCCGGAGATATGTGATCTCTAGTGTATGTTACAAAATGTTCCTTTGGACGTGGAGGACGGAAATCCTCTGGTTCCTCGAACAAAGCACCACTCAACGATTCGATATCAGACATTATTTTTTATTTTTTATTTTCTTAGTTTAAATATATCAGATGGTATCCTGATGTTTATTTTTGGAGGTATAGACTGTAGATTAACGACTAATGATCGCAACTTCTTGTACAGTAATCACCAATTTAGTCTTTAATTATTGAAAAAATTTTACAGTTTTCGTTGTTTTGTCATATATGTTTTTTGTTTTTTTTTCAGGAAGCGATGAGCATCACATCACCATCGCCAATGAAGAAAACAGTAATGTTGTTATAATTAGTGAAATATTAATGAAGTGACAGGGAGTGGGAGTGGGAGTGGGAGTATAGAGAGTGATAGTACTGGCATTTATGACTGCTGTTGTGGTAGGATAAATATTGCTAGTATAATGTGCTGGGTTTTGCATATATAATTCTCAGTCATATATTATTACCTTGTAGTATATTTGAAAAAGGTAGTATACTAACGATCTCCACATCCTTACAACCCATATTATGTCTAAAGATGGTTTAAGTACATTATCTCATAGTAGATGTAGTAGTCTATAAGCTTATTCCAAACTATAAACTTTGATTATCTGACTATTTATCCGACTATTTTTATATTTCATTTCATCATCTTAGCTTTGTTTACCCAACAATTAGAGTTCGGCACTTATTTGTCTAACTCCGAGTGGAGAAAGAAATTTTGGAAGCGACAATGGCGACAGTAGCGGCTATCAGATACACTCATACTAAAACAAAATATCTCCAATCCTATGATCCTACATATATAAAGGAAGAAAGATCAAAGTTTATATCGCTAAATTAGGTTTTAGAACCATTTTTTATCCTATATTTATTAAGTTATAGATTCTTATATATACCTTTATTTATGATATCCACATCATCATGAAGACAAGTCAGGAAAAGATTGCCTATAAGGTGGAACCACCTTTTTTCATCATACAATTTCAGTCTCCAGATACTTTAAATGCAATGACATATGATGACTATATCTACGTAACTACATTATTAGAACTATCTAGTGGGAATCCAGATTGTTATTTCACTGTATTGGAAAGTTCAGGAAGATTTTTTTCAAGTGGGGCAGATTTTAATTCTATTCCACCGAATGTTAAAGATAAAAATGGTATAAAACAAAATTTAGACCCAAAGGTGATTCAAAAATGGTTAGAAAATTTCTTATGTAAGAATCAGTACATTACTCAATCATTTATCAGGCACGATAAGATATTAATTGCTTGTTTAAATGGTCCAGCTATTGGTTTAAGTGCCGCTATTATATTATTATGTGATTTAGTGTATGCAATGAATGTCGAAGAAACTTATCTTCAATTTCCCTTCAGTACTCTAGGTTTGTCTAATGAAGGTGCTGTGTCATGGACATTACCCAATAAATTAGGGAGAAACAAAAGTTTCGAAAAATTGTTGTTTGCACAAAAGGTTTATGGATATGAAATTCAAGGATCTGTATTACTCAAATCAGCAATTGACTACCATCAACTAGAGGTCAATTGTAATCATGATAAAAGCAAGATTGTTCAAACTTTTAATGAACTGATGATCGAAGAACTTAGACAAAAATGTAAAAATATTTTTTTGCCTACTGTCCTTAAAATGAAGGCTTTATTAAAGGATGAATCATTAACTTCTCAACTAGAATTAATTAACACTAAAGAAGTTAATAGTGGGTTACCATTTTGGGTGAATGGCATACCACAAGGTAGATTCCAAGTTTTGAAAAATTTAAAGAAAGCTGCACGTGAAAATAAGAATAAATTATAATATTATTTGTACTTGTCCTATTTTATATACCTTTATATATTATCACTGATCTCATCAATATCTTCTCGATCTATAGTCTTTAATATTATTTGTTTTGATTCACGATCAATAGCTGCTTCTTCCCTATTAGATTTTTTATTAGAAACATTGACACCTGTTAAAATTAGAAAGACTAATATAACAATTGCAACTAATCCACTTCGAGTAGTATGCCATCTTAAGTTTTCAATATCTAGCTTAATCCCCGCTAAGATATTTATAGATATCTTATTGCTACAGTCTCGTAAACTCATGTTTATTCTTCTATACAATAAGGTATTATCCATTTTTTGATTATTAAAATCAAGTTTTCTATCTTTCTCTAATATATCTATAACTTCTTCATTCAGATCATCCAAATCTGAATTTAAATCTCTCTTTAATCTAGTTATTTGTAAATGATGTAAATTAAATTGAGAATCTCTTGAATTCGCAATAATGAATTTTATTTCACTTTGTAATGAATTGAATAAGTGTAATTGTTTATCAATTTCAAAATCTCTTAAATATTTCTCATTATAATTCAAATAAAATTCATCATTTAATATATTCATCATTACTTTCATTATTGCTTGTGACTGTAAATCTGAAAATCCATTATCTAGCAATTGTGTATTTATACACATTGTATCAACTTCGTTTTCTGCCATAGTCGGTTTGTGAGTATTTGAATTAGTATCCGCAATTAATTGTTCCGATAATGTCTTTATTAAATCTGCCGATTGATCAGGAGTTTCACAGTTATTATCAATAATATCTTCTGTAGGAGCACTTGGTTTCTTAATACTTAATATATTATTAATTGATTTGGGGTGTTTTAATAACATCGATTTCTCCTGTACTACACCTGCATTATCTGTTCCCGTGTGGAAAGTTCTCAGATGGCCTAAAGTCCTCCTATGGATTATATGAGATGATGATAGATTTATGTTGTGAATACATTTGTTGGCTTCTTTGACAGAAGAGAAATTTCTCAAAATTCTTGGTATTATTCTATTTGAGATCATCGCATTGTGAATGATATGATATATTGACGTGTTTATTTGAACGATAACAGTAGCAAATGTTGCGTGACTTTGTATGTGTATTTTTCCTTGATTTCCCTGTTGTCTCGTGGTTACTAATTAAATGACTTTAAGAAACACTTATCCATTAAATTGAAAGGAATTGACTGTTATAACTATTTATACACTTGGATCGTACTTTTGTAGCAGTATAGTTGCGTACATCAGAAAGAACAGGGTTGCGATCAGATGGGTTCTTCTCTCATACGAAATTCTTAGCGTAGAGCAAAGAAAGTAATAATGCGAATATTGCAGCAAGACAGAGAAAATAAAAAGACCGAGAGCCGAATTACATATATATAAACAAATGTTATTAAAGGGAGACATATAACTACAACTTCAGCAACGCATAATGTTACAAGAAACAAGAATATAGTGGGTGGTAATGTATTCCTATATACGCAGATCATTAACTTCTAATGCAATTCTTCGAGTGAAGCGAAATCATCTTCCTCCAAGACCAAAATTCACTGCACAAATGGAAAATGATTGTACTGAAGTTTTCATTCATGGTGGGAGTGGTGCCGGTGGTCAAAAGATTAACAAGACTAATTCCAAAGTACAATTGAAACATATCCCGACTGGAATTGTAGTCACAAGTCAGATTACTAGATCAAGGGATCAAAATAGAAAAGATGCACGCGAACGTATGGCGTACGAATTAGCGAAATTATCTACAGCAAATGGATCAAATGAAACACCAAGAGATATTGCATTACGACAATTAAAACAACAAAATAAAAAGGCTAAACTGAAAAAGAGTTCGAAGAAATATGAAGTACACAAGGAAGAAAAGGAGAGGTTGGAGGAATCGCAGCGTTTGGAAGATGAGTCGATTCTGGGGAAAATGTTAAAAAATTAGCAAAAAATAATCTCCGATACGGGGAGTCGAACCCCGGTCTCCACGGTGAAAGCGTGATGTGATAGCCGTTACACTATATCGGATAAAATTTGTTGAATTTAATTCGAATTTTATGTAGGCAGTTTTTTCTCCAAAATTATTTTTAAAAACTGTTGTGTATTGTTTGGTGTCTATAGAACGTTTAATTAGTAAATATTATGGGGTTCGTCAATTATAACGATATGGTCATCGTTCTGGTTGTTGATATATTAAGGGTAATAGCAAACACTAAGTGATTATATTCTGTTTACCAGAAATTAAGAGTGGTATATATCACTCTTAAGTGTAGTTATAGGGAGGATATCTAGAATATAATTTAAAGTGTATTTCGTTTGGTAAATAAACTCTATAACTAATGTATTATTGAGTATATTGAAGCCGGCAGTTTAAGTATTATCTTTTGAATATTTAATTTTTAGAAATCTAAATAAAATATATCAGAATAACTAATATCCATATATGAATCTATTTGAATTATTGAATATATATTTATTATTTTAATACATTTTCAAAATTTTGTTACTGTAAGCAATGGAATTCATCGTTTAAGTGAGATAAATGTCAGCTTGGAGCAGATCAAAGCCTCTCAAAGAAAGATAAGTATATATTTATGTAATACGTATTCTGTTCATTAGAATTCATCAGCTAGTTGTCGATATCAATGATTATTGGCATATCTTGTTCAATTGTCAGTAGTCTCTATTAGCTATTAATTAAACCAACACACAATTTATTAGAAATGTAATAAACTTAAGAACTTACACATCTTAAGTTAAATCATTAACTAAAATTGATTCTGAATATAGATATAGTTACTTCGCTTTGTTACTACCATTTAATAGCATTTACCTTTATAAACATCACCTGACTATAAATAATTTTTAGATTAATTAATATAGTTGACTGGCCTATCCAGTCAACAGAAAAAACCGTTGTATATCAATAACTATACATCATGAACATATATTAACTATCGAGAGCTACTAATATAACACCAACTCTTATCGCAACTCGAATTAACATCAACAAAATCAACCCATCTTTTATCAGAGAATGTATGAGATACATTCTTCATACATATGTAAACGGAAACGTTTGTCTCTTTCTCATTCCCCCCTCAAGATCCTCAGAAGACCGCGAAGCGAAAACGAGAATTATTTTTTCATATAAAAGGAAAGAAAGGTACCTTCGAGAGATATACAAAGACACTATTCGAGATGAAAGCAATCCTGGTAATGATACTATAATATCATTCCAGTGTGATTTTTCTTGTAAGAACTATATTACACAGCATTTAGGCATCTATAGCCATATAAAGACTGCATTACAAGTAACGATGTAAAGCGGGAAAGGTTATATATCTTAAGTTCAAGAGCACCTGGATGTAAGCACTATACGGTACATAAAAGCAATTACGTGCCTTTTGTCTGTTCTATATACTAAACCATTAAGTAACAGTTTATTTAACATCATATATATATATGAATCGTTTTCTCTACATATATACCAAATAGCAGAAGACTAATCTTGTAGCTTACTATTACTATTAATTATTATTGAGCGGTTTTTGTTTTTATTTTTTTTGTTTGTTTGTTTTTGGTTGCTTCAGTAATTAGTTAATCGATTGTATAATTAAATTTTTATATATATATTTTTTTTTTCAGTTGATGGCTGCATCCTAATTTGAGATGATTCCGTACGCTAACTTACATATTCTTACAGCTATTATGCTCTGACAGGTACGTGATTTATTCTTGATATCGTGTAAGAAATAAAGTTGTAATCGATTTTTACTCTTGTTTCATTGCTTTATTACTACTCTTCTAATTATTTTAATCTCTGATATACATTATATAGAAATATAGATTTTCATTTTTTGAATAGCTACCATACCATATTGTATTGTTTACAATACTAAATAGAGAGCGTGTTTTTTTAGTGAACCATCCCTTAGTCTATAGTTGCTTTCAGTTTTTGTTGACAAAGTGCTGGTTGCTGCTGTTACTACTACTGATAGAGTCGCTATAACTACCTAAGTTTTTTTAATAATATAGACACCATAAACATATAATCATACAAATAATTAATAATGGGTAGGCCAAAGAAACAAATCAGTGAAAAAAATATTGAAAACTTTCAAAGAGACATTGAATTAGCTGGGAACAGAACAGATTTATTATTGAAGGATAAAAAAGGTAGATCGAAATCATGTTTACTATGTCGAAGAAGGAAACAACGTTGTGATCATAAACTTCCGAGTTGTACCGCTTGTTTAAAGGCAAATGTTAAATGTGTTCAACCCGTTAGATATGTTGAGAATAATGGTGTTCCAAATGCTATTCTACAAATGGAACTGGCGTCTAGTACGGGTACATCAGAAACATCATCAGATTCTCCTACACCTGATATTAGTAGACCTATAATAGGTGGTCAAAATGACGGTACTAGTAATGTTACCACCTCCATATATACATCGAATATCAATAATATTTCGTTAGGTCCAAGAAAGGGAAGTATTTCAAAGAAGAACGATAAAAAGAAAACTACAGACAATAATAATAGTAATAAAAATAGTGACCAGTATACAAATTTTCTAGAAAAGAAATTGAAATATCTTGAAAAATTAATTGATTTACCTATTGGTGGTGTTGTGTTTAAGAAAAAATTGAATAATTATAAGAAGATATCTCATCTTCTGGGTGATATCGATGATTTTAGAGGTGATGAAATGACAATAAACAGAATTAATAATAACATTTTACCTTGGCAACCACCTCCAACCTATATGAACAGTAATAATAGTGATAGTAATAGTGATAGCAACAAATCACATGGTCAATTGAACAATGTTAACACTGATTTTCAAAAACAAACTAATGGTATTAAGATAGAAACAAGTTCTTTACCTGCTTTGGCCTCGGATTCGTTGGATTCTATTGATTTTTCCAAATGTATATTTGCCAAATATTTAAAGAATCATTTTATTTATGATCCAGTCTTTGAATTTAATGAAAATTTATCAAGATCATTCTTAGAGATTTTTTTCACAAGGTTACAATTTAAATATCCATTGTTAGATGAACAAGAAATTTACAGTTTCCATAATGATTACACAAAGAATAATATTTACTCTTGTTCTGCTAATGATTTCCATTTTTGCACAGGTAGAATGTGGCTAATCTTTAGCATCAGTGCATACATGCACATGACTACAGGTAAGTATGATGGATTATCACCTATTCGTTATTTTTCTACTGCTGTAAGACACATTACTAAGTGTGGTGATAATTTAAATGATGTTCAAAAAGTAGAGTTGTTGACATTGTTGCTCTTATACTTATTAAGAACTGATAGAGATTCAATGATTCTTTATGAGATTATGAAGGATATTATGGTCATCGTGAAAGGTAGATTACATTTAAATAAATGGACCCAACAGGACTCATTTGCCAATAAGAAACTTCGTTTGTTTTGGTGTGTATATCTTCTAGAGAGAATGATATGTGTTGCCGTTGGGAAACCTTTCACTATACATGAATCTGAGATTGATGTTCCACTTTTCAATGAGGATTCATATAATACAAATAAAAATTCAAAGACTTCGGGAATACATTTCATTAATCAATCTGTAACTTTAAGAAGAATCGAATCGAATTTTGTGGAAAAATTAAACATTATACCAACTAATAAACAAAACACACCAACTAAGAAGAATCAATTACCTATTGTCAAATATTTTTTCAACGAACTGGAAATATGGAGATCTAAATGCTCTACCACTGATATTCGGAATTTTGAGAATGAGACTTTGAAACTTTACTATTATCGTGCTGTTAGGCTATTAATTCAGCCATATCTGGAATTTTTAACTCCAGAGGACCATTTATTCAGGGAATGTCAAGCTGCTGCTGGTCAGATTTGCCAATTATACAAAATTTTCCATCAGAAAACTGTAAATGGGCATTCTACGCCTGCCGTTCATACAGTATTTGGTGCCGGGGTTTCTCTAATTTATTGTATGTGGTTGGAAAGAAACTTTAACGATGAAAGAAGGAAAAAACTGGGGGATTTATCCAAACATACAAGACCCTTAGTGGGACCTAATTTATTCTCTACCATGGACGATTTGAGGGCTTGTTCGGTTTGTCTCTATGTCATGACAGAACGGTCCAAATTTGCTAGAGTATTTAGGGATACGTTTGATCAATTAATGAATGCAACAGTAGGCAATTTGATCGAGAGATGTGGTCCAGATTCATCTGAATTAATTTACTTGACTGATCGTTCAACAAAGGATGGTCCAGTAATTCTAAATGAAGATATTGTCGCTATTGACGGTACCTCTAAATCTTTGGACGTATCGCTGGAATTACGCAATACGAAACATAATTTGTCTAGTGGTAGTGGTATGCCACCTGCTGTAGCCCGTACATTTGGTAAATATCAGGCTGATGAGCATGTTGGGTTTGTTGAAAATTCACAGGTTGATTTAGAGGAACAAAAGAGATTAAAACAAAGACAGGGGTTGTTGGAACAAGTCGCAGTTCCAAAAAGTTTGGCACATTTATTAGTCAATGGCGGTATAAATAATCGCAAAAATCTAGAAGCTCATTTGGACTCGAACTCTGTTTTGAAAATAAGATCAAAGGACGTTGGAAGACCAGGTGAACAAGATACGGATGATGATAGCAAGTACATCGTTCAAAAGCCTGCCTATCCTAATGAATTCGATTGGAAAAATTTCCAACAACAGGCTTTCCTTCAACAACAACTTGCTCAACAAAATTTGCAAGCTTACTTGTCATCTTTGAATTATTCGAAGAGTTTTGGAAATGTAGATACAGCTGGCTCAATGGGATCAGTTTTAAAACCAGACATAGAACAATTTAATAGAAATATTTTACCAAGTCATTCCGCATCTTCTTCAGCTGTATCAGTTCTTACGGGCAGTAACATTATCTCTCCTGTGTTAAGTGAAATCACCTCGACACAAAATGCGTCGGCCACTGATCCTAAATACATCGTAAGAGCATCTTCTCCCTCAGTCTCTGCTTTTAATTATATTGCTCCTGTGCAAAATACGTTTCGTTCTGTTGGTGGGAATACCGATAATAATCTGAATTTGATACCAAACAGTGCAATGCCAATCATCAATCATGACGGTAGTGTCAACGGTATGCCACCTACATATTTCCAGCCATCGAGTAAGCCTAATTCAGGAAACATCTTATTTGACAATGGTACACATGAAATGATTAATCACATTTCAAATTGGACGAGTAATGCTGTAGGTGATTTAGTAAATGTATTCCCCTCTAACCAAAAAGAAGAACAACCTAATTCCAATGGAAATGGAAATGGTAATGAAAATCCTATTCAAAATTCTGTTGAAACAGATAAATTTGGGTTTACTAATGGTGTAGGAGGATACGAAACTCCGAGGAAGTTAGATATTTTAGGTGTCAATCAACAAGCTATGCCAATTCGTTCAACTGCATTCCATGATTCATCAGTACAACCTGTACCACCACACTCAGTAGGTACCATAAGAAATATTGCACCATCCAACCAAGCTGAAGAGTTTTGGACAATTAATGATGACTACGGTTTCTTAACTTGATATGTTTTCATGTATTTTTCGAAATGAACTTTTCTCGATATTCCAATCTCCAATATGTAAATATAGTAGTACCTTTATATATATACATATATATATATTATAGACAATAAATAGGTTGAAGTTATACTACAGTAATTACTTTGGGTAGATGATGCATACTTTTTCTCAAAAAGAAGTCTGTCCTCTAAAATTTGTTAACATGTCATCTTGCCAGTAAGTAGAATTGCCTTATACTGAACGCTGTTAAATTTTCTCCCACTCGCTCCATCCGATTTAGCTGCATAATAAAAATGAATTTTTAGTTTAGCTTTACTTGAAGTAACACACGTTGAAGGATTCTTAAAAGAAGGTTCAGTGAGCCAGTGATTACTTTGATCAATTGCAAGAAATTTAAAGTATATACGTTATCCATCCCACATGTCTTCACAGTTATCCAATACATCCTTTAAATTCGTCGCACTGGGTGCCGGTAATGAAGTTGGCCGGTCGTGTCATATCCTCAGTTATAAAGGTAAGACCATTATGTTAGATGCAGGTGTCCATCCAGCCTATCAAGGGATGGCCTCTCTCCCCTTTTATGATGATTATGACCTTTCTACAGTTGATATCTTACTGATATCTCATTTTCATTTGGATCATGCAGCTTCATTACCTTATGTGATGCAGAGGACAAATTTTAAAGGCAGAGTATTTATGACACATCCTACAAAAGCAATATATAGGTGGTTGCTAAGGGATTTTGTTCGTGTTACAAGTATTGGAGAAAATAGTATACTCGATAAAGATGACAACTTGTATACAGACGAAGATCTGGTGGAATCATTTGATAGAATTGAAACAATTGATTTTCATTCTACCGTGGAGGCAAACGGGATAAAATTCACTGCTTTCCATGCAGGTCATGTTCTAGGTGCAGCTATGTTTCAAATCGAAATTGCTGGTTTGAAGGTATTATTTACAGGTGATTATTCCAGAGAATTAGATAGACATTTAAATTCTGCTGAGGTACCTCCGTTACCTTCAGATGTTTTGATCGTTGAATCTACGTTTGGTACAGCAACTCACGAGCCTAGACTCAATAGAGAAAAGAAATTAACACAGATAATACATTCGACGGTTGCTAAAGGTGGTAGAGTATTAATGCCTGTGTTCGCGCTGGGGAGAGCTCAAGAGTTGATGTTGATCCTAGAGGAATACTGGACACAGCATGCGGAGGAACTTGCAAGTAACCAAGTCCCTATTTACTATGCTTCAGATTTGGCTAGAAAATGTATGAACGTCTTCCAAACGTACGTGAACATGATGAATGATGATATTAGAAAGAAATTTAGGGATTCGCAAACCAACCCATTTATATTCAAACATATTTCGTACCTAAAGAACCTTGATGAATTCCAGGATTTTGGTCCAAGTGTTATGCTAGCGTCTCCTGGTATGTTACAAAGTGGTATATCGCGAGATTTGTTAGAGAAGTGGTGTCCTGAAGAGAAGAACCTGGTTTTAATTACTGGTTATTCCGTCGAGGGCACTATGGCGAAATATATCATGTTAGAACCGGATACTATCCCATCTGTTAATAATCCTGATCTTACAATACCCAGACGTTGTCAAGTTGAGGAAATCTCCTTTGCTGCACATGTCGACTTTCAGGAAAACCTTGAATTTATCGAAAAAATTAATGCGACAAACATCATTCTTGTTCATGGTGAATCAAACCCAATGGGTCGTTTGAAATCAGCATTATTATCTAATTTTGCATCATTAAAAGGTACGCCTGAAGAAGTTCATGTCTACAACCCTAGAAATAGTGTAGATGTTGTCCTAGAATATAAAGGTGTAAAGGTTGCTAAGGCATTAGGAAACATCGTTGATGAAATACAAAGAGAGGGTGTGGACAGTCTAATACCGGAAGAATCTTCGGAAGAAGAAATGAAATTAGAGGGTACTGAGGACAAAGAAGATAGTACAACCAATCAAAACAAACAGGACGATATTGTAGTGTCTGGTATACTGGTATCTGACGAAAAGAATTTTGATTTAAACCTGGTGTCATTGACAGATTTGAGGGAGCATCACACAGAATTATCAAGCACTATTCTAAAAGAGAGGCAGATGATATCCGTAAATTGTAAGCCGGAATTAATTTATTGGCATATTTGTCAAATGTATGGTGATGTAACTATCCTAGAGGATTCTGAGAATGTGACGATGCAAATAAAAAAGGAGTCTAAAGAAGATAATGTAGACACTCCAGAGAATAGTGGACAAATTCTAACCCTCCAAATTATGGGGGATATTAAAATATTTATTAAGGATAGCGTTGTTACAGTTGAATGGACGCAAGATTTGATCAGTGATACAGTAGCAGATTCTATTATTGCAATTCTAATGAGTGTAGATTCAGCACCAGCAAGTGTGAAAATGAGTAGCAAGACATGTTCTCATGATCATGATAACGATGAACACTTGGAAGAACTAGAATCAGAAAAGATTGAAGCTTGGAAGGTCAAGCAAGTTGTGGAACTCTTCCATGAGCACTTCGGTGAGACCTTCGAACTTGCGATGGACGATAAGGAAACTATTAAGGGCAAAATTACTATGGGTAAAAATAATGCAGAGATTAATTTTTCAGAAATGAAGATTGGGGAGTGTAATTCTAATCCTTTGAAAGGTAGGGTTGAAAGTATATTAAATATTGGTGCAGATTTAGTTGCAACTCTCTGTTGATTATTACACCCATACTCACCCATACTCAATTAAGGTTAAACAGTTAGGGAAACCGCAAACTTTAGGAGCATGTATTTAAATGGATAAAATCGTATATAAAGTTTTATGAGAACCAATAGTATTCTATTATTTAAACTCAGCACTTTCATATTGTATATTGTTTAAGTAAGTATTATTAATCTTAGCCAAAATTTGTGTCGTTTGGTACGTTGTGACGTACAACATCCCTAGTGGGAAAAAAAAATAAAACCAAAAAAATTTCCAATGCTCATCTCATCTCATCACTTTTAGAGCTCTAGCATATAGGATAAAAAGAGGAAGTGCCAATTCATAGAAATTTATCGAGAATCTTTTATTATTTCCCTAGTAAATTAAAAGTGTAACGATACAACATTAAGTATGAGTAATAGTAAGAGCGGTTTTGCTCCTGAGGCGTATATCGATGAATCCACGTCGTTTGATTCTTTCCATCTGGATCCAAGATTATTGCAAGCTGTTAAGAATTCAGGTTTCAAAAACCCAACTTTGATTCAATCACATGCAATCCCACTTGCTTTAGAGAAGAAGAGAGATATCATTGCTAAAGCATCGACAGGTTCCGGTAAAACTTTGGCGTATTTGATCCCTGTTATACAGACTATTTTGGATTATAAAAGTTCAAAAGGTTCTGATTCTAAAGAGAATGAAACATTGGGGATTATTATGGTTCCTACTCGTGATTTGGCTCAACAAGTATCTTCTGTATTAGAGAAGATGGTCTTATACTGCTCAAGAGATATTAACTATCTGAACATATCCTCTGATATGTCCAATTCTGTCTTAAGTACATTACTAGTACAAAATCCAGAAATCATTGTTGCTACTCCAGGTAGATTAAAGGATCTTTTAGAAACTAAAATTGATGCTGTTTCATTAGAAAACTTGAAATTTTTAGTAATTGATGAAGTTGATTTAGTTCTGACTTTTGGTTACCAAGATGACTTGAAAAAAATTGCTGAATATCTACCTCTAAAGAAAAATTTACAAACATTTTTGATGAGTGCAACTTTAAATGATGATATCCAAGAATTAAAAGAAAAATACTGTCGTGCACCTGCAATTTTGAAGTTTCATGATGATGAAATTAATAAAGAGCAAACCAAACTAGTACAATATTACGTTAAGACCAACGAATTTGATAAGTTCCTGCTATGTTATGTCATTTTCAAACTGGGTCTAATAAAGGGTAAATCTATCATCTTCGTGAATAATATTGATAGAGGGTACCGTTTAAAACTAGTGTTAGAACAATTTGGTATAAAATCCTGTATTTTAAACAGTGAATTACCTTCAAATTCTAGACAACATATTGTGGAACAATTTAACAAAAATATTTACAATTTATTGATTGCTACAGATGATACAGAATATATTAAAGAAGAGGACCAGGAAATTGTTGAAACTGTGAAGCCAAAGGAAGAAGATTCCGAAGAACCTAAAACTGATGTAAATGAATCTAAAACAAAGAAAAATCCTGCTAAAAATGATAAGGAGTATGGTGTTTCTCGTGGTGTTGATTTCAAGAATGTTGCATGTGTACTAAACTTCGATTTACCTACAACAGCAAAATCTTATGTTCATAGAATTGGTAGAACTGCTCGTGCCGGTAGATCAGGTACTGCTATTTCTTTCGTTGTCCCATTAAAGGATTTTGGTAAGCATAAACCATCAATGTGTTCAACAGCTAAGAGAGACGAAAAGATATTCACACGTATTATAAGACAACAACAAAAGCTAGGTTTGGAGATTTTGCCATATGCATTTGATCCAAAACAAATAGAAGGTTTCCGTTATAGAATGGAAGATGGTTTCCGTGCTGTGACACAAGTTGCTGTTCGTGAAGCAAGAATTAAGGAATTGAAGCAAGAATTGTTAACCAGTGAAAAATTAAAGAGACATTTCGAAGAAAATCCAAAAGAATTAGAGAGTTTGAGACATGACAAAGAATTGCATCCTGCAAGAATTCAACAACATTTAAAGAGAGTTCCAGATTATTTATTGCCGGAAGGTGCAAGAAAGAATGGGAAGAAAAATATTGGTTTTATTCCATTCCGTAATCCAAAGAAGGGAGGACGTAATAATAAGAGAGGAAAGGTTGGTAAGCGTAGAACTGGGAAGTCTGACCCATTAAAGAATTTTAAATAAGAGACCATATTGTTTAAAGTAAAATTCTTTTTGCCTTTATTGTAAATTAGTTATAGTTAATGCCGATGGTTGTGGTAGGAAGCATTAATTTGCATATACATAAGTATATAGACACATCTATAAACGTATATAAGTCGGAGGTAATACTTAGCATTTTTTTTTAGATAATAAAATGTATTATTCCAACCACAACTCATTTGTTAATTGTGAATAATATGACACTTCAGTCTATGGAGACGGCTCCAGACCACACTGGTCAGGATTCCATTTACTTCAACAGTTTTAGGAATTCCCAATCTTCTTAATAGTTTACTATGTTACAACGATACGATTTATAATTCTTAAGTAGTCTATAATGGTTTCCGATATCTGTTGTTGGAGTGTTTTACCCTTCTCCCAGAAAAATGCAGATACCTATTCAAGAGGTGGTTTTAACACAACAATAACAGAATCACCTCTTAAGAATAGTTTACTTACAAATCTTTCACGATTAATGATACTTTTACCCTTCTTTTCCGTCCATAATTCCTTAACATTTTCAAGTACCATATTACAATGTCTGTCGAAGGCCTTTACACGTGCTACTATTTTATGGTTATTCCTCAATGATATTATTACAGGGGTCTTTGTCAACATCGAGTCATTGATAAGTGACATAGGGCCATGCTTGAATTCAAACTCTTCTAATTGGTTTAGTTCGTCTTTGGTTAGTTCCGATTTTGGACGATCTATAATCTGTTCTCTGTTTCGAAATAACGAATTGATAACTTTTAATACCATATCATGTTTATTTAATTTGGTAATAGTTATTAATATTGATTGTTAGTAAAAAAAGAAAGTAAAACAAGTAACAATCTGAAGATAGCACCTCCAGAGAGAGCAGGTTATACATACGACATAATCTGTATTTTTGTTAGTGTGGCTTGTTATTGTCAGCTAATTATATGGTGTTTTCGTATTCGATACCTACTAATAGTATTTGAATTCTTCTTATGTGTATAGTTTCCCAAAACCATTGAAAATTTATCTCATCTTTAGCTATTCTTTGTTTAGTTGTATTTTTTTTTTTTTCCTTCGCTTCCGTTTTCTTAATTATGTTAAGAAAAAAGTTTTAATTGTCCCGAACCAGAAAATATCAATGTCAAGAAAGTCATCTCATCATCACAAAACAAAGAAGATATATAGATTGAAAGAAAGGTAAATAATTAAAGATGATTGTAATTTAATGCATTGCTTTTCATTTTATGTTACACATTTTTCTGAGATATACGTATATATGAATAGTTATATAACGAGGTTTATAATATATGCAGAATGAGAAGAAAGGATGTGTTCCTAAAATTAATTTCGTTTTTATTGGGTTAAACATATGAATATGGAGGAATAAAGTTCAGATCAGGTCTGAACCAATTTTTTTTTGTGTATGGATTAATCTACATCATGTGCAACATATTTCGCACAGACATAGACAACAGAGGACTTTTGAAATCACATCGAAACATACACAACAACAGTTACAACAACCGCAACAACAGTTATCTCTTGGCGGTGGAGGAGGAGCTTGTTGAATATAGATAGGCTGTACTGGTTGTTGATAATACATCGGTTGTTGTGGTGGTGCGTATTGTCTCATATTTTATTGTTTCTTTCTTTTATGTATGACTTTGTAGTTAGTTGGCAGTACTTGAAGTAGAAGTAGTAGTAGCAGTAGATATTAAATTGGCGATAACTACCTGTTTTAAGATTGATTCACCATCGAACGTAAATTAAAGTGAAAAAAGTTAGTTCGAATAGTCCCTACATTATATATCAAGTTACATCCTGAGACGATGATAGAATAGATGGATAAATAAGTAGATAGAAAATGAGATTTCATGGCATTGCTTATGACTTTTCCCTACAGTCATTAGCAAGGCTTTATTTATTTATTAATAGATCGAACTTTCGCTATGGTCAATTGAATAATTAATTTAGTGACTACTTTGCCTCATCGCTTTAGTTGGTACTGGCACTGGCACTGTATTTTTCTAGGAGATTTCTCTGTAGATTGAGATAGAGACGGCAAGCAAATCTTTCATTGCCAAGCCTCGATGAAAAGTTTTAATCGTTTTGTCGCTCGCTCGCTCACTCTTGGGGCTTTCTGAGCCGCAGTTTCAACTGTTCCGTGGAGTGTTCGGCTACACGGCTGATTGTCTAATAAAAAGTTGGATAAGCAACCACAATTGACAAATAGCCTAAGTAAGATAATTCTTTTATCAAACTATTGATGACATATCAATATGTTCAGGATTACGTTTTGAACAGCAATCATGAGTAGTTTTTACAGAAATAATATGATGGTGTGTGTTTTTTCTTGTCATTGTTTTTTTATTTACTTTCATTTATATATGTACTAATATTACAAACTATTTTTTCTTTCCTATGCATGTCTGTGAGAATATCACCTAGTTGGGATAAATATTCGTTCTCACCTTTGATTCTATAACATTTATATCACCATCATATACTACTTCTATACACATTTTGACCCTGGTGTCTTAATTGAATGGTTTCATGTTTTTCAAGTGCATATAGAGCCTTATCCAAAGCAGGTTGTGAAAATCTATGAGAATCAACGAACTCTCTTCTTAAAGTTTGATACGATGTGGACCAACCAATTGGTAATCTTCTCTTTAATTCTTGTTCGATTTCACGGATCTCTGCAAGGATAGATCTTGAATTACCTGTTGGATCCATACCACCAATTGGATCCTGTGATGCAGCATCCATTGTAGAGGCCTGGAATAATCTAATGGCCTCTTCGACATGTCTTTCATGAGCCACAGGACTTAACTCTAACTTGGCAAGGGATTCAGTGATACGAATAATAGCTTCTAATTGACGCACAGTGATCGGAATGGAAGATCTTTCAGAGGAGTTCAATTCATTGATTAATAATTCTTTTCTAATTGTAACAAATTGAGATGACAATCTTTCAGCAGCTTGAACAGATAATCTTGGCGCACATTTTCTTCTACAATATGTAATGTAACGTTTCAATTTATCCATACTGATTTCTTCCCCATTATTTTCCATTTCTTCTTGTTCCTGAGAAACACGACCAGTATGAATATTAATAACATGGTTTGCAATAGAAATATCACGTTGTTCATCATGTTCATCCTTAACAATGAAAATCATATCAAAACGAGACAAAATTGTAGTTTGGAAATCTATATTTTCACCAGGTGATTTCATATCATCATAACGACCATATATAGGATTAGCTGCAGCCAACACACTTGTTCTAGAGTTTAATACGGTTGTGATACCGGCTTTAGCAATAGAAATGGTTTGTTGTTCCATGGCTTCATGGATCGCAACACGATCTTCGTCCCTCATCTTATCGAATTCATCGATACAGACAACACCACCATCTGCAAGAACCATTGCACCACCTTCTAGGTAGAATTCTCTAGTAGTTGGATCTCTTTGAACACTTGCAGTTAAACCTGCTGCAGAGGAACCTTTACCGGACGTGTATACAGAGATTGGAGATACTTTCTCTACAAACTTTAACAGTTGAGATTTGGCAGTACCTGGGTCACCTAACAGTAAAACATTGATATCACCTCTTAATCTCATTCCATCAGGTAATAATTTCTTGGAACCACCCATCAATAAACAAACAATAGCTTTCTTAATATCTTCATTACCAAAAATGGAAGGTGCAATAGATTTAGCAATTAATTCATAAATATCAGGGTTTCTACTTAATTGTAAAAATTCTTCTTCTTCTTCCTCAGAAAACATTGACATGGAGTTTGCAAATCCATTTGTTTCAATATCCGTCTGAAGACCTAATACTTTAATATATGGATTTCTAATAGATACACCACCTTCATTACCACTTCCAATACCATTCCCTTTGGCAGTATAAATGGAATATATACCTACCACTGTGACTCTAGCACCTGGAACAACTTTATTAGTCAAATATCTATCACATGATAATCTTAAATGACGTGGCATTTCACCAACTGGAACCATCTCTGGAATTTCTTGTAATTTTAAAAATTGTTGATCGATAAATGTTGAGGCTTCATGAATAATCATATATGGATCGGGACCACAGTTCTTAGGTGGACCAGAGGCATCCATCGAACTAACTTGTCCCAATTCAGTTTGTTGTTGAGAAAGACATGAGTGAGGTAAAGATACTTGTGTACCACTAATGGAATTAAAACTGTTCACAGTAATTGAAGTTGTATGTCTACAATTTTTACACATGATACGCAAATGTGTAGCACGTGAAGTTAATACAGATGCAGAGATAACTATACCAGATAAACGAACAATCTTGGAGACATGTTCCGAATCCAATTCTCTTACTGGGATCTGATTTGCCTTTGAGTTTAAAATCAATTGGAATGATGGAATCAATGCAGCAATATCTTCACCTGATGGTTGATTACCATTAACATTTTCTTGTGATTTATTTAGAATTGTAATTCTCTTTGCCACTTGAGTAATTGCATTTTCAAATAATGGAATAATTTCAGATGGTTCATCGGATAATCTTTTAAATAAATCTTCATTATAACCAATTAAATGTTCCATATTTACACTTAATGAATAATTTTTCACTAATAAAGCATTTCTTAATTGTTCTCTATATATGAATTGCGAATCTATTCTAAACTCCAAGATAAAGTTTCTAAAGGATTTAATAATCTCGGTGTTATCGTCATCATTTGGAGCGACACCTTGTAACACTGGTGCACTATAAACTTCTGGTCTATCAAATGACATTTATTATCAAAGAATATGAATATGTGTTAGGAGTATGATTGATTTCTTAATAAGTTGATAATGTTAATAATATCAGAAACAGAAGCAAAAACAAACCTCCAGATTGATGAATGTTTATATTATTTTAACCTTTAGTTGGAAATGGATTAGAATTAATTAATAAAGGATATTAACTTATTTTGTTGTACATATTTGATGAAGTTAATAATTAATCTAAAAGGTATCAGTGAATAAATTTTTCTTTACCAATATTTTTTTTTCGTGTTGTCGTGCAGTAACGGTCGACAAATACCTGTTTCGGTAAATTAATATATATCTTTTTTTTTATTTTTTCAAGCTGATTTTATCTACATCTCTATGAACGCGTCAGTAGCGAACTTTTTTATTTTCTTTGGTGGAAGGGTATTACATTACCCAATTAGGAAAGATAAAGCAGATATAAGTATAGATATTCAAGTTTATGTGGAAAAGTGGAAACTGTATAAACAATATGTCTAAATTAATGACAAAAAGGGCATCAACTGAGAGAGAGAGAAAGAGTAAATATGGTTTTTATAATTACTTAAATTAACTTTTTATGTTGGGTAAAACAACAGTGATGATGGCGATAATGGTAACAAATCTATTGTAAGTTTAAAGATAAATAAGCAATCAAGGGAAACGTTGTACCTGTTGAATATTCAACCTTTTTACACTATTTTTATTTATTTCTTTTCTGATTTAGAACTTAAATGGGAATACTCAACAGAATACATTCTAATATAAGTTGAATGACATTTTGAGGTCAAGGAAACATATTGAGATATTGTTCAATTTCCTGTATGTTAGAAAATAAATAAAAAAACGAAGATGTACAAACCAAAAGAGAAGTCTTGGGTTCTCCAATTATTATTATTATTTATCACTATATACGGGTGTGTCATTTAAAATAATTAACTACGAATGTGTCGGACTTATCTTTTCATCAGTTTACTCCAATTTTTTTGGTTATTTATTATCTTAAAATAACAAAATCCAACAAAAAAAAACCATTTCTTACTACTTTAGATATACATTTCAAATATATTAATCTTTTTGATCTTTACGTTATAACGCTTCCCCGCTCGTGATCTTGCAAGTTATTAATGTTGAATATCATCAACCAATATATATCTTACTATGTATATGTGAGTGCGTGTGTCTTCTTCTACTTCTCCTCCACTTAGTAATTTTAGTACATACTGCAAATATTTAGTTATTCAATAATAAATAATTATTTGTGTATCTTATTTTTGGTTTCACGCTTATAAACTCAGATAAATTCATTCATTACAATGGATGGATATCAAAAACTGTATGTACTAAAAGGGTGAACGAAGTGTAAAGAAAGTGTTTCCATAACAAAATGAAAAAAAGGTTAAATAAGCATCCCTTCTATCAATATTAATATTTTTTTTGGTGAAGATGATCGAAAGAGGGAAGAGGTTAGTTCCTTTATTTACTGTATTCCCTTCATTTCTTCTGAAGACTTCGAGAACGTTAGACTTACTACTACTACGATGAGTTTATGTCTTTGTTTACATTTTAATTTGTTTGTTTGTTTTCGCGAAGGTTGTTTCCAATCAGAGTTTAAATGGTGCTTTTCATTTTTTTCTTTCATTTCATTTCATTTTAAATTATATAATGAAAGAAATGGATATAGTAGACAAACTCCGACAACAAAAGCAAGCACAGCATACCTTTTAGAACAATGTCAAGGAAATTAAAAAAAAACAATGAAATTACACAGATACCTTCATAGAGAGGGGTCCTAAAAACTATTGATAAAAACAAAAAGCAAAAAACAAAAAATTAACTGGAAATTGACATTCTTAGAAGTTTTCTGTAGGTTTTGTCAGTTTGTTAGTTTGTTTGTTTTTTTGCTCATTTTATTCACACAGAAACAGAAAGCCGACAACGCATTTATATGAAAACTTAGTAAACAAACAAAAAGAAATCAACATCGAGGACATTTAAGGTTTCGTACTCCGACAACAAATTAATACCTTTGAGAGAAAATACCACAGAAAAATTAAGCCGGAATTCTCTTTATATGTTGATTGGTACTACTGCCAAAACGGGTCCGATTCAACTTGTTTCTCAAAGAAAGATATGTAGGAAAGTCGGGTATAAAGATTTTTGTTCCATTTCTTTTGTCTCTCTTTCTCTCTTTATATTAAGACGGCTCAACAAACAAAACACGGAGAATGTACTGTGAAATAGTCAAAAAGATGAAAATTATTTTGTTTCTACCTTCTTTACAGAGAAAACGTGTAGCCAAGTCATCTTCGATGCAAAAAGCTCCACCTCATTTTCCCCCCCTTTATTCGCCCCCTTCCCTTTACTTGATGCTATGTACAGGCTCTGTACAGGGGTTATAGTGATTAAGTAATCCCATTTCTATCATATTTTGTGATTTTCCCTAACAAAAACTTCTTTCTCAGTGTGTTGGTTGCATGCATACATTTCTGTACGTACATAATATTTACAGCAAAACCCCGGACTCATACTCCTGTTATTTTATTATTGTTGTTTCTTCACAATGTGAAGAAATTGAATAGAGTCTTTTTTTAACCTGTTAGTAAAATAAAAAATGGTACTTATATCTCTCTTTTTTTGGCTTCCATCCTCCTCTCCCCCACGTATTCTCTTTCTGGAATATGCAGATAGGCAATAAGGGAAGGCAGGGAGAACGAAAACCCCCATTTGAGATGCCTGAGTATTATTTAACTACAGAGCTATAGTGAATAATACTGATTGGGGGTCCCCCTCCCATCAGTATTCGAGATAGACCTCGTAATTAAAGTTTGTTTGTTTGTTTTTTCGTAATCTCTCAATCTCTTTTAAAATAGTGAAAGAAGGGGGCTGGTTAGGTACATCAATGTGTCTATAGTAGTAGTAGTAGTAGTAGACAAACAATTGAATTAATATACAGATATGTAGATATGTAGATATGTAGATATATATCCAGTGGGAAAAGAACACAATATAATAACTGTAGTTAATAATTTTTTAAAGCTCATCGACTCCGCAATTAAAAAAATTATCTTTCAAGTCTGCATGTAGTTCTTGTTCAATTTTCTCTCGTTCTCTCTCTCTTTTGGTCATATAGTAGTAACTATTAAAGGATTAGCGTATGTTGCTGAAGTTATTAACTAAAACCCATTCCATTCCGTTTTCCTTGTCTTTAACTAACAGTTGGATTTAGTACACTAATATCGGTATTGGTGTGGTAATGTTGGTATACTAAATTACCTTTTATATCCGGCCACCATAATAAAGGGAAGTGAAGGGTGGGCAAGTGAAGGAGACAGACTAAAAAAGAAATAGTTTAAATTTAGTAATATTAAATATATTTGAAATTGATATATATATATACAAATCTTGTTAAGAAATCACTGTAGCATGCATTTACACTTGATACATGAAATAAATAAATAAATAAAAAAGTAAAAAAAAGGGACAAAATATAAAATTTGACTTTATACTTTTTCCCTTTTTGTCTTCTCTTACATTTTCTTTGTATTAGCCATTCCAATATATATTTTCTGGTAGTTTATTTGTTCTACTTACGACTACTGAAATGTTAAAAATGTTGAATTTGAATTTGAATTTGAATTTGAAGAATTTTCAAGGTTTGTTGGTTAGTTGTTTTGGTAATCTTTGACTTTTGGGCGGATGTCCTTCAAGTGTTGTTTTATTATTTTTTATATTACCATAGTAATGTGGTGATAATCTTTATTTTCTTATTTTTTTTATTTTTCTTATTTTTTTTGTCAACACATAAACGTATCCTTTTCTTTCTTGGTCCTTTTTCCAATTCAAAGGACCATTTATATATATATAAAAGACTAAATGGCCATAATTACTTCGAACTCGTTATTAAAAGTCAATTATCATTTAAGACCTTTCATCTAAATCTTGATCGCTTTCCATTGATTAATTATTTAAATCTTTTCATTTTGATTTGAATTACTCTCTCCACTCGTTAAGTTTTACTTTATTTTATTTTTCTGATCTGGTATCCCTTACATATATACAAAGGAAATAGAGACTTAAAGAAAATATATGAAAATATATATATATAACTATAATGTCTTTTGGATTTTATAATGAAAATTATAAATTAACAACAACAACAAATAAGAAACAAAACAATAACAATAATAATTATTTATTAAATGAAGATATGAATTTTAATAATAATGTTGATTCAGAAAATTCATTATCTATAATGAAACCAACACATTTTAAAAAATTAAAATCATCTTTAAAATTATCTTCAAGAAATAATTCTTTAACTTCATCAATTTCTTCTTCTTCATCTTCTTCTTCTTCTTCAAATAAAAATGTTAGATTTGCACCTGAATTAACGACAGTAAAAAAATTTTGTTCAACTGATAAACCTTCATTTATTTCTTCTTCTTCATTGAAAAATTCAAATAATTTAATTCCATTAGATGAATCTTATCAAAATTATTTTTTAAATGATAATCCTAATAATAATCCTAATAATAATAACAATAGATTTGAATTCGATGATAAAATTAATTCGCATTTCTTACCGTCATTTTCTGCTTCTTCTTTACCTTCTTCTTCATTATATTATACTTCAAATGGAAGTACAGGTAATTCTTCAACAAATTTCCAATTAGATTATGATTCTGATTCAAGTATTGATGATGATGATTTTAATTATAATTTAAATCAAAATGTGGTTGTTATGAATAATAATAGTAATAGTAATGATAATAATACTATTGTTGATGATAATAATCAATATAATAATTTATTATCTTCTTCTTCAAATGGTAAACTTGCTTTGGATTCATTTGATGTAATTGATTGGAATTTAATTAATTCAAATTTAAATAATGATACTGATGATGATATTAATATCCTTTTAACTGGTAATAAAAATATTAAATTACATTCTATTGAACAAATAAGAGATAATCATAATAAAAAAACAGATGAAATTATTGGTTCCATTTATGTTAATAATTTAACATTTGAAAAATTCATTGAAATTAAATTTACTTTCACTAATTGGTCAGATATTCATTATGTTACCGCAACATTTAATAAATCTATTACAAATCAAATTGATGAATTTAAATTTAAAATTAATTTATCAAGTTTTAAATATTTTTTAAAATTAGATCATTTATTATTTTCAACTACGGATTCAAATTTGCCAACTAATTGTCCATTAAAAATAGAATTTTGTTGTAGGTATGATGTTAATAATGAAACTTATTATGATAATAATAATTATAAAAATTATGAATTATCAATAATGGCAAAAACTCAAAATTTACTACCAATTGAAAGATTTAATCCAATTTATATGACAAAAGAACAAATTAATAATAATAATAATAATAATAAAAATAATTTAAAAAATTCTATTGTTAAAACTGATAATACTAATTCATATTCTTCGACAAAACAAACTAAAAAATCTTTTTATTCGGATTTTTTGGTTTCAACAACTTTATCTCATAAGATTCATTTAATGAATAATTTTAAAACTAATAATACTGCTAGTGGTCAATCGAATAAAAAAAGAATCGTTAACCCAACTATTTCAAGAAGATTTTCAGAAGATACCGATTATTATAATACATCTCCTTTAAAACATCTATATCATAATGATACTACTCCAATTAATCCAACAAGTTTAAATAGAGTTTTGGCACCATCAGATGAGAATGAAATTGATCATGATAATGATGACAATAATAATTCAGATGATGTCACAATAATGACTGGTAATAATATGAGTTATCCTTCAACAAATCCTTATGAATGTACAGATGATGTTGCTCAATTATCATCATTTCAACCTTTCACTTATACAGCTACACCTTCACTTTCTTCATCTTTATCTTCATCTTTAAGCGATTTACCTCAATTGGATGATTATACATATTTCTTTCAAAATGAAACTACACCAGATGAACAATTTCAATATAATCCAAATTATAATTTTGCTGATTCTTTTACTAAAAGTTTTAGTCAAACAAAATTAGAAAGTAGTGGTGATGTTACTGATGTATCAAACAACTATAGAAATAATGTCAATAATAATAACGATGATGATAATGATGATGAGCATATAGATCCTTTACATATTGGTGATACGAATAATAATTTTTCAGATGATAGACAAAGTATTATAACAGATACACCTCAAAATATTTATTCTATTGATTCCCAATATGGGGGGATTGAACAATCAAATAATCCTGAGATTATGTTTATGAACAATAATTCAAATGAAACTCTAATTAACCATAAGAATAATATAGTAGAACCTCATGATAATGATACCAAATTGGCGAAACCACAAATATCAACGTTACGATCCGAAACTGTGGATGAACCATCAGCGTCAAATTCAAGATCTTCATCAAATTCATCTTCTTTCTTATCTGCATCTAATGAACTAGAAAATAGAAGATGTAGTAATATGAGTTCACAAGTCGCTAATACAATTACAACATCAGCCCTTTCTGGGATTACTGAATCTATGGAGCCGCGAGCCCTCAATTATAAAACTTTGCTAAATTCCTATTGCTTTTTCACTTCTGATAGAAAACCAACTATTCATGAAAGTTATTTTCAAAATAAAAAAATCGCCGATAAAGATAATCCGGTAGATAAACGCATAAATTATGGTTCATTGACTCCTTTGGATAGGAGTGAATCACCAACCCCTGCATCTAAAATATTATCCTCTTAGAAAGAGGAACAAAAAATTAATACACGCTCACGTATATATATTATAGTAAGTTATGTACTAAATAATTACTAGCATATATTAAATAAAATGCATTTTTCAATTCATACCTATATCACTGTTCTTAGTAACAAAATTGCTTGCCTAGCGATATATCATTCGGAAGCTTGGAGCGGTATCATTTAAGATCTGCCTCTCTTTGGGCAGTTTTTAGGGTTCACTATTTTGTTAGGAAAGGTTAATATTCTATGGAGATTGGTACGTCTTGGAAATTTTGCTTAAGTAATGATAGAAGTATGCTTCACTGTTACATCATCTTACCAGTTGAATTGTTATGTTGTCTTATAGTATGTCATTTGATGGAAAGATATTTAAACTTTGTCGAGCTACATGTCAATGTCATAATTTTGAGACGCCTGATCCTTACTTATTATAGGAACGCGAAGATCAGAAAACTTGTGTTTTTCGTAATGATTTAGAAGAAGTCCCTCTTTTGTAATATATCAGATAGAATACTACAGAAACTGTTATTTTTATGCACATTAATATAAAATTGACAGAAATTATGTGGAAATGAGACATCTAAAATGTCTTGATTAGAACTAAATATTTCATTTGGTAATGATCGTTTAGGTATTAAGAGAAACAGATTATCAAGAAAATAATTAATATATAAAGACGGATTATTCTGAATTTACATTTTTAGTTAGATTCTATTCGTTCTATAAATTATATATAAAGATAAAAAACCACTTACATTAAAATAGAAAAGAATAATAAATATTTTGCTTTCTAAATCATAGACTCTTTTAATTTTTTGTTTATTTTTTATGTTTCGGACTTATTTTGGAAATTATCTACGAAAACAACTTTTTTAATTTTTTTTAAAGGTAATATTGCTCTACAGGAGCCGTCAACTTTATATGGTCCATCTAATATCGATGCTCGATAGTTTAATCAAAATAGTTTACTATTAGTAAAAGAGAATGAATTCTGCTGTATCTAATCTTAAATTTCTTTTTATTTGCATTCTGTAGAATATATAGTAAAATTATGTTTTTCGGAGCTTTAACATCTTTTTTATATCTTGTTTTAGAAGAGCCTCTATCAATTGTACTTACTTAACTTTTAAAATTTCCTTTCTTTCAAACAAAATGTTTGAATTGTTAAACAGAGCTACTGTTGTTAAACTGCTCATCTTTTGTGCATAGTAACGTTGGACAATTAAGCTCCAATAAACATAATGTAGTGGAAACGAATACTACATTATGCAGTATATACTATGTGTTATTCTATATACGGCAGTGCAGCACACTCTAAATTATACTTATATTAGCAACCTTCTCCTTCAGATAAGTTAAAGCTAATGTTAGCCTTTTTAGTGCTGCCGCTACATTTCAACAGTTCGATACAGCCTTATTATTTAAGTATATGTTTTTAGATGGGTTTTCTTTGGTTTGGTTCCATAGTTTTGACAATTCATAATTATAGTAACCGAATTAGAAATAAAAATAAAAATTTAAATAAATCACGTGATAAATCAAAAATAATTCTAAAATTACTCTATTTTTCTATTTTTTAAAATTAGTAGGTTTCGTGGTCTAGTTGGTTATGGCATCTGCTTAACACGCAGAACGTCCCCAGTTCGATCCTGGGCGAAATCAATTTTTTAAAAGTTTTTCGTTTTAAAATCATTATATACGAGAAGTTTGCTTCTTCAAACTTTTTTAGAAGTCGGGCTTTTCACGCGGCATCTGTTTTTGTTTATGTTTACATTTTTAAGAACTTGTAATGCTCTATACATATATATTTTGATCCATTACTATTAGACTAATACACCACAGTGTTAAATTTTTTTGAGAGTTCTATATTACAATTAAACTAAACAAAGGTTCAACAGTAATTATACCCAGAAAATGACTGAATTTGTACTCTCAGAGTATTTGAGTAAGTTTCAGACATCGGATAAAAATAGTTTCAGTCCTGTGGAGAATACCTCAAGGGAACTTAACGTGGTTATAGAGAAACTAGCAGTGTCTCCAGAGCAGATTGATACAGAAGATGAAACATTAGAGTCGTTACTCGATCTTTGTCAAGGGTTCCCTCACCTAACCGATAAGCTGCAAATACAGTTGAGCTATTTAGTCAGTTCATCATGTAAAATACTAGCTAACGATATACAGAATATTCTCACGGGAACTACAAATTACAATGACACAATTGAGTTGATACCAGAATGGAAGAGGCATCTGGAAGAGTATGGTTACCTCATACACACATTATTATTTTTTTTGAAAGAGGACATCCATAAAACTGCTTCCCGATCCTCGAACCTAAATAGAGGTCGTAAGGCTACAAGCGGTAATGTGGAAAACCATGTTGTTGAAAAGTTCAAATCTTCATGCAATCAAATTTTGCAATTATGTGAGACTATAATTTCCATCTTAAATATAAATTTTAATCGTATTTTCCAGACGACAGTTGAAAACGATCTATTCATTGGTCTGTTTACGAGACCATTATTCTCTCTGGTAGAAGTGGAAGCAGCTATAAAGGTTCCGGCTTTGAAACACTCAATAACAACTATAATTGCATTATCTGTGAGGAATCATGGTCAGAGTTCTAGTACCCAAAATGCCATATTAACTAATCTTACATACTTCTCACATCTATCGAACTTTTCTGCAGAACTCCTCATGGTGCTTTCTGCCGAATATACTTATCCACAATTGACAGAAGATATTTTAAAAGACATAAGTAATCGTGTATTTAACGCCAAAGATTCAACGGGGCCAAAATCTATTTCAGGGTTTCTAATTAAGTTATCATCTCTTCTTCCAGTAGTCATGCTAAGACAAATGTCGTCTTTAATAAAATTACTAAATAATAGTTCCATTACACTTAGATGTTCCATCGTTGAGGCATGCGGTAACATAGTGGTAAATCTGGCTAAGGATGGGGAATCATTCATACACTACAAGCAGCAGATAGGTGTCCTTATTGAACTTTTGGAAGAAAGATTTCAAGATTCCAATCCCTATGTTCGTACAAAGGCTATCCAAGGTTGCCTAAGGATTATAGATCTAAATGTGAAATTGAACGAGAAAAGGGGAAGTATAACAACACTTGCAGTCAGATCGCTACAAGATAGGTCGTCTTTGGTGCGGAGAAATGCAACAAAACTCTTATCAAAACTACTTCTGAAGCACCCTTTCAATTTAATACACGGATCACAATTAAGATTGTCAGACTGGAAAATGTATTTATCTGTGGCTGAAGAAACGCTGGCCAAATTATTAGGAGAAGATAATCCTACTGACAGCATATTAGGTGATAGTGAAAGTATCCATGGTACTGATGATATTTCAAGAATTGAAGAAGAAGCTACTGAAGTCAATAGTACCAATGGAGACTCAATTTTAAAAGCCCGCTTAATGGTTTCATATTATAAGGATGCTCTCGAATTTATTGAAAGTTTACATCGCGGTGTTGATCTAATATCGGATTTGTTATTTTCGAGAAATAGGAATGAAGTACTGGAAGCAATGGACTTCTTGGTTCTCTGTGATGCTTATGATTTAGATCCTAGTGAGAATGGAATAAAGAAGATGCTGCATCTAGTATGGGTTAAAGGTACAAATGACGAGGGTACAAGTATTTCGACGCACCTTATTTATTGCTATAAACAATTATTTTTGACAGCTCCAGATGGCGTGAGTACTAAAGAACGTTCAGGGTATGTAGCAAAGAATTTGATAAATCTAACGGTAGGCGCATCTGTTGCTGATCTTGCGTCTTTAGAAAAGTTATTAGGAATGATGTACCAAGATAATTTGATAGATGAGAATATTATCAGAGTCTTATGGGCAATTTACAACTCAACCCTAAAAAAGGATGTTGCGGGAAGGTTTACAAAGGATCAACTACATGGGTCTATTATAGTGTTAAGTATGCTAGCTCTAGAAAACCATGAAATAATAACAAAAGGTTTAGATTCCTTGCTCAATATTGGACTAGGGGACATTGGAAATAAAGATCTTATTCTGTGCAAATATTCGTGTATTGCAATAGAAAGAATGGTACCCAAAAAACAGATGACAATCCAGTCTGCAATTTCGGAAGCCCAAGAAGAAATTGCAGTCAAGAAGTTATATAAGAGGATTGTTAACAATACTAAGGATTTGGCGTTTTACCCTATGTGCGAACAAGCAATAAATGCATTGTTCACCATATCCTCAAAACCAGACGTTGTCGGGTCTGATTTAATACGTGAGAAGACTATGATGACATTTGGAAAACCAGAGTCCGGAGAAGATTCGATGATGGTGGATACCGATTCAAGAGTTGTCTCTCTGAGTCAATTACTGTTTATTGTGGGACAGATCGCCATCAAGACTCTAGTATATTTGGAGAAATGCGAAGCAGATTTTAAAAAAAGAAAAATCCAAGCTGAAATCCAGAAGGGTAAGCAGAAAGATAATGAAGTCAACACTACGACGGATTCTATTAGTAAAGATAAAGAATTAGAAATGATCGGGGACACCAATGAAGACGATTTTACTGATGCGATCCAGTTTATTAAGGAGACTGAACTTTTGTACGGTGAAAATTCCCTGTTCAAGAAATTTTGCCCCATCATTGAAGAGATTGTATCAAATTCGACCAGGTTCAATGATGTAATGCTGCAGAGGACAGCTACTCTTTGCATGGAGAAACTTATGTGTATTTCCTCCAAGTACTGTGAAAAAAATCTTCCATTGTTGATTACAGTAATGGAAAAGAGCCCTGATCCAATTGTTCGTTCTAATGCTGTATTAGGTCTAGGTGATGTCGCTGTTTGTTTCAATAATCTAGTTGACGAGAATACCGATTATTTGTATCGTCGTCTTCACGATGAGAATTTAATGGTTCAGAGAACTTGTCTAATGACTGTTACATTTTTGATTCTAGCAGGTCAAGTGAAGGTTAAAGGTCAATTGGCCGAAATGGCAAAATGTTTGGAGAATCCTGACCAAGGTATTAGTGATATGTGTCGTTTATTCTTTACCGAATTAGCTACCAAAGACAATGCTATTTATAATGGTTTTATTGACATCTTCAGTAACTTATCTTCAGATAAGATGTTGAAACAAGATGGATTTAAAAAGATTATCAGATTTTTATTATCATTTATTGAAAAAGAAAGACACCAGAAACAATTGTGTGATAAATTATGCAGTAGATTAAAAAAATGCACAACACAGGAACAATGGGATGATGTAGCATTTGTCTTAAATAGTATGCCATACAAAAACGAAAATATTACAGCGATTTTGGGCGAGGGGTTTAAACTTGTAGCTGCTCGTGGATAGGTTGCTAATATCCTAATGGTACATAATGAAATACATAACAATACTACATATAATTTCCTTTTGCGTACATAAAAGTAATACATAAACAAGTGAAACTGGTAATAAAACCATTACCGTTCAACATCCGATTCCGATTCTGATTCATAAAGTGTTTGTCAAACAAATAGTATTGTTTTCACAAGCTTTGATAAATATCAACTCCTCAGTTCAACACATAGAATTGGGTTACAACAGGGTTGCATAATCTACTGGGACAAGAAAAAACTAGCTACTAAAATGCTACCAATGAAGAAACAAAAAGAAGAAGAAACCTTTGGTAGAACTGAGATCTCACAGATACAAGGGCTAAGTTGACAAAATTAAGTTTGATTGAATTACATATAATCACATATTATTTTCCGCTAAACATAAACAATGTATAACGCTTTCCCTTTCGCCAAATATAAATACAAACGGGCGAAAAGAAGTTTCAAACAATAGTTCTACATCATACCCAACGTATAAGAAAATGGTCATAAATGACCCCCCCCATGTTCACAAGCTAGATCTGTCTTGTTAGCAAGTCTGTCCTAACAACGCTCAATAAAAATTTCATGATTAATAGGCACGTTGTTAGAGTTCTTTTTTTGATATCTTTTAAAAGTGACGGGCCTTCAGAAGAGGAAAGCCCATGTGCGTAGACGCGGATTTCTGCCAAACAGAAAAAAAATATCAAAGATTATTCAACTACTCCTTCTGCGATATATATTTTCAACTGTATTTTTTTTCAAGAAGTGGAACATCCATCCATTCTGGGCAGAAAGAACATCTATACAATAGTAGTGAATCAACATTTGCTAAAGGAAGGGAAGGTAAATCATCATTTCATTCATTTGATACTCAGATTATTTTTATTTATTGTAATTTATTGTTCCTAGTAATCCTCCACTTATCACTAATTATATTCCAGTTGTTCGAGTTCTCATATTCGACAAATAGGAACTAGTGATTTGGATAATGACATACAGGTCCCACGTTGTAGTAAACGATAGGGGTTGAATAGTGAATTATATATTAAAGGAAGGTTTTTATTCTAGTTGTACAAATATATTGCCCTCTTTCCATTAGTTAGTGCCTCAGGATCGTTATTAATTATTTTTAAGGTATCATGAGTATACCTACCTCAGAGGGACCATCGCATATAGAAGATGATGGTGCTCCAATAGATATTCCTACTGTTATTCTTCCAATAAATTTCTTAAAATGTTCAAGATCAGATTTAATTGTTTTAATTTCACGAATGCTAGTCTTTTTAATCCAAATAAACGATAATAATGCAAAAACAGATGAAGATAAAAATGGTCCTACAGAAGCAAAATTAACCAGATTTCATTCGAGTACACCCCCAAATATATCGATATACAATTACTTAATACGACTGACCAAATATTCAGCATTAGAATCTGCTGTCCTATTATCTTCCGTATACTATATTGACCTTCTTTCAAGTATATATCCGGCATTCACTTTAAATTCATTAACTGCTCACAGATATTTGTTAACAGCGACTTCTGTAGCGAGTAAAGGTCTCTGTGATTCATTCTGTACAAACGCTCATTATGCAAAAGTAGGAGGTGTACAATGTAGTGAGCTAAATATACTCGAAGAAGAATTTCTAAGAAAAGTTAATTATAGAGTAATCCCTCGTGATAATAATATATCATTATGTGAATTTGAATATCAACAAAATGAGTTTAGCATAACCAATCCTAATGTTTTACCGAAAGATCTACAATTTTCAATCACGCAAAAAAATAGTGGTTATAATATATTGGATATGTACTATAGGAAGATGATCCAATTGATAGGATCATTTTCATCATCACCAGATAAAAGCAGAAAAGTAGATTATAAACTGGAAGAGATAGAACTGAATGCGTCAAATATACCGGATGATGTATCACACAATCCTGTGCGAGATAGAACCAACAGACCACCTAACAAGAGAAGTTACGATAATTCTACTGAAAATAGTAACGATAAATTCTTAGATGAATCAGACCAAAATAATAAAACTTCATTATTTAACCATAACAAAAAACTTGCAACAGAAGAAATTAAGATGCAAATAAATGAACGTATCAAATAATATTCTATTTTATTAAACAATATTCCTCAACTAACTTTTACAAGAAACATTTTCTACTTAATTTATTATTCATTTAAATTGATTAAGAACCTAATTAATAAAAATGTATTACCATTAGTAGACTTACGAAAACTTTTTTCTCATTCATCATACATATATATATCATTTTTAGTTGATCTTATAGAATAAATGTATATTTTAATAACATTATCTGTAGTATTGTGATTATTTTTCAATATTCTAGTGAAGTCAAAATTTCACAGAAGAAAATAGAGTACGTTCATAATCTTCATAATTTTTCGGTTGAGATGGAGTATTATAATCCGGTAATAAAGTCCTAATTTACCTTTCTGAATTTACAACTCAAGATAAAACAGGACTACCCTTATTCTTTAATGGACGAAAGGAATAAAGTTTAAAGAATCTTCTTTATTGAATATAATAATTCAATGGCATGCTTCAGTCCCGAGAACATACGCCAACAGATACTCTCACTTCAAATCTATTTCTATTTCCACAGCAATGTCATTTAAGATGTTCCGAATTTATTTGTCATACAAATTAGAAGTACTGTCAATTATTTACAGATTACAGTTTAATACATAGCAGAAGAGAGTAGATTTATTAAGCATCAAAATTAAAATAATAATAATAATAATAATAATGATAATGATAAACTTAAAAAACGATCTTTGTTAAAAACGACTATTAAACGGTGCAAACCTAATTACCAAAATCTGTTAACACAAAAAGTATACATAACTATTTATTTTTGCTCCTCCGCGTCTTACATAAGAGTAAAAACAAAAGATTTATATTTCGCTTTTAATATTCGGTAAGCGTATACAAATTCATTATTTAATTAAAGAATATAATTCCTTAAATTATATTTCTATTCACGTGATCTGAATTGCTTCCTGAATTCTATAACTCCTTTTTGGTAATGAGTATTACGAAAACTACGTTAAAGTATTTAGAAATTGTTAATCCATTTTTAGTGAAATAAAACGTCATACTTTAAAGATTAAATTACGCTCATAATATAATTTGTATTTTTTTCACTCTGAATAGAGCACATTGTTTCATTTCATTGAGGTCTTACTTTTATGCTATATGCCATTTAAAAACATTGTATGATTTATTAAGTACAGAAATTTAATATTCGATGATTCTTTTTTTTTAACAGAGACTTTTCAGGATGACGAATCATAACTATCTAATATAAAACTACTACCATTATTTGGATCATCGTCAATTCTGGAAGATTTATATTCATTTGAAGTACTTGGGTCGCACTTAATATATTCTATTTTCCCTGATGAGTGATTCTATTTTTATTTATTTATTTTTTTATGTTTATAGGAATATTTACACAATTATATATTGTTGTCTTTCATCAATGAAATTATCAAAACTCTCAGCTAAGTTAATTTTTGGTAATACCCGTTTTAAATTATTAATTTTAAATAAAAAATTGAGTTGCTTTTTATCTACATTTTCGGTCAATAAAATCTTGTCATTCCAATTTGGTTGTTTGGTACTAAAATGTATGAACTCACATGATGGCAAACTATTCCATGATGAAAACCCAATTGGATGGATATCGTCAATATCTGAGGTATCACCATTCAAATCGATACCAGTATTATTTGATGATACTGGTGTTATTCTACTTTGATTACTAGTTGTTGGACTTAAAAGAACAATAGAATTTCTTTTATCAGAAATTTTGGCTCTTTTAATTACTGTAGTAAAATTTTGAATAATTAATTCTTTCAAATTTAGCATAAATAATCCTTGAATATAAATGGATCTTGTATTTTTATTTAATGTCAATAATCTCATCTCTAACGTTTCAATCGAATCATTTTTCAAACAAAGAATTGGTTTATTAAAAAAGTTTTGTTCTTGATTTCTTTCTGACAAATCACTTGGTGCAGAATAATGACTATTTGAATCATAATAATCACCATTATCCTCCATATCATTTAACTCAAAATTATTTTGAGTATCGATATTTAAACCAATAGATCTAAAAGAATTTGGTGAATTTGAAGGTAACCAATTAATAATTTTAGAACGTTTTACACCTTTTGGTATCAAACTAACTCTAAAATAAGGTGTTGCATCACTAGTTTCATTCATTGCAATTTTATGTAACAATTTAATATTGTCACTAAGGGATCTTTTCATTCTTTCTGTTGAACCTGACATCTTCGATTCATCATATTTAAATCTATGACCTGTAAAATAAGTTAAATTTGGCATATTCCAATTTTTAAAAGAATGTAAATCAAATAAAAAACTTAAAGGACATAAATGGTCATTAAATTTTTTTAATACCAAAGTAGATAAATCAATAAAATTACAAGTCTCAGCATTATTATAATTATAGAATTCCAATGATTGTAAATTTGGTAAATAAAATTCAATATCCTTTATGATACCAATAAATAATTTTTCAATAAAATTGTAAGTTTCATGTTCTACTACGGTTCCTATATTCACATTATTACTATCAGTAATAATTCTAGTAATTGTAGATTCCATAATAGGATGATTTTTCATTTCTAGAATCTTATAAATGAATGAATCTATTGTTAGATAATCCATTTTCATTTGCTTTATTGATGGGAATGATATTTTTTTACATCTTGGAGTTAAAGTCTTCTTAGTGATAGTATTTGATTCTATGAAAAAATCATGATTCAAAATGTCGAAAAAATTTCTATTTGTTTTAATGGATGATTGTTGAAATTCTATAATCAAATTATTAAAAATTTGAAAAACGGTTTCGAATTGAGTTACCAATTTTAAAATAGAAGAGTTCAAATAATTATTTCCATTAGATGAAGAAGAACAAGGACAATATATAACATCTATTGAAATTTTACCTTTAGTTAATCTTTGAAAAATATTTTTAAATTCCATTAAAGTATCGTCAACTAATTGTAAAGTATCATCAATAATTAGTACTAATTTTTGATAATCAAATTTTTTAAAATGTGTATTATCATTACCATTAAGATCATGATCATCAATATTATTCAAATCATTTTCATTAAGTTTATCAATATCTAATAAAAAATTTCTTCTTAATAAAGTTAATAAAGGAGTTGATATCATTTTTTTAGAATCAGTTAAATCCATTACCACTATTTTAGATTTAAATATTTCAATAATTTGTTCATAACATTGATTATTATAATTATTACTAACATCCATTGCTAATAAAATATTAATAAAATCCAATAAAAAATTTGTTGATTTAATATCTAATTGTGTGATTATTTGTTGAACAATCTCTAGTGGTAACTTTAGTAGAGATGAAGTCATATCCGGTATTTGTGATTGAATATCGTTCATATTTTATATTTTTTACGTTGATATTTGTTATTGCCGTTTATAATATAATATAATATGGTATAATATGTTAAACTTTTCTTTTCTTAACGTCTATTTCTTCTCCTATTTATATAAGATCTGATCTTTGAAATTGGAAAAAAAGATGAACAAATGGATAAGAGCCGTGATATTTATTATCTTTGATAATAGTGTGACCAATGGAAACATATTAATAAATAAATATGAAATATGAAATATATGTCAGGTTTCTAAAAGACCCTTTTTTGGTTCTTTATCTGTTTCTTCTTCCTCCTCTTTGCTACTTACCACCCTGCCTTATCATAACTTTAGTCTATGTGTGATTCTTTGTTGCTACGCTACTCCTTCTTTCCCTTCCGAGAATCGCATTATTTGCTTGCGCCGTACATTCAAAATCACAGTTCTCACAATTTTTCAACATTTAAATCGAAGGATTCTTGTTAACTGCAACTATTTTATAAAATAATTCAAATAACATTATATTAGTATTGGTACAATCACAATTATAAATATATTAATATAGAATTATTAATGAATATATTAATATATTTATAATAAACGGAGTTATTTACTAGTCGTATCCTATGACATTGCCACGTGATCGCTAAATATATATACATTATTTGTCTTTTTTTCTTTTTATCACATACAAAGAGAACAAATTGTTGGGATGGCTATTTTTTTCGTTTGTTGACAGCGAGCTTTGTTTAAAATATACGAATAGTATATATATTATATTGTATAGATCAATCTGTTTTCTTAATAGCTTATATGCCTATCATATGAAAATAACTGAATCTTTTAATACTTTCAATATAAGACTCCATCTTTTTCAGTTCAGGTCAGTTCATTTTATTTTGTTTTGAATATTAGAAATTATCTGAATACGTAGCGGTTTAAATTAGTGAATATTTCATTAAAGTATTTTTTGTACATCATCTCAATTATAAACTATTTATCATAATTTTAAATCGGTTCAATACAATTTATACACAGAAAAAAAACGGAACAAAAATGATTAAATCTACTTTATTATATAGAGATGATGGTTTACCACTTTGTGCTTCAGTTGATGATGAAAGTGATATGTCCTTAAATGAACAAAAGAAAAAAGTTAAAATTGTTATCTCAAGGTTAACACCAAATTCTGCTACAGAAGCTACATTAGAAAGTGGGAAATATGAAATTAATTATATTAAGAGAGATATTGTTATTTATGTAGTGATATGTGAAATTGGTTATCCACGTAATTTAGCATTTTCTTACCTTGGTGATGTTTCTGAAGAATTTCAACATTCTTATTCACATGAATATGGTAAACCAAATATAAGACCCTATGCATTTGTAAGTTTTGATAATTATTTACAAAAGACAAAAAAAGCTTATAGTGATAAAAAAGTTCAAGATAATTTAGATCAATTAAATCAAGAATTAGTTGGTGTTAAACAAATTATGTCAAAAAATATTGAAGATTTATTATACAGAGGTGATTCATTAGATAAAATGAGTGATATGAGTGCATCATTAAAAGAATCTTCTAAAAGATACAGAAAATCTGCACAAAAGATTAATTTTGATTTATTAATTAGTCAATATGCTCCAATTGCAATCGTTGCATTTTTCTTTGTATTTTTAATTTGGTGGGTATTTTTAAAGTAGAAAGAAGAGACATACAGAAATTTTAACGCTATATTATAATAGTTGAACCTTTCATCCTTACATGAATAAATATAGAAGTATATATAAATACTTAAATATTAATAGAAAGTGTCAGTAAAGTTATCATATTATTATTAGTACACTGTGTGTAAGTATGTCATCCATCCCTTTTCTTTGTTGAAAGAAAATATACATTGCGCGGTGCGAGTCAGTAAGGTCCCCTCTGTTCTCTGTTCTCTTTCCTTGGTCAATTAATCAAATATTACACTATTAGAGCATAATTATTATATACGTAAAAATTGAAAAAAAAAATAAAGAAATGGCAGGAGGAACTCAAATAAGAGAAAATGGCACTACAAAAGATTGCAAATACCCTTTTCTCAGTCTATGTATATTTTGACCCCTTTTGTTTCAGGAATATATATATATAAAGTATATATATATATATATATATATATTTTAGTTGTGGTTGTGATTATATGTCTAATACACTTAGAGATACCCTTATACCAAACATTACATTTATAATCTCTTTCTTATTTTAGTAGAAATAGAAGCAATTAACAAATCCTCATTGTTTGATATTATTATCTTCACATCGATAGATGATAAACAAACCTAACATGTCCTCTGAAACAACTTCAAAAGAAGAAGCAAATAATGCTGAATTGCTTTCCCTAATTAGAAAGTTCCAATTCACAAGAGTACTAGATTCTAATCCTCAAACTAAAGTTATCTCTCTACTAGGTATTATTGATGACAAAGAGGCAATCATTACAGCAGAGAAGACCCATTTCACCTTTGATGAGAACATAAGAAGACCATCTCAGGATGGTACAAGTACCCCTGTATTCTATCAATGTGAAAATGAATATTCTTGTGTGAATGGCATTGAAGAATTAAAGGAAATTACATCTAATGATATTTATCATTGGGGTCTTTCTGTAATGAAACAAAATATTAAATATAATCCAACTGCAAAGATTAACTTAATTTGGCCGGCAACTGAAGTTCATATTAGAAAGTATGAACAACAAAATTTCCATTTAATTAGAGAGACTCCAGAAATTTATACAAGAGTAGTCGAACCATATGTTAATGAAATGTCAAATAATAAGAGACTTAAATGGGTAGATAACATTTTATATGAAGGCGCAGAAGCAGATCGTATTGTATTTAAGGATTATCAAGAAGATAATAAACGTGACAGTTTCGTTGTCTTACCAGATATGAAATGGGATGGTATTAATATTGATGCTTTATATTTAGTGGCTATTGTCTATAGAGATGATATTAAATCATTAAGAGACTTGAGACCCAATGATCAGGAATGGTTAATAAATATTTATAACAAGATTAAATCTGTGATTCCTGGTTGTTATAATTACGCTGTCCATCCTGATGAATTGAGAGTGTTTATTCATTATCAACCATCTTATTATCATTTCCATATTCATATTGTTAATGTTAAACATGCAGGTTTAGGTAACGGGATCGCTGCAGGTAAAGCTATCTTAATCGATGATGCCATTGAACTTCTGAACTATTTAGGTCCAAAAGGTTTTATGAATAAAACTTTAACATATGTTATTGGTGAAAATCATGATTTATGGAAAAGAGGTTTAGAAAGAGAAGTTGAAAAACAATTAAAAGAGGACGGTATTCCTAAAGTACCAAAACTTGTAAATGGATTTTCAATGGAAAACCAGTAAGCAATAATTAGGAAAAGGAAGAAGTAGAATTACAATGACGAATAGAAAATTCATTATAGAAAGAATTTATTTAGTTGTTTCATTCACCAATCGTCACATACATTTATATAAGCCTATATATACATGCGTATTCAAAATAGTTAAAAAAAAACGATTCTAAGAATTTTGATCAAATGAAAATTATATATAACTCAGAAAACAGCAATACTCTATTTACAGTTATCTTTACAAGTCCGTTTTTCCATTTATTATTCTTATTGGTTTAGTTCTGTTTCAAAATAGTACTTTCATGGTAAATAAAAAAAGGACATTGTTATTATGCTATTGGGCAGTAGCGGCGAGGATAATCGATGACGAAAAAAAAGAGGATAATACCTGAATAGTTATCATGCACAGCCAAAAAAAAATTGAACGAAAACAAAATAGGAATATAAAGGAAAATAATTCAATAAGGGGATCAAACTATAATAACAGATCATTTTCTTTAAAAGTGTATTTAAGATATTATTAGTTCTATAATTCTACGATTTACGATTACTCAAAGAATTATATCACATATACATACATACACATATTTATTGCATTAAAGCAACCCAGAAAGTTTATTATCCAAAAGAGCATTACATAATGATAGCTGAAGAAACAAAGAAACGTCACATTGACACTATTGGCGAGATCGATTCATATCAGATATCTCCAAGTAAAATAGATAAAGGAATACCTAATAAGAAGGTTAAACTCGATACCGGAAAGGAGAAGGAGGTTGGTCCCTTAGAGCCGGATTTTGCTGATATTAGTAGAGTTACAATCGAAACAAAGTCTCCCGATAAAGAGACCTCAAAGAAACCTTCCAGAGAAAATGCGACCAGCAATCATAATGATAAGAATACCAAAGGGATAAAAAGGAATAATATATCGGTGGAGTTTATCAGTAAAAGGAATAACTACTCAGATAACATTAAGGAGTATAACATTGAGAAAAATATCGATGAAGACCAATACAGGAGAAGGAATAGTATTATTGAAGGCGAGGATAAATTAATAAATCAATGGCATAAGCTTCAGAAGATTGCTTTCGAGAAGACAGGAGACGCAAAGATATATAAGCCTGGAGATGACCCACGAGATTTCAATGTCCTATGGAGAGGTTATGTTAAAGTTCTGAACAAAGCTTGTAAGAAGATCAAGATCTATGGAGAGAAAAAGGACAATGATAGTGGTGATGTTGAGCCCAAGATTGAAACTCAAAATGAAAAAGAACCTGATTTACAGGAGGATCCTGAATTGGAAATTTTCGATGAAATGACCACAGAGGAGAAAATTATGAAATTAAATATTTTCCTGAGATCAGAGATATATTTTTGTTGTTTCTGTGGGGTAAAGTATAAAAATGAACAAGAATTATATGAACACTGTCCAGGTATAAAACAGGAAGATCACGAATAAATAAATATATAAAAGAAAAAAAAAGTTTTAGCATTTCTTCCTTTACAGAAATATATATTATTTATTATGCATAAAATCATTCATTACTGTTTTTTTTTTGGTATACTTCTTCAACAATTTATAATAAACTGATACGCAACTACTAAGAACATGAGCTCATTCTAAAGAATCAAACTACCCATGGATGTTTAAGATTTAATATCTAGATGCATGTATATCAAAATAGGAAGCTAGTTAAGAAAATTTAAACCCCGAAACCCTTAACTTTCATCACCTAACTACGCGACAATATTTATCAGTCTTATAGAAATGTATTCCAAAGAGAAATAAAATCGAATTATAAAACCTTAATACTTTAGTTCGACCCAAAGAGGAAATCACAACTAAATACCACTAATATATTGTAAATGATTAATATATGAATTTGAAAAATAATGAAGCTGGCGAAGAGCCAAAAAATATATCTATTTCACCTGATTTTTTATGGCTTTGCCAAGAGTTATTCGTAAAGATTGATGAAATTTCGAAAAACAATACGAAAAATTTAAGTAAACCTATTTATATCCTATATTACGAAATTATTGAACGGTTTATAAATCTTTGGAGAAACACTGTGGGCAATGATATTTATCCCGCATTGAGATTGATCCTTCCTTATCGAGATAGAACAATTTTCAATATCAAGGAAATTACATTAGCAAAAGCATTATGTCTCTGGCTTAAACTACCCGGAAATTCTATCACTGAGAAAAAACTTCTTCATTGGAAGGAATATGCTTCTCGTGGTGACAAGTTATCCAATATATGTGTTGGTGAAATAAGTAAGAGGAGAAGTGAGTATACTCAGATATCTGAAAATAAGAAGTTTACGAGGCCAAGCCGTATATCAATTGATGACTTAAATTCAAAGCTGGATCAACTATCACTGGAAAGAAATTCAAAGGATCGGGGTTATAAATCCCTTGCAAACTCTGAAGTATTTCAATATTGCATGCATAATATGTCTTTTATTGAAATGAAATATTTTTTCGATATCTTGTTGAAGAATAGAGTAATAGGTGGACAAGAACATAAATTTCTCAACTGTTGGCACCCAGATGCAAGGGATTATTTAAGTGTCGTGTCTGATTTACGAGTACTAACGAAGAGATTGTGGGACCCCAAGGTAAGACTAGAACAGGATGATTTAGCAATAAGAATAGGTTATGCATTTTCGCCCCAACTAGCCAAGAAAGTGAATTCATCATATGCAACTGTTAGTAAAAAATTATCAAATAACTTCCTGATAGAGGAGAAAATGGATGGAGAAAGGATACAGATGCATTATAAGAATTATGGAACAGAAATAAAATTTTTAAGTAGACGTGGAACGGATTTTACATATTTGTATGGCAGTGACTTAGATAGTGACACTGTAGCAAAATATTTAAAACTTGACATAAACGTTAAGAATTGCATCCTAGATGGAGAAATGGTCACATTTGACAAAGGACGGGGTATTGTGCTACCGTTCGGGATTGTAAAGGGTAGTGCAAAGGATGTCTTAACCCAGAATGATGTTTCAAGTGAAGGATTTTCTCCAATGTATGTAGTATTTGATTTATTATTCATCAATGATACACCATTAACAGAATCTCCTCTCCACCAAAGAAAGGACTACCTCACAAAAATATTAACAGAAGTCCCTCACCATATTGAGATTATCAATACTGTTAAGTGTGATAATGAGGAGCTAATAAAATCTTCATTAGAGAAAGCGATCTATTTGGGCTCAGAAGGTATTGTTTTAAAGGCTTATAATAGTAAGTACTCTGTGGGCAGTAGAAATGATAGTTGGATTAAAGTAAAACCAGAATACTTAGAACAATTCGGTGAAAATATGGATTTAATCGTAATGGGAAGGGATTCAGGTAAAAAAGACTCCTTGATCTGTGGCCTGATTGAGTATAAAAATGATGATAAGTTAAAATCGCTGCATATAATTGAGGTTACTTCAGCAGACGAAAATGATACTGACCAAACAATTGGGAACAAACCTAAGGAACTGAAATGTGTAATGTCCTTTTGTACAATTGCAAATGGTCTATCACAGGAAGAATTTAAAGAAATAAGCAGAAAGACAAGGGGTAAATGGAACCGTTCAGAGGTTACGCCACCACCCACTGAACTTTTATTTGGAACAAAAATCCCTGTTGAATGGATAGACCCCCGAAATTCCGTTGTTTTAGAGATAAAGGCTAGATCTCTCGATAATACTAGCACAAAATCACATAGATACAAGGTTGGATGTACCATTTTTGGAGGATACTGCCGTCAAGTTCGATACGACAAAAATTGGAGGGATTGTTACACTTACAGTTCATTCCAAGATGATAGAATATCGAAACAGAACCAATATAAGAGAACCAATCACCACCAGTTAGTCTCTCCAAAGAAGAGGAAGCAAACTAAAAACTATGGGATATTAAGCTCTTTTCAGAACAGGACAGTGGATATTATCAAAAAAACAGATATTTTTACGAATAATTCATTTTACGTAATGACTGACTACATTAATGAATATGACAACAAACGAACTTCAAAGGAAGACATTATTGATATGGTTATAGAAAATGGTGGGAAAATTGTGTACAATATCTTGCTAAAAGAATGGGATTATAAGTATCTACGCATTATAGGAAATCTATACACAAACGAATGCAAAACTTTGTCCAAAAGAGGATACGATATAATAAGTGCGAAATGGATACTCGACTCTATCAATAATAACCGTGCAATAAAACTAGAACCAGACCACTGCTTCGATGTCTCAGAGGAGTTGAGCGATTTAGCCAACCTGAGAGTTGATAAATTTAAGGATAGCTACACTTCAATATTAGATGATAGTTCTGTATTAAAATGCATAGAGGATAATATGGATTCAGTCCAAGACGCTGACAATTACGAGTTGTATTATAGTATTCCGCAATTCCTTTTCTATAAAAGGGTCATATTTGTGGTACATGATGCAACATATAATCCGCACGTTTATGAATTACAGACCAAGATCAGACTTTTTGGTGGGGAAACGACAGATGACCTTGATGCCTGTAATTTGGTTGTTATTGGTATAGGGTATTCTATCGACATAACTAAAGAAGTTAGGAACATTCGGTATAGTATTTCAAAACGTGTCCACGCAACTTCTCATACCCCTTTAATACCTTATATCGTTAACAGTAATTGGATACAAAACTCTATTGAAAGGAATGTTCAGCTACCTGAAGAAGATTTTCCATATATTGCTACATAAGATTATTCGCATAATGAATAGTTTAACGTGTCTCTTTTAGGGAAAATAAAATCGACAGTAGACGCTAATTATGAGCCGGTTTACATAAAGTTAAATAATATTCTTGTTAGATATTTTCTTTTATTAATATACATGTTAAATGCGAATGTAGCAACGCCTTGCAAGATATATTAAACACTATTTGCTTGTTCAGTAGTCAATTCTGTTGGAATGTCCTGCGTAGCTTCATTTATTTTGGGTTTATCATCTGTATTTGTTTTGTTTTGGGAGTTGTGTTTTCTTCTCCTTCTTTTTGTATTAGATTGACCGTCTACCTTATCATTTGAGGATGACTTCACCCCATCTTTAGAATTATCTATATCATTGTTTGATTCCCTTTTTCGTTTTTTCATACTTAGTGGGTTTGGGCCCTTTGGACCCCTTGGACCCCTCGGTTTTGACTTCTTTGGCTCTGTTGTAGCCCCTTCCTTTTCGGCAGGCTTTTCTTTTGTTGGTTTTGGATTATTTAAACCTTCATATAACTTCGACACTTCCTTTCTTCTACTCACCTTTGCACTCGCATCACTCAATGGTTCCATTACCATGACAGCTCTTGATATATGCACCAATGGCACACCAGGTATACGTCTTAACTTTCTTCTAATTTGAATGTCTTGGGAAGCCACAATATACCTATGCTTATTCTCACCCTTAATATCAACGATACTTTCGATACATTCCATTGGTGTCTTAGGATCCTTTGGATTATGATTACAACGACGTCTTTCGAATTGTTTAGCCATATATATGGCATCCTGGTTTCCTAGTTCATACAATGCTTGCATACAACATTGAGTAATCATAACCTTAACTTCAGCTTGTAGGGTTCTCTCTAGACCTTTGGTCAGATCAAAGCTAGAGTCATTACTAGTTGTTACGATTTGATCATCCACTATGATTTGATATGGTTCTCTAAACTTGAATGTGTGGTGATAAACAAGCAGTTGCTTTCTATAGGACTTAGCCCTTTTCTGACGCATATTTTCAATTTAATTTAAATATGTGATAGTGGTTGGTGTACTGTGAGCAGTTAAGTTAATATATGGTACCTCTAAAATGTTTTCAGTAGTTTGCTTTCTTATTATTTACTAGTTTCTTTAAAGCTCATCGCTAAAAAATTTTCTTTTTTCGCTTTCATGAAAAAGAAAAGTCCTGTTAAGAATTATTTTCTATCATAAATAAGAAACTATGAGACTTTCAACGTAGAAAAATAGATAATTACTATAGAATTAGTTATATAAAAAGATAAGTCTATATTGATTCTAATCTGAAATACATCATTGTTTAAATAATGGTATAACTGAACTGCGAAATTTAAATTCACAATGCTTGTATAGTCTTGTTTCTTAGAGTAAATAATTTGTAGTAAGCCCACAACCAAAACATAACGAAGCAACCAAAGCCAACGACACAGTTTAGGATCACCCATAAGTCTGGATATTGTTTTGGTGGTTCTATGAAACGATCACCAATGTGGATAGCAAACATTGCTATGTAAGAACAGACTATAATCAATTTCCACAGGATGTTGTTTGGTAGTAGACTTCTGCGACGGTAATTCTTATCGGTATCACTAACCGGTGGACCTGGAGTCAAGAAACGTGGTAAAAATCTTGGTGTAATGAAACTAAAATTACCTAACAACCAATTACACATTATGAAACAGGTGCTGTATTGCAAAGATAGGTGATCCTTTTTTAGCAATGGCCACAGTGTAAATAAAGAGACATTATTTATCCAACAAACAAAAGATAGAACATTTCTATCATTAGATGTGTATAGTAAAGTAACTGGCAGTAAAGGCACTAATATGGTCTTTTCATGAACTTGGAAACTGAACAGGAAAAATGACATGGCACAGGTTGTCAGGGAATAAGGTAGTAAATGTTTCTTTGGGTATAACAAACTCATCAAAAATGCTGGCAAGAAACCGGCCACCGTCAAAACTAATGAGTATAACTGTAGTTGTTCTTGAGTATACAATGTTTTGAACTTTATGAACAAATTCCCAACACACCAGAAATTGGCGACTTTATCTTCAAATATACCTCTCGCAAAGGGAAAAATACGACTAATACACTGTCGAACATTTGTAATTCTTCCTCCAAATAAGTATAATGGTCCGAATACAGAGACAAATGCTAAGACTGTTGCTATAGCTATACCAATGAATCTTGAAATGTTGAACCACTTTGGAAAGAATAATGATTTACTTAACAAATATGCGAAGAACACTGGAGCGTAATATAGAGACATTTGCTTAAAACATATAGACCAAACAAAACAAACTGCGGCCATTGAGTAAAATCCATCTAGTAAATTATTAATAGTGTAAATAGTTAAACCCAACATCACAGAGTTATATTGAAAATGACCATGATCAATTAACATCAGAGATGGTTGGAACAAAATAGCAGCAGCAGCAATATATTGACTTACAGGTGATTGGTTTCTGTGTCTTCCAACCCATTTTGTAAAATACACGACGGCTGGAATGTAGAAAATAATATCACTTAGAACTACAGTTAACCTCATAAACGTTTTGATCCCATCTTCTTCATATCCACGAGATTCGTTCAATGCAAACCATGCTGGATAAATGAATGTACCAATCTTACCTAAAATATAAGAATGGAACGCGGTTAAAGGTGGATAATCCAGACCCCAGTATTGTAAATCAAACCAGTACCATTCTGATATCGGCAAATGCTGAGTAATTTCCATCCAATGTCTTTGAGCTTCAAAGTCACCGAACATCGGAGGTGTATTCATACCAGAATAAGGTCCTAACCCGATTGCAAGACGAATAATCAACGCAAATATTATAATAACATAATGTGTAAGCCACTGGCTTCCTGCTGGTCTAAAAGGGGCTAGGAAATCATAAAGTGGTGATGCATAGAATGGATCGTTAACTGGTTCATTAGCATCCACTATTTTAGAACTATGATGGTTCTTTTCTCTTTTGGTACCCTTCTTCTTGGAAGACATTATCTATAGAGAGATAAAGTTTCTTGATATAATAAAGATAAACACAAAAATGTATTATTCCCGATGTATGTTCTCCTTTAAATACTCTTATTTCTTCAATCAGGGATAAGTATAGTATATGTTGATCGAATTCCCAACAAATGTATCTATCACCTTTGTTGCTGTTGTCCTTAGTTTATTTACTTCAAAAGCAAAACAAGCTCGCAGCGCCGTCACATAATAATTTTTCACTGTTGACCTTCCAAAAGAGACAGAGACATCACAGATTATGGTAAATTACTAAAACGAATGGGGAAGTGGATAGAGTAACCAATACGAGACTACCGTACTTATCAACTTATGAATATTTTATTATATATATATATATACATACAGATATATATTTGTAACCATAGCGAACTTAATGATGATCAGCGACTTCGGCCTCGGTGATTCCGTTTCTTATAGAAGATCTCCAACCAACTGCTCTTTCAAACCCATTAGTACCTGTTTGATAGTTTTCGAAAACCTTCCGTAATCTTTCGGAGTTAGTCTCAACGAAGGGGCCATGTTGCAGAATTGGTTGATCAAGGATTAGTCCACCAATGAGGAAGAATTCTGTGTCTTCGTCAGAATCAATAGACCCCTCGATAGTGTTACCATCAATATTAAAGAATAATGTCGAGTATTGAGGATAATGTTTTCCATTGAATGAAATAGCACCTTTACTGACATACAAAAATACGTTAAAGTTCGAAGGCACTTGTTGCTCAAAACGTGTCCCTTTCTTGTCCGAATTAAATATGTAGTATTCAACTGGAGTGTATGCAAGTTCTTTCACTGATTCAATACCATATGATTTACCACTAATAACTTTCACGGCCAAATGATCGTTTGGTCTAGCAATAGGAATGTCGCCATTTTTCAAATCTCTGTATCTTGGTTCAACGTCCTTTAATTTAGCCGGTAAATCCACCCATAATTGCATACCAATACATGGAGAATCATCTGCCATAAGAACCGGTATCTCTGCATGCATAGCAGCTTTACCAGCTGTCATAAATTGCATGTCACCGGGACGCAGCACTCCTTTAGCGCCAGTAAAATCCTCATGAGCAATCATACCTTGTGACATATATGTAATAGTCTCTTGTCCATGATGAGGATGGTCTGGGAATCCAGCTGGTGGAGATACTGTGAAGTGGTCCAGCAGTAAAAAGGGACTAAAGTTACGTTGCTTGTGAGTACCGATGGACCTTCTAACGGTAGCACCGACACCTTCTTGAGTTTCGGTAGCCGCAAAATAGTGGGCTAGTGTACGTAAAATTTTTGTCATTTTAATTTGTGATTAGTTTGTATTTGAATAGAAAAAAAGAATAGTATGCTGATCTATTAGATGAACGTAAAACAAATAAACACAAATTTTACCACTTTACAACTTCCCACACTTCTCATCCAGAATACATCCTATTTATATACTTTTATTCTCTGTCGGAGTTTTCTGAAACTGTCACGACAGGGTATACATACACAGAATAATATAGTGTAGTTAATAATATCAGTAATGCAAAAAGTATAAACTTAATAATATCTTACTCATCGCCCTTGTGATCCATCGCTCACTATCAACAAATTTCGCGATATTTCGCTTCTTTGTGAGTATCGCGCGATGAATAAGGAATTAATAAGGAATTAATAATGTAACTAACAATAACAGAATTACATTAAGTCTTAGAAGTGTTTTAGAGCAAATTACTTAAAATTGTTTGATAGTTGACATACCAGATTTGGAAAAAAGGGGGGCTGGATAGAGATAAAGTAGGTTGATCTGTACTGTTATTTTAAAAAAAATAGTATTATCTTAGTAGATGTCTGACGACGACTCACTTTCCTTTGGGGAGGATTTCGATGAGCTTCTAGAATTAGCAAACAAACCACCAAAGTCTACCCAAGTAGCAACCGCATCACAAACACAGATACCTATCAGTACTGCAGGCACAATTACCAGTAATCAGAGTGAGAGCAGAACGAATCAGAATGGGGAGAATATTCTAGAACACCAATTAAATGAGGCCAAGGGAGAAGCTAGCGTACTTAGAGATAAGATCTCACGCCTGAATAATGAAAGAGAACAGGAGAGAAAATTGTTACATGACCAAATGAAAAAGTTGAGTGAAAGTCGTACCATGGAGGAAGATAATTTGAAACAAACGATACAGAGATTACAAGATGAAAAACGATTTCTTACAATGGGTGCCAAGACAGCCGCAGCCGCAGCCGCAACTGCATCATCATCAACTGCTGTATCACTATCAGTATCGTCCTCATCTCCAGTTACACCCACATCAATAACGTCTACACGTATACGAAATACAAGTGCAAGTTTAAACAATCGACATAGAGCACAGCCAGGAAATAGCGTAACTAGTTCACCTATAGTTAAGAGAAGAAAAATTGGTGATACTTTACTACCGCCTAAAAAGAATAACACTAACAATACAGTGGTTCCTTTGAATCTTAACAAAATAACTACCGATGAAGTAAGTCTATTGTTCGACGCAATCATATCACATAGATCAGTTGGTACTGATTTGACAACAATAGAAATTTTAAATAAATTAAAATTGGAAAACATAAAGAGTTCTGAACTGAAGGAGGATTTTAAACTTTGGAATAATGAGTCTATTGGTAAATCTTTATTTATTCTGTTATCTGATACCAAGAGAAGTTTATCGTTAGATAAATGTATAGGAATCCTCCAGGAGAAGATAGCTTTTTTGATTAAGAGTATATGTTTCAATGAGGCAGAATCTAACATTGCTGTACCGTTCTTGTTGGAAATTATGTATCAGATCATAACATTTAGACCAAGTGCTGTAAGACAGTATGTATTGAAAAATACATTTATGTTCTTATGTGATTTAATACGAGTTGAAGAACATACTTTAATGGAATCCAAATTACCACAGGATAACGAAAACGAACAATTACAACCACAAATATTTCAATTTGAGTTGATCAATAACTTGGTCATATTTAACTCTTTCGACTTACTAGAAATGTCACTTAGAATATTACAATCGCATCAAATCTCAAAGGAAGATTTTAAGTCATTTTTTGACTCTACTTTAATGGGTTTATTAAAATCTATCTACAAATTGGCATTACCAATCTCATATAAAATAAATTTTAGAGTGGCCATTAATATAGTGGAGACATTGAAGACAATAGCCAATATTCAAGAGGGTCTATTACCAATTAGCGATACAGGCATGGGAAATAAAGATAAAAAATCACAATCTCTTTTGGAATCCTCATGGTGGAATGAATGTATTTTCAGGATATATTCAATTTTAGAAAAAGAAATTAAAAATATAGATATCGATGACTCTACAGATATTAAATATACATTAAATTTTAGTCGATATCATGACAGCTTTGGATTGATAAGGAATATTGGAAATGATACTATTGGGAAAATTATTCCGAAATTAATAGATCCAAACATTATACAGGGAACACCCTCAGTAATATCGAAAGATGATTTACAGTTATTAAGTCACGATGATGCTATTGATTTTCAATTTGAATACTGGAACTTCCTATTGAAAAATGAGATACTAGATTTGTTTGATTCGTTATTAGCCATATATCCTAATGATTTACAGATAGCAAATAGTGATATGTTGTCAGTTTTAACTAAATTGCTCTCTAGAGAACAAGAGATTTTGTTGGCAAGAAACATTGGGCAAGATTCGTCAAACGTCATACATAGACAAGAAATTATTGAACATCTAGTTTCATCAATCTTCAGAGTTTGGACTCAGAACCGTCGTAATATAGAGACCGAAAGAGTCAAAGAATTTGAGAACGAGTTATTCATGGCGTTGTGGAGAGTCGTTGCAACAAGTAACGGTACTGTCGTAAATCCGAAACGTAGCAATATAGAACTTAATGATCAAGCTATCCTTGTAGATTCATTATATCGAATGACGATTGATGACGATATGAACTATTATGAGGATGCGTTCGAAGATATTCCTAATTATGTGAAGGATGAACTTGAGGCTGGACTTCAAGAACGGACTTCCAAAATTATGCAAATCAAATACAACGATACCTCTTTAGCCATGGCACGTCATATCCTTGAAGCTGAAGTCGGTAGCTCTGTATCTATGGAAAATGTAGATTCTTTATATAAGGCTATGGGTTTATAGAACAACTTAATAGAATATGATTATGATAATATAATTAAAAATCCTTTTTATTTATTTATTATTGTTTTGTTTAATAATACAATACAAATTTGAAAAAATATATATATATGTACCATTAAAATGTGGCGAAGATAAAATTGAATGCTAATTTTGTGAGATTTGTTTAAGCAGAAGCCTTTTGAGCGGTACCAGTTTGGAAACCGTTCTTGAATCTTCTAGAAACGTGCTTTAGATATTGCATTCTACCAGTACCGACAGTGGTTCTTCTCTTAGACTTAGCACCCCAGTTGAAAGATCTAGTCTTAGCAGCTGGGTAACCACAGGCTGCACAGGTCTTCTTTTGAACGTGGAAAGAACGACGACCACATCTGTTACATAGAGTGTGAGATTTGTTGTGACGCTTACCGAAAGATGGAGTACCCTCTGTTTATATTAGATAACGTTCGAATATTGAATCTGAATATATGTCATGATCTTTGAATCAATACATAAATAAAATTTTCAATAAATGAATTACGTTAAAATAAATTCGTTAGTAAATGGTGCTAAAAAAAATTATGGTAAGGTTAAGAATGCGAATATTTTCTACAGGAGAATAGTAGAGTATTTGTAGAGTAATATTTTTATATTATAATTCATGTTGGATGGTTTATCATTATTAATTGGAGGATGAGTTGGAAAATATCATTATTTCACAATGAAAATAAAATAAATTAAGACCCAATTTCTAGGGTACTCCTGTTCCTCTAAACTTTGATGTTCTTGTTTCCACAAATTCTTTATTTTATATCTCTTATTCATAGTTGTAGATCTTTATAAAATAATAAAGTTACACCTCAAATAGTATCTTATTGAATACTACTGGTTCATTAATGCATGGATATCATTCTCAAAAAGATATCTCGATTCGTACAATCATTTATATTATTTCATATTCTATATTCAATTGTTATTATTCATCGATCTCTGATGTTTCTAATGTTTCTGATGTTGTTCTTCTTCTTGTAATATTTCATGTATTCCTTCTTCCTTTCTTTCGTAAATCTTATCTACATACTACCCATGCTTGCTATTTATTTGATTGTATATTTGTAGCTTATATAATAAGTAACAAGAGATGATGATAATATCTACTAAATCCACTTATATGCTGCTTTGCCACCTCTTAACAACGTCAATACAACACTTTGAGTAGGGTCTCATGGTAAACCACATCACCTTCCAGTATGGTAAACTTTGGATATTAGAGGACTATCAACGGTTTTACGATTTGTTCAGTTTCTCTATTACTGATTGTTCCCAAGAAAAGAGTGAAAATTTCAGTATTTGTGATGGCTTTGCCTTTCTCCGATGTTTTCTCGCGGAACTTGTCGAATATTCCAATTAGAAATTGATATTTAAACTCCGTTTTCTTTTTTAATTTTCAATTTTCTTGACTATATTCAATATATATGTGGGTGTACGGATGTTGTAGAGGGTGTACGGATGGTTTGACAAAATGAACCAGACAAGTCCAATCGTGGTAATCTTTTCATGCGACACGCGAAATGCAGTTCCCATTTTGTCTCTTTTTTTTGTGGCGCAAACAATTCGCGTTGTTTTTGTTTTGATTTGAGCAGAATAGACACTCATCGAATTTTCGTTACACGGTTTGGCGTATTCCCCCCCTGTCACCTCCCTTTTTTGTTTGGTTCCCATGAATATATTGAAAAAAAAAATTTATTACCATTTTATCCATTTGTTTGTTCAAAATATATATTTCAATGTATAGTCAATATTATTAAATACTTTCAGAAAGTAAAAAGTATATCTTCAAACAGTGTTATTTCTAGTTAACTACAGTTAGTACTACCTTTTTTCATACTTAAGTGCTAGACCAATTAGTGATATTTCTGAAGAAAAAAAGATAAGGAATTCTAAGATAAACGTCAAATTAAACCAGTTAGAAAAATGTCTACAGAGTGTCCACCTTCGTCCCCTGTAAGATTCAGGTTGTCGAGCCCCATGACTAACAAACCATATGGCAAGTCAGGGAAAGATGGTCAACTAAACTCAACTATAATGAACGTCAAACCAATACCCACTCCAGATCCTTCCTCAAGTATTGGTATGGGGCTATCATCTCCTGTGAAGAATCGGGATATCATTCCAACTTCACCTGCTAATTCAAGACATTCAAGAGTGTCCTCGATCGATGTAGATTTGGAAAGGAACAGTGTTACTCGTCTCACTATTGGCAGGAAAAAGTCTGTCTGTGATGTCGTCTTACCTAGTCGTCAAAACATCTCTAGACAACACGCTTTTGTTACTTATTTGAACAAAGAAAACAAATTGAAGATCAAATGTAATGGTACGAATGGTATTGTCATATTTCTTTCTCCAAACGGTATTCGTTGTAATCTCACCTACATCAATAAAGAAGAACATATCTATAAAATGTCGTTAGATGGACCTATAGAAAACTCTCAGATTTTAACCTCGTTTGTACTAATAAAAGGAGAAACTGTGGTGATGCCATATTTGGAAGGTATTAAAATTAACTTTAGACAAGCTGAAGTAGCATTACATATGAAGGAGAATATATTAGAAAGTAGCGAAGGTAGTGCCACTGAGAGTGAGGATGAAATGTCTATTTTACCAGTTACAACAGATTCATTTCACCATCCTCCAGACACCCCCACAAAGATATCTGTTCATAGGAAGCAAATATCTTTGCTAGCTGATCAAGATAAAGCATTACCTCATGATAATGAATATAATTTATCGAGAACCTCTGTTGTAGATGATAATACATTATTTTCTAACGCTACTGGTACACCATTATTGCAACTACCTGCACAAGAGCCAACAACTCCTAAGAAAGTTATCGATCCTACTTATAGATTGCATAACAATTATGAAACTCCCATTCAAGGTCCTGGTCAAGATATCGAAACCGAAAATAATTCTTCAGCTAATATAAGAAAGGAAATGTTTGGTGATATGGAACATGTGTTTAATTTCAGTGCTACTCCAAAGCAAGAATTATCTGAAACGCCTAATAAAAGACAAAAACTAAATGGTCCAAACGTACAAACTTCATCACCTCCATCTGAGGTATTAACTAATACACAAGAACCCTCAGTGAAAAAATCCAAGGGGAAATCTAAAAAAGCTAAATCGTCAAAGGAAAATGTAGCTTCCTTCACCCTAACTATAGAGGATCTTGAAAAAAAAGGAATAAATTGTGCTGAAATCCAACATATTCTTTCCAACCACTTGGCATTTGCTGCACAACAACAAACACCTCTTTCACAACTACAGAACACAAGTCACAGTATTTCTCAACTGAGTACTGAGGAAGTACGCCTCTTACTAGAAACAGAGAAATCAATTGGTTGCATCAAACGTGAAGGTAAGGATGCGGCTGGTAAGTTACTAGAGGAAGAGTTCTATTATGATATAGAAAATGATTATGATGAAGACAGAAGGACTTTGGTAACGTGTTTGAAAGGTGGACGTGCTGGTATAAGGTCAAGCAGAAAGAGTCACAAACAATATTTTTGGAAGAAGCCAGGTAAGAAATAAATATATACTATTTCTATACATATTATGTTTCTAAATAACTTTAAACAATACATAAACAATTCTAACTTCATATACATCTATAGTAATAATAATAATAATGCTTAATGCTTCTAGATATATAGATGAATTTCTAGAAGAGAACTGCGGCAAAATTTTATAATCTATCATTCCTAATTATAGGGTTATTCATATTGAAACTGGTGCAGGAAGAATTGATGAAGGTATACGTTTCTGGATAAACATCCACCTCCAACATGCAATTACTATACTTACACCTAGAAAGCCACCTGATATGACATCATACCAATGATGTTTGTGGTCTACTATTCTTGATATCATGACAATTGCTATTAGGAACAAACACCAAATATTTCGTAAAGGGTTCCCTAGAATAAATTTGCATTGCCAAAAGTAAATGAACCCCAAGCCACTCATAATAAAACTAGAGTGTCCACTTGGTGTACTCTTTAGACCGTCATAAAGTAATCTTGTATCTTTCTGTGTGCATATTTGTGCAGTATAGTATGCACTTGGATCCCCCTCCTGTATTTGCGTAAGGTCTGGTTGACATCTATCCAGAAAATCAGGACGTGTATTACCAATTATAAGTTTGAAAGAATTTGTCAATGTACCATTGATACTAAGAATCAATGCTAAACATATTATACTGACGTGGAAAAGATGATGTTCTTTTGATAACCAATCTGGTCTATTGTTTAACCAAGGACCAGCAAGTTTCCTAATAGACTGTCTGTGAGACTTCATTAGACAGTACCAAGAGGCAATTATCAGTCCGATTAAGACAGCCATCAAAACACATTCAACATCGCTGACTAATTCGTCATTCTTAAATTTCTTACCTATCCTTGGATCATCCAGTCGAAATTTAATTGTCTTCCATCTGGGTACTAACTTAAACTCTGAATATATAAAGAATATACTGCACAAAAGTATAACTGTGTACTGAAAGTAATATGCCCTGGCATAACTGATCAGTGGTGCTATTTGCATTGTGATTCTTAAACAGTAAGGATATTGAAAGGCGGGGATAGGATGTACAGGAAATGTCTCGCCTACTCTGTTCAACACACTCTAAAACTAGTAGATCAGATCAAATAAAATATAGAATATGAAGATAGCCTTAAGTTCAATTTATAGCAAATTCGATACCCTTATATATCACTTATTTGAAGTTAAGTTCCCTCTATGGTATGTAGATACTTATGTCGTTATTTTTAGTTTACTTATAATTTTATTAACCCAGGAAGGGGTTTCCACCTGTTCCTTTAGCAGTCATTGATCGGTTGAATCAATCATGTTTCTTCAAAGTGGTATGTACGTGGGTGTGGGTGCGTGTGTGCCCCGAGAATTGTTCAGCGAGTCAACTAATAGAATGAAAAATATTTCGAGTTATAAATAAATAACAATTTCCTGTTTTTGGAACAATACAGGATAAATAAAAGATGACAAGTGACTGTGAATGCTGTTTCAACAGGGATTGCGGAATATATAATGAGTACAAGTATCACGTACTTTTTACGTGTGGTTGTTCTATGTTTAAGATTCAAAAATATATATTTAAAATAAAGGATTTAAAATGTATTTGATTATATTAGAAAAATGTACTTAAATTAACATAAACTATGATTAAAATTTGTATTGTGACTATAGTAAAGACTAGAATGAGAGTTCTTACAGGTGAGTGAACTCATCCAAAATGAAAGAAATGGGATTTACTATTCCTAATCAAATAATTGAGATACTAGTTCTTGGTACATACTAATCTGATAATTGTCCAGAGCCATATCCTGTAAATCATTTACATTTTTCCATTTTTGACTCATTGGAATGCTGGCAAGCTCTTCTTTACTGAAATCGCTAGTCCTAGAGATATCTTTTTTATCGTATGATGGCATATTGTTATTATAATGAATATATGGCAGCTTATTCACTTGGATCATGTTTTGCAACATACTCAATTCGTTACTGGTAGATCTGAAGTATCTCTCCTCAACGTTAAGATTGTTGGGTATGGGATTAAACCAAACCCTAGTTTTATAAAATCTGAACAAATCAGATGTTATCCCCGAAAAATCTGTGTTGTAGTCCCCAGCGTAATAAATGTACACCTTCGACATATCAAATTGGAATTCTGCATTTAAGATTTTAATTTGCAGCCTTTCAGCAGACCTCCTTTGTGGGGAATTGTTATACGAATCGATTTTGGTTTTTATTACATGTAGAATCTTTAGTTCGTCCTGATATTTTAGATGTAGGTCATTAGTGACCTCTATCTTAGTGGCAAATCTGATGATTTTTTTGGTAAAATAGTTATTTCTGGTCATGTCAATCAAACCGTATCTAGACGTATCAATCAGTACGTTATTGCTACTATCGTTGATTGTATCCATAAAGTCATTTATAAAGGTCGAATTACTATGTATCTGATCTATTGGGGAAGAAGAATCAATTTGTATCTTTCTCTTTAAGAATTGAAATAAAAGCGCTAGATTTTTTCGTAGAATAGGTTCGACTACAACCGCCATATCTTTCCCTTTGTCACCTTGAACAATCACAATATCACCTCTAGTAAAGAACATTTTAGAACTCTTTGGTGCTGAAAATATATCCAATTTCCCATTTTTAAAGGCACAGAGAAATAGATTTCTATCTGGAGGACTAGATACACCTCTTGTATCGTAATGGTTGGAAGAAGGCCTGGACCTCATTTCTTTATACCAAAGCAAAAATTTGACAAATATGTTCATTTTATTCTCTTTGCTTGTGGATTCTTGATGCATATTACCATATTCGATTAGTCTCGATGGTTTTAAGGAATATTTGATGTAGTCTACCATTGCATAAGATTGTCTGGTAGAGAAATATTTTCTGCCATATGATTTATATGTTTGGGATAATTCATCATTTGGTCTATATTTGCTATCTTGAAAATTAACAAAAGGGTTTGTTTCTGAATGAACACCAATTAAAAATACTTCGTATGTTTCTCTGATAGTCAAATTAGGGTTATCATATTGTGTGAATGTTTTCACTGTCGAAGATGAAGCTTGTTGAGGTGAGTTAGATTGGTTTACGTTATCGTTTCTTGGTGCTGTCGCCTCATTTTCTTTTGATATAGTTGAAGAACGATTAGGTGATATTTTCGCTACTTGAACATAGTCTGTCGATTCCTTGAAGTCCGTATTTAATGTAACCCAAATAGAGAAATCGATCTCCTTTTGGTTATTTAATTTCTCTAATAGGTCTCGATAACTCTTGAAATGGTGAAGGCTTTGACTTCTTGTCTGATCTACTAATGGAGCATTAGAACATTTCCCAACATATGCAGATGCCCCATGTAGACTACTTTGGATGGTTCTAATTTTATCCCAAATCGATGACAATTTGACGCGTAAAACTTGTGGAATTTCCTCGAGCCCTTTAATTTTGTCCTCATTTTGTAATTCTAACAGACCATTTATAACACTTGTTACAAGTTCGTCGAGATTGCTAATGTACTCATCTGTTAGTCTCTTAGGCTTTGCTTCTTTTTCATTACTTTCTTCACCCTCATTGGAACTATGATCTACTTTCATTTGGTCGATCCCAACTGTAGATTGGGTAGTAACTGGTGTAATATGACTAATATTACTGAAGAAATTAGTAGTCTGGGTTCCATCTTGTTCAATAATCTCGTACATATATGTGTCGGGCGAAATGCTATAATTATTACTACCAAGCAACTGATGATTGCTCCATTTAATATCCTCTTTGAAGGAGACATGTTTGTCATTTCGAAAATTTAGATCGGCTGTATTATCAGGGAACCTACCAATATCTAATGGCCCTGTAATAAATGGAAACCTGAAAGAGAGATCATTCGAATATCCTTGACTGTATGGTACAGTTTGACATTGCGTTCTATTCTCATAATTTACTTTGTGGATCGCTGGTGGTATAGTCAATATACTATCAATAGCCATGTTTTTATATGAATCTTGGAATTGTTGATTATTATACTAATAGTAAACGAAAATAATTATTGCGGTTAGTTAATAATATTAAATACTTCAAAGGGAATCTTTGTTTAGGTAAAACCTTTAAATATCTGTTAATTTATAGCAAAAAAATAATTAAGAAAATAAATTTAGCAGATTATAACGCTTTTCTTATTAACTTAATTTTTTGTTATTCGAAAATTTGGCAATATAAAGTTAGCAACTAGTTTTAAAGGAATTCTATTTAGAGGTTTTATGTTCTTCAGCAATTATTAGCAGGGTATGATTACATAAGTGTAAATATTTATTACTTTAAAAAGAATCTATTTTAATTGGTTAGAAGGTAAGAAAAAAGTCAAATCTGAGTAGTCCTCGCTCTAGAAATCTACTAAAGTTGACTATTTTTTGGGTCGTACTTCTCTTTGGGGCCTTGGTCTCACCAATCTTGTGGAGAGATTTATTAAAGCCGTCACAGTATTTCTTAAGTTGGAAGAAGAGAGTAGTTTTATCCCTGTAGAAATATCGAAGAGGGCAATGTAGGGGGTAATGGTGTCGATTTTCTCCTTCAAAGACGGAAATATTCTTTATGTCATATCTTGTTCTTTAATCTTGTGGCACTTGGCGTTTCCATTTTCGGTAAAATGTAGGTCCCCTTTTTTATATTTTTGAATGACAGATGAAGCATCCGCACAACCATTTCTGAGACAAAAAAAAAGTGGTTTGTACTATTTGGAAGAAATGTGACAGTTAATTACCTTCAAAACATCAAATTTTACATAAGAAATTCCTTCTTGAAAATCCCATTATTTGTATTTACATTTTCTAAAACGTTTGGACTTTCCTAATTCCAAAGGTACAGTTGAACACGAAGGGGGAGGGGTACCTTGTAATGAGAAACGCAACAGGTATTGGGACGTAAAATTCGTTGAAGTGCTGATTAATGTTGGCATTACGTCACAATCGACACTGTATTACTCAGTATATTTTTAATTTACCCAAATAATTAACCACAATAGTTCGTCAACTATGACGTAATGAGTAGGGTCCTAGATAGAGCTTTGTTTTTGATTTATTTGTCTTGGGTAGTAATACCAGCATCCTACCATATGCCCTGTCTCCATAAAAGAACGTTCAGATCCATTTGAAAAACAAGTCATTCATTAGAAATACCTCCTTGCAAGTAAACTAGTTTATATCCAGAGAATAATATGTACAGGATATCTATTGTGAAGAATAAGTAACTATTTTCAGGAGTTGAAATGTATTCATAACCGTTCTAAATGCATAACATTGTATGGCTATATGTCTACAATTTTGGAAATAATGGTTTAAGTAAAAAAAAACAGAATACTTATTTACTTACTTTAATTTAGAAATACTTACGAGATAGGAAACCCAATGTTTGTACCATATTACATATTTTGATTATCTGCAATAAAAATACTCATGTATTCTTAAGCCACACAAATATAAAATACACCATTTAATGTTAACATAATTGTGAAATAAATTAGTAGTACCTTCAGCTTATTTGTCTGTGAAGATACCATTTCTGTCACATCAGTACTCTCAGATAATTCTTTCTGGTCTGGTTTTGTCGTAGCATCCCCATTCTGGGATTCAATAACATTATTTTGTACAACTTCACTAAATGCAAATCCAAGGCCCTTTGCCATATGCCACTCAACGTGGCAATGCATTAACCATGTACCTTTCGCATTTAATTTGAATCTAATTACAGCAAATGAACTTCCAGGGATATTAATACTGTCTCTTACAGTAGGCGTATCACCTGTCTCTTCCCAGTGTTTAATGTCAGATTGATATTTGTTCCAGGCGCTCCCTTCTTGATTGTTTACGTCAAGACGACCTTCTCTTCCATTCCCAATAGAAACTAATTGAAATCGGTGACCATGAAGATGCCACGGATGTCTCATATGATCAATAGAGTTTATTATTATTTCCACTGTTTTACCAGAGGATTCCAATTCAATTGGCTCTCTCATGGATTCTTGCAAGGTCTTACCTCCCATCTTGTACATTCCAGTTCCATATTTATCTGCTGTCATCTGATCAGAATAAAACATATAATCATAATTGAGACTGACCGCTACGTCATCAAGTAAACTTGAAGTTATGATGGAGTCGGAACCATCTTTATTTATAGGTATTAATTCTTGGAACAGCTCACGTTTGTTTAATTGTGGAAGAGATTTGATAGAAACTTTAGAACTATCTGGCCATTGGGCAATAAATTCTTCAACATTAACAGTTGGACGTACATACCACAACGACTTACTAAAGTACCCCATCATCTTATTACAACCGTTTATCAAACGTATGTAATCTTGGTTTTCAGGAATTTTCACAATTACAGTATATCTTTGGCCCACAGCTAAACTTAAAGTGCTGAGGACATATGGCTTCACCAATGTCCCATCTGTCTCAATTACAATCATACTTATGTTTTCCACATTTATTATTTGAGTACCAGACATACCAGAATTAATAATTCTTAATTTCAAGTACTGAGTGTCATGTGATATTTGGTCAAGTGTGTCATGCTCCGGCTTACCATTGATCATAGATCCAGTTAATCTTGGATCTGGGGTGCCATCGATCGTAACAACTTCATTCTTTAAGATCTCCAACCCCCAATCATCATATGTGTCAGAAATGGTTATAATTTTTTCTTCAACATGAAAGATATCCTGATTGAAATCTTCACCGAAGGGCTCATTTATATTTAAATATGAATTAGTTTCCATATTATCTAAACCTAGAACTGATAATGATGATATTACATTGTTAACTAACAGATCATGTCTATTGCATGTTACTACAATTACTCCTCTCAATCCATCACCATATTGCACTGATGTATGAGAGTGATACCAAAATGTTCCGCAAGTATCTTTGGGGATAGTTATGTTATACATATAAGCCTTGTTAGGTTGAATTGGATCCTGTGTCACATAAGGAACACCATCATTTTCATTTCCTATCCCAATAAGACCATGGAAATGTATAGTGGTCGTACAATATTCTTTCAAAAGTTGGTCTGTTTCAGCAGTTTTCAGGTCTTTTTCGGAGCAGATGTTGTTCTTGACGGTGAGATGAATGGTATCGCCACCTCGCACATTAATAACTGGTCCATATGTAGTATTATAACCATTAATAGATATTATTCGTTTTTCTGTGCTGGAGTAATCACTAGTTATATCAAATTCAACTTCATGTGTCGTTGGGTTAACCTCCGATAAAGCCTTTGCATATCTCAATAGAAGCAATGATAGAATTACTAAGTAGACATTAGATATGAGAGATACCATTATCTGTTCACTAAAAAAAATTGGAGGCACTATTCTCTTGGTTGAAATTGAACATCTTCTTTATGGGTAATACAGAGAATTAGGCTGAGCTTCGTTATGTTTTGAAATACACCCCTGTCAGGGAACAAAAAATTAAAAAAATTGGTTGCTAAGAGATTCGAACTCTTGCATCTTACGATACCTGAGTATTCCTAGCTGAATGCTAGTTAAGAATCCGAAGATATCTTGAATCAGGCGCCTTAGACCGCTCGGCCAAACAACCGCTTAAATGTATTCTTTTTGAATAAATTTTGATAATATTAGGGAAACATAATTTCAAAATATATAAAGTAAATTATGGAAACAATTATATTCATAAAAGAAATATTGTTCCATTTATATTATGTTGGATTATCATTGTCGCGATTATAAACTCATTCGACAGTGGCGTAAGTAATCTATTATTAAGATGTTGCGGGATGAACCTATCGTTAGATCATTGCGGGATGAATCTAGCATCAGATCATAACCTTGGTCATTATCCCTCTTATAATATATTTCCGACAATTAAGCTAATGTTTAGCCTTTTTAGTGCTGCCGCTACAGTTCAACATTTCCTTACGTGATGTTTAGTTCTTATTAGGGCATTTGAGATTGACAGAAATTATGTGGAATCAAGATATCTAAGATGTCCTAATAAGAACTAAACATTTTATTAGGTAATAGTCGTTTAGGCCATAATCGTTTAGAAAATAAGTTCATTATTTATCGATCGTTTAACCAACAATCGTTTAGGTAACAAATCAATTACTTGACAATCGTTTAGGTAACAAGAAGAGACGAAACTTCGATAAAATAAATGATATATAAAGACAAAGAATTCTGAACTTGTTATAATATAGAAAGTAGCAATACTTGGTTATTACAATTTTATGTTTAGTAAGAAATTATTACTAACTGTTCAATATGATTCTAGAACATTCTTTAAGAATGATTAGTAAGCAAGTATTACTAATTGTTTCATAAGTGTCTAGAACATGTTTAGTAAGAATACTATCAATATTTGGTAGACTGTTTTCCTTTTCCAAAAGTATAAAAGGACCACATATTCTAACTTTATATATATACAATCTTCCTTATATAGACTTACTTTATATAACATAAAATAAACTACAAGATTATACATTTGAATATCTATAACTATGTCCGATAATTTCAACTCGAATACTAATCGTATATTCTCGATTTCAAACTTACGTTTACAGAACTTACATTCTAAGTTAGATTCTATTCGTTCTGTAAATTATATACAATATAAAAAATCACTTACAAATATAAGAGAAATATAACAATTATATTTTGCTTACCTAACATTAAAACTTAAGCTACACCATTCACCTCTATACCTAACACCTTAAATAATGAACGAATATAAGTCTAAACACAGTATGTCTGCTTCAGCTCATCAATGTACATTAAGGTAAGAGATTTAGTGGCAACTTAAGTGGAAATGATTATAGTTGGTGGAAATAATGTGGGCACAAGATATCTCTGAACTGAAGCAGACATACTGTGGATAGACTTATATTCGTTCATATTATATAGTGCAGGTAGAGAGATATAGGTATTAGCTTGACAACGTGTGTTAAGAAAGCAAAGTGTATATGTTATATTTCTCTTATATTTGTAAGTGATTATTTATTGTATATAATTTATAGAACGAACAGAATCTAACTTAGAATGTAAGTTCAGAATTCTCTGTCTTTATATATTATGTATTTTTCTCGACAATCGGTTTCTCATATTATCTAATCATTACGTAATATTTGTTTCATACTATAACGCGTTTCGTAACACATTCGAGATATATTGATCCCACATAATTTCTGTCAATTGAATGTATCCAGATCTAGCTCTACTATGCAAGCTTCAGTTCAATAAGATATATCAAATTCAAGAACTTATTTTACTAATTGAAAGTTTATTGATTGTATTATATTTTTATATAGAAATACGTAGTAGAGTATATGTATTCAATTCTTTAAAGAGGGGTGAGAAAAAAGGAGTTAAGATTTAACAATTTCCTTACCGTTTGGTAACATTTTTTGGTCTCCATAGACAAAAGTCATAACTTCAAAACAATTTCTATTTCTATTTGTTGAATTCATCTAGACCACGTTGATATCCTTGGTCCCATTCCCACATAAAACTGCTATCACCTTTAGAGGCAATGTACTCTCTTCTTCTTCTTAAAGTCCAAGATTTCCACCTACCAATCTTTGAATTAGCTAAACTGTTAAATCCTTGAATATCTTGAACTGCTTGTCTTATAGCGTCTTCAAATCTCCAATGTTCAAATCTATCACCTTTCCCTTTCCAATATTGAATATGATCTGCAATTATCTTATTAACAGTATTCTGATCTATATTTTTAACTGTCTTGGATCTTAATTGTAAATTTTTCTTTGAGACCTGAGGTATAAATCCCCATTCACCACCGTCACCCCATTTGAATTGTAGAGTCCAAAAATACCAACCAAAGCTTGCCATCTTGGGGAAAATGCTTGTCTGCATAGTACCGAAATTTGAAATAAATACGTTACGGTTACCATTTGTACGTTTCCAAGTCTCTTCATCTAATACACATGAGAATTCACCAACGACAAAATCTGCTTTACCTTTATCAAATGATACCGTCTGTGGTAGTTGATTTATGATTGTTCCTGCATCTTTATTCTTATCCTCATTTGAGAAACAACGGTATATATGGGAATCTATTACAACATTATAAGCTAAATTGTTAGCGGAGACCCAATCTGACCATTGTTGAGGCCACCAACCATCTGAAATAACAACTGGTAAATTATTATCAATCTTAGAGATACTACTAACGGCACGAGCATAATAGTTTTTCATATCATTTGCAGTATTATCAAAATAAGCCTCATTAACAATTTGTAAACCTGCGATATTTTCATAAGGAACACATATGTCTCTAGTAATAAATGGAAGAATTTCATCACACATTTTATTAACATAACGTGGAGTTCTAAAGAAAACTGCTGGGTTTTGAATCATACCACTATGAGCTTCACTATTTGCACCACCTGGTAATCCATGAACATCTACTAGTATACTAATATTGTATCTTGAGGCAGTAGTAATCAATTGTTTAACGTAATCCCATGGCTTTGCGGCAGCATAGACACCTGCAACTGGTTGGAAAGGTAATCCATTCAAAAATGAGCCATTATTGACATGCCAGTAACCAATAGGTACTCTTATCGATGTGATATTGGCGTTATTGCGTAAAAAATTCCAATCAATCTTTTGTAAATAGCTTTCATAATGTTGTCTCAATCTGTCTGCAGTACCATTATTACCAAATTTAGTTATACATTTCGATACCGCTTCAAACTCGGAATTACCACCTCCTACTTCATTGAATAGGTCGTCATAGATCCAGGACTCTAGAACGAATAAAGAACCTAGATTGACCCCATAATTGACCCTATTTCTATAGATGGTTCTCCTGTCAACATTAAGTGCATCGCTTAGAATGATTTCTTTTGTGAAATCCTTTTTCTCAAATTTCTCCTTTAAAGAATTAAAGAGTGTCATGTTATAATAGATAAGTTAAGTAGTTGTAGTTCCTATTTGATTAGACTAGTGAATAGGAGTGTTTGCAAGTTTACAAATGAGATTATTTTGTATACCAAAAAATAAAAAATAAAAATAAAAAATAAAAATAAAGGATATCTTGAATTAGAGCAAAAACAAAAAAATAAAAGAAGTGTTTGATGGTTGGAACACAAAGAACGACGATCTTTCGTCTCTTAGACCTCGTAAATAACGTCAGGTCTGTGACGTAAAAAGATGTTGTTAGTCTACACGAGTCAATTGTACTTGATATACATACATATATAGGGGAAGAGGAAGGGGAAGGAAGACAAAAACTGGATGGCCATCATTGAATGACTAAGCCCTTTTTTTAAATTGAATTGTGTATTCTGTAATCATTAAAAACCAAAGAGAGACATGAGGGCATATGACCAAGAAGATATGTGTACAGATTTGATTGTATTTATTACAGAGAAAAATCACTATCGTTTTTTTGTTTACTTTACTCATGATGGTAGTTTGTTGGGCAACTCATCGCAAAACATAAAAATTCTAACAAAACATGAAATTCAATGGATGTGTCAGTAAATTATTATATTAAGATATATATTTGATTTCACAAAATCTTGTAAAACATATATAGGTACAGTTAGTGATGTGATCTAACACTAACAAAAAGTTAAATAAAAAGAATAGGTATAAATTAGAATTATAATAAAACTAGAAATTAATTAGAAGTGTGGTATAATAATATTAAGGAAGAAGAATAAGTTAGTAGTGTGTGAAATAAAAAAAAGGTAATTAGGAATATTAAACATTAAAAAATAATGGAACGTTTTTCTTGTCAAAAGAATATAATTTTTTTAAAAGGTTACTCTCTTTCTCTGTTGTTATATTATCAAAATAAGAGAAAGGAAAGAGCAATTGAAAGAACACATAAGAAGACGAAGAGAATTGTAATTGTAGACAGGAATTAAAAATTAGAATGCATTCATCTAATTTATTTGTCTTCCTCTTCTTTCTTAGAGATCTTTAACTTGTTCAATGGTGACTTGAATTTTTTCTTTTCTTCGTTACCAGAATCAGAGTCAGACTTCTTAGAAGCGACACTAGCAGTGGAACCTACAGATGGTAATGGATCCAATTCAGCATTAGCACCTAGAGTATCCAAGCCCATCTTTTCTAGACCGACGTATTGCACCAATACTAACCAGACGGCTGGTAGGACACCTAAGTAGATCAAATCGATGATACCGTAGAAGATATGTTCAGAATCTGGGACGATAACGTTACCACCTTCAGATAGAGCGAAACAAATTGGATAAATCAACCATAAGAAGGCGTTCAAACCGAACATCAAGGTGAAAATCTTGGTGACGTCTTCGCCTAGTCTCTTAGTCAAGTTCTTAGTGGTAGTCATCAAGGAGATCAACGTGACAATGATAGCAGCAGTACCGAAGGTGTAGTAACCCCATTTATAAGTGGAGTGGACAACACAAGCGACCAAGTAACCGATGACGAACAATTCGGTGAAGAAACAGTTGAAGATGATGTGCCAGATTGGGGTCTTACCCATCAGGGACAATTGGATGACAGGCCATGGCATGGCTAAGAACCAACCGATCAATCTTGAGTAGTAGATTTGTCTAGTACCTAGATGAGTCTTTTGAGTGGAGACTCTGTTACGGTTGTAAAGGGCGACGACTGGGGCCCAACCCAAATTAGAGGCCATAGTGAAGTAGTTGACGGCCATACAAGCGTAAGGGATAATGATGGTGTAGTAAACGAATCTTTCGTTAGCTGGTTTTCTAAACATTAGTAGGATGGCAATGATACAAGCTAGTGTATATAGACAGAAGACGGTGAATAACCAATCGGAGCCTCTGTCGGTGATATGGAAATCTGCCAAGGCAGGACCGTTGATTTTCAAGGCTTCGTTACCACCTCTTTTGATTAAATCTAAGTATTCAGACATAATTGCTGATGTTGATGTTGTTGTTATTATTAGTTAAATGAAAATTAATTAATAATTTGATGTTGCAGTTGTGTAGAAATAATAATAAATTAGAAAGAAGTATGGACAGAACAAGAAAAGTAATTAAATTGTTCTGAATCCATTCAGTTTATATACCTAAATATTTTTTTCCCTTTCTTTAAAATGAATTGAAGTAGTTGTCTGGAGAGAGCAATGCACAGGGGGAGACAAAACGTTTCTGTCGAATGAACAGTTAATAATGCTAAGATTACCTAAAAGAGTAGGATTATTGAATAAGACAAACAAACAAACAAACAAATAAACAAGCTTTATGCAGCTGTAGCTTACACACTACATTGGATATAACAATAAACAAACACCCAATTGCATAAAAAAGGGCCCATACCCCGGAGCGAATATAATAGGCTGGAATGTTATAATAATATAAATATGTTATGAAACAAAAACGACACTGACTTACTGAGTAAGGAAGGGGGGGGAATATAATTAAAATATAATCAAAATATATATATATAGTAAAATGCAATGTAGTTCACTATTAACAACAACAGCAAAAACGACTCATTAGAGCATCAGTAACGTGGGGGGACAAGGAGATATACGGCAATAATAAGAAAACCCTTAGCTTACTTCAAACTAAAAGCAAGTAAAAATTATATATTTGACGGGCTTAACGGGGGCAGAGTAATAGTAAATCAAGCATATAGTGAGAGGGACATAGAAGGGTGATTCAACTACTGGCAGAGATGATCAACCCGAGGTACTGCAGCATGCAATGCAGGGAAAGACAGATGCAGAGCGCAACATACCAAGAAGTACCAATCACTCCTAACAACCCCCCTTCGAAGAGAAAACGCCGAGTCCAGCGTATGCATCATTATCAAATGAAATAAAATGAAATAGTTCATTTGACTTACGAAAGAGAGAGAGTCATCGTGGCCAAATTAAGTAATGCGTAACTTCGGCATATTCATCGCGATGACGAAAAACCAAACATAGAAATTCTCCGGGAATCTCAAGAAACCGAAAAAATAAACGCGGCAGACGAGAGACATCGCCCAATCACAGAACAGTCCCTGTCATGTGACCAGCACGTGACATCCCACACCGTTGCACTGCACGTGACCCTGCACGTGACCACCACCACATCTGGTTTCTTGCGCTCGTATAACAACACAAACAAACGAGCAAACGCATTAACTGATGGTGCGGCCGCCCAGCACAGCACGTACGCCACTTCCTCGCCCTTGGGAAATCTGTCAGGGCTCAGCCACCATCCCACCCGCACAACTGTCCGCATGTGCGTGCACACCCACACACCCGCTGCCCACCACTACGGAATTCTGTGTCTTTCGCTCTCTCTCGCAACACAGAACAGCAAAAACGGTTCTCTAAACGACGACAATTTGTCCACATTTGCAGTTCCAACCGAGGAGAGACCTGCATGACAACATCCAACACAACCAACAGCCAAACGTACAACATCTAAACGAACCGTATATATACACGGAACAAGCAAAGAATGAGAGAGAGAGAGACATTGATAATTAGCTCGTTGCTTACGCAAACACCCTTCTTCTTCATAAAGTAGCAGTAGTGGCAGACAACTAAACGACAATCTGCCTGTCAGTAAGTCAAGTCGTTCCTTAAAATAAAGATCTTGATCATTATTAGTACCCTGGTTGCCTTCTCACCGTTTATCTGTCCATCTCAATCACGTAATCAACAAAAATGATAAATAAAATAATCCATTTTCGTACTACTTTTACTATTAATAATTACTTTGCAGTAGTAGTCACATTTGTCTTGCTTGAATGAAAATAGAAAACAAGGTACACATACATACATACATATGTACATCCCCCTCTGCTACTTTCTTCGTTATATATCTTCGTTCAAATAATTCATTATTTCTAAACCCATTCAGGGCAAAATGAAGTGCTAGAAAGAAGAACGACGAGACAAAAGAGATAGATAGAAAGATCGTTTGCTTGGCGTACCACGTAATGTAAAATTTAAAAAGGGCAACAAAAATAATTCTTTGTTCATTCTTACATGGAGAGAATACAAGGCAGGACCAATTAACTTATTTACAATATATTTTATGGATCGTTTAAAAGAAAGGAACCTGACAGTATCCATATATCTTACATACGATCCCTTGCGTTGAGTTAGTTATTTCACGTATCTTTCTTACGCCGTTTATTCGTTATTCTTATTCTCAACAGTTACCTTCTACTATCCAGTTTCAAATATTAATTCTTATACTCTTTGGGAAAGAACGAGCTTATTACTATTCCTATTATATAAAACATATATAAACTTATCTTTGTTTATTATCTGCTTTCCTTCTAACAACTTATTTCACTACCCTCTTATTTATTTATTTATTTATTTACAATATAATTTTCTCTTTGATTTCAAAATCGATTTGCCTCATTTTGTACTATATACATATCTATCTACACGCCCTGTTTACCGTTCTAACTATGTCTGATTTACAAAATAAATTCCATACATTATTACCACAATTAAACTTCGATCCTGTCGATATAGATGTCGCCTGTAAAGGGAAACTAGACCGGTTCACATTCGGTAATACTACTGCTACACCTACTGTAACCACCATCCATCAAACACCTCCTTCTCCTCCTTTATCCGCTGGCGGTTCTCCTCGCTCTTCTAAACAAGACCTTATGATTCCAATGATGTTGAAACCTACTCAACAACAAGCGGTTAATCACTACATGCCCCCATCTCCTACTGCTACACCCGCTCACAACGTACCAACTGCTATCAGTACGAAGCGTCGTCGTCGCCATGTTTGCAAGACCTGTACAATGGCCTTCACAACAGCAGGCCATTTATCAAGACATAACAGAATTCACACGGGCGAGAAGAATCATACCTGTCCACATGATGGATGTGGCCAGAAGTTTAGCAGACACGACAATTGTATTCAGCATTATAGAACACATCTAAGAAAGAAGTCTCGTAAGTGAGCCTCTCCCTCTTTATCCCCCTCTATACACTTTTATATACTGCTACTATATTATATATTCCTCTTTTAAAAATTTATATTATTATTTCCTAAGTGAAAAATTATTTAAGGCTTTCATATTTTTTTTCTGGCGATGAGGTTTCCCCATTACAAACACTGAAAAGTTAACAAGATCGAGCAGACACACACACACAATGAGTACAGAGGAACCCATCATTTGTAACAGTTGTCTAGCTGACAGTGGCGACACCACAGACACACAACCACAGATCACCATAAATAAAGTTCCAAACGGTATACAATGTAAGATATGCACATTGCCTTCAACGTTGTACCATTTCCGGAATCCTCATTCACGAACCATTCAAAAGACTACGATCTGTTACAAGTGTGCGAAACAAAGAAACGCATGCCAATGTTGTGTGCTGGACATGACATGGCATGTCTCCCTAACGGTAAGAGATAAATTGGTTTCATATTTACAAAATCAAGATGGTCAACAATTGCAAGGATCCATGATGACTCCTGAGGCAACGAATGTGATGATGAAAAGATATCTGGCATTACAAAAGGGAAAACTAGGAGGCGCACAAATCACCTCTGATTCAAAGGCATTAGACACTTTATTGTCTCAAGGTTTGGAACAATCCATTGCTACTTTGGAGAAAGATATACAATCAAGCAACAAGATAAAAACTGGTCTAGACAAAGATTTCGAAATCGATATCAAACCTGTCCTTGCACACTTACCACTGACACGTACATTGCAAGGTACTCACTACATGTCGTTCTTCTTATACAATATCGATTCATCGATTCCTGAATGGAAGATTAAAGACTCAGTAACGTCGGTGGTCGGAACCAACACATGGTGCGATAGGGACTCTAACAGTATCATTGTGAACCATAGAGCAAATGCTGGTGGAATAAAATTTGCAAATCAATCGTTGGCAGATAAGTTTGTACGGGTGCTTACGACAACACCGGGAAACAACTACATTATACAAGAAACAGGTTTAATGAGGGGTGTGTTAATGGTGGATAGATTTAAGATATTTGTTGTGCCATGGGAATCTGGATTTTCTACAGGTTCGTTTGGTGCCACTAAAGAACAATCTTTGAAATTAGCTCGTAGTTTAAGGAAATTGATTGTCTCGGAATCTCAAGTTATGCCCACTGTGACTTCTGACGTCAATAATAATGACGACACAGATAGGAAAAGAAAAACTACTAAAAAAATTAATAAGAAGAAGAAGAAAGATAATAAGAAAGGGACAAAACGTGTAACGTCTTTACAATTATAGATTGTTATGATTATTTCCTCCCTATCAAGCCAAAACAGAAAAAATATAAGAATAACAAATAATAATAACTAATCAACTCGCAGTATGTTTGGTTTCTTACCATTTTTGCTATCATTACATTTAAAAATTGCTAGAACCTATAGTAGAAAACAAACGACACAAAAAAATTCTATCTTTGCAACGTTGTATCATCATGGACAACCAACAAATCAAACATTACAATTCACATTCCCAGATTCCACCCTCAATATCGAAAAAGATATCATTGAACCGGACGTAATCATATATATCAAATTATGGCCATTTTTATGTATGATAATGGTAATAATAATCGGAGTAAGTTGGTTTGTCTACAAAAAAACTAACCACCATCAAAGTCAAGCATTCCCACAGGAGGAAACTATTATGCTTGACACTACCACCCCAACCACCACCAATGCTTCCAAAACGTATACATACGAATCACCACCATCGCCAGTATCACTATTGATTTGGAACCATCAACTACCATCGCCATCATTGACTGAATTGGAAGAATTAGAGACATTCACCACGGCTTTGCCATCTCGCGGTGGCGGCCTCACAAATGAATAAATTATTTAACAAATCAAACATTCACACAACAACATCAATACTACACCTTTAGATATAAATATAAATATAAATAAATATATATATATATAGGAATATCTCTGCCAAACAAAAATCAATAACAAGAACCGAGAATTCATATCATTCAGAGTGTGTACATGAGTTTTTTTGTACCAGCCGCTCACATATACATAAAGAACAAGACGACAAATGTCCACTTATCAAGGTATGTTCGAGAATATAAACCAACAGAGGTGGAAAGTACGTCTCTTTACCTCATCCCCCTCATCTTTTAGTAAACTAACAAATTTTTATTTATGAATTAGAAGAACATAATACGGAGAATCGTCCACAACTGGATAGCGATTCATCTAGAAGAGATACACGTACGGAGTTCCGTCGTCTCTATGGGGAATTGAATCCGCAAGACCCACGATTGATCGCTTTGCTATCTTCTTTAATACCAGATGCCTTACAAGAACAATTGTCTCAAAAACCTGAGGAAGGGTGTACTCAAGAGTTTATCGATTCATTACCAAGGGTGCCCATCACTACAATCAAGAAGGACGAACTTTGTTCAATTTGTTTCGAAAACTTTCATGACGATGAATACCCTTTAGTGGTGAAATTACCTCATTGTGGACATATGTTTGATTTACAATGTATCGCAGTATGGCTAGGCTTGAATACGACTTGCCCTGTCTGTAGAGATAATGTTATGGAACAACAGGATAAGTTGAAGGGACTCGATACTTCCAAAGCCGAGTTGGAGGAAGACTGGGGTATGTACAGCTAAGCATGCACAACCCTTGTCGTTACGCTATAACGATAGACACACTGTCACTGTTCTTGTCTTTTATTTTCTTTTAAACCTTTCTTCAGTTAAGAGAGTTGTCTGTCTCTCACCAAAAATTGAAAATTTTTATCGAAATTTTCGATGGCCGATGATTTATGGATTAGTTTCTCTCTCATTGCAAGGAATAAAACACATTCATATAACAAACGAGTCAAACCAACACACACACATATATATAGAACTGTACACATATAGCATTACAATATAAACACGTAAGCAAAAATAATTATCACCATGGGTAAGAGCAGTAAAGATAAAAGAGATTTGTATTACAGAAAGGCTAAAGAAGAAGGTTACAGAGCCAGGTCTGCGTACAAGTTACTGCAATTGAATGAAGAGTTCCATTTCTTGGACAACGAAGATAATTTGAAGAAAGTAGTAGATCTATGTGCTGCACCAGGTTCATGGTCTCAAGTCCTATCAAGGAAGATGTTCACTGAATCCAAAGAGGTCGATAACAAAAACAAAAAATTGATTGCTGTGGATTTGCAACCGATGTCTCCAATCGATAACGTCATTACATTACAGGCTGACATTACACATCCGAAAACTTTGGCAAGAATTCTAGAGATATTTGGTAATGAGAAAGCTGATTTTGTATGTAGTGATGGTGCTCCAGATGTTACAGGTCTACATGACTTGGACGAATATGTACAACAACAATTGATCATGAGTGCATTACAATTGACTACATGTATATTGAAACAAAATGGTACGTTTGTTGCCAAGATCTTTAGAGGTAGAGATATTGACATGTTATATTCACAACTGGGATATTTGTTTGATAGAGTCGTATGTGCTAAACCAAGATCTTCAAGAGGTACATCCTTAGAGGCCTTCATTGTTTGTTTAGGTTATAACCCACCATCAAATTGGGAACCAAAACTGGATATAAACAAATCAATTGAAGAGTTTTTCAATGGTTGCAAGATGAGTCAATTATCATTGTCCGATGACAATGATAATAAGTTACCACAATGGAAGGACGGTCAAAGAGAAATTGCTAAGTTCATGTCGTGTGGGGGACTTCAAAGTTTCGATTCTGACGCTACATACCATTACGACGACGAAATATTGTCAAATTTGAAGGATAAGTTATCATTGGATCCAGTACAAAGTCCAACGAATCCTCCGTACAAGAAGGCTCTGGAGTTAAAGAGAAGCGGGAAACTGACAAGAGCAGTATAGCCTTCGACATATGACCCCTACGTCACATACGTTCCCAATCAACCATAAATAGCATTCTGTAATTTCTAAATAAAACCAATAAAGTTCTTCTAATATGATCCAAGTTTCTCTTCTCCTGATTGAAATTTATGAAATTTTTCAGTCTTCTGAAATTTTCACCGAAATTTCATTTGTTTTGATTTGGAATCGATCAAAACAAATCAAAGATATATCAACTTGAAAAGACAGGAAAGCATGTCCTTTCAATTCAAGGATTCTTATATGTCGAAGGTTTCGAATCGAGCACAGTACTAATTAAAAATATATCTACATTGTAAACAATGACTGCGGATGATGATATCATTGGACATACTGATATCTTGTCGTCGCCCTTGAAGAAAGGTCGAGGTCAAGCCAACGTTCACTATGGAAGAACACCAGTCACAATAGGTGTTGTGTCTCGGAAAAGGAGGCAATCCCCCCGCAAGGATGTGATTGAGAAGGTCAAAGTCCCCGTAACGACTCCTCAAGAGGAACCTAAGAGGGGATACAAAGGTAAAAGACGTGGTAGGAAACCTAAGTCTAACCATGAAGAGTCCTCGAAAGACTTAAATCAAGAAACAAACCAGACTACACCAGATAAAAAAATTAAAGTGGAGTTCGATTTAAAGATAAGCGCTGATAATATATTGCCTACTCGAACTAGAAGACATACGAGAGTACTTCCTAAAGATCTTAGTGAAGATGAAGATGAAGATGAAGATGTTAAACCTCCTGTGAAAAAGAAAAGAGGAAGACCTAAAAAAATTGTCACGCATGTGAAGGAAGAGGAACATTCGAGATTAGAAATAAGCCCCCCCGTGGTAACAAGAAAAAGGAAGAGTCGTAAACGTAGTATCAGTCCCGATGATCAGGGATCATCAACTGAGACTGATATTATGGTACCTGATACGCCTACAAAGGAAGCGACATCTATATTGATGGAACAATCGTTTACGTCACCATTGAAAAAAGTCATATTATCCAATTTAAAAGAATATAAACAAAATGTTTCCTTTAAGAATTTGAAATTGAGTAAAAATTTTGTACCGACTCGTCTTCCTAATACATACACTCCACAACATGTGAAACAGTTACAAAACGAGAGCGTAGTAAGTAATTTCTTGGATACATTTGAAGGTTATTTCGATCAGAGGAAGTCATTAAAGAGATCGAAGAATACTATGTCTATGGCTCCTACAGTTACTAGAGAAGAGTTTGCAACAATTACCAACCTATTTAACAAAAAATTCCAACGTTCTTCAAAGGATAAATTAGAGGCTTTGCAAAAGCAATTATATCCACAATATTGGTTTGAATTGTCTCGTGGGTTTACTCTACTGTTCTACGGGGTTGGGTCCAAACGTGCATTTATGGAAGATTTAGCCATCAACTATGTCTCTATTAAATGTAAACAGTATGAAATATATGATAATAAACGACTAAACAAAAATTACAAGAATAATGATGACACAGGTGTTCCTTGCGTTACAATTAATGGTTATAACCCAACTTGTAACTACAGAGATATTCTTAAGGATATTACAGATATAATTTTCCCAGAGGAAAAAGTCAAAGTTGACTCTAAATACTGGGGGAATCACAGTATGTTATACATTCAAAAGATGGCAGAATATTATAGAACACAACCAAATCATGTAAAGATAATACTAGTAATCCATAATTTAGATGGGCCTAGTTTGAAGAAAAATATTTTCCAACGAATCCTTGGTCAATTAGCCACCATCAAACAAATTGCTATCATTGCATCTGTTGATCATATATATGCACCTTTGTTGTGGGATGCCACAAAATCTCAAAATTATAACTTCATATTCCACAATGTGACGAATTATGAGGCTAGTGATGTCGAATCATCATTCCAAGACGTTATGAAGCTTGGTAAAGAAGAATCTACAACGGGTGCCGAGGGTGCCAAGTTTGTTTTGGAATCCCTAACAGTTAATGCGAAGAAACTGTACAAATTGTTATTAGAGACACAAATGGCAAATATGGAAATTGAAATGAATGGGAAAGTAGCACCAATAAGACGTGGTATAATTACAACAGGTGTTGATTTCAAAAAATTCCACGATATGTGTGCATCAGAATTCATCGTTTCCAATGAGGTATCATTAAGAACTATCCTGAAGGAATTCATCGACCATAAGATGGCATTTATCAAGAAGAGGAACAACAAGGGGTTTGAAGTCATATGGGTAGCATACAGTTACGGTGAAATGAAGAAATTACTAGATACTGCTTTAGCAAGTATAAGTTAAGATTGTTCAAATTTTGATACCGTGATAGACCCTGCGCTATTTCGCGCAAGCATATATACATATTATACCTCAACATACTATATAGGTATGTACACATACACATAAATAGTTGTAACCAAATACATTAATCATTCATTAATAAGACGTCAAACCATCACTACTCTTGTATATATGCAAATGCATTTGGGATGTTCTTCGCCTTTCCTTTTCTCTATTGGTGACGATTTTCATAGATCACCACAGTTGAAAAGAAGAGGCGCCCCTATGTAAAGAAAACCCAAAAATGAGAAGCAATGGAAGAAATTGATTTCGTTTTAGGATAGATGAGAGAAACAGATCCATCTTAACTATACCCTTTGTGAGTTTGAAACCATTAGCGATCGTACACTGCAAGATTGTCTGCTTACTATTGACCAAGACAGTTGTTATTATCGTATTAGCAGGGACGCCATTGAGGTTATAATTATAGGATAGCCCTTTCGTTTTGTTCAATTGTGGAACTTGATTCTCGATAACAGCGGATCAGTTGTTTATGAATTGTTAAACAAAATGTCATCCAGTAATACTACCACTAGATCGACAGTAGGGTTTAGATCTGGTTCAGGTATAATGAACCCAGATTTTGAGAAGTTTAACCCAGGACATGTTGTGAACGTTGGCTCTCATAAAGTTGAAATTGTGGCATACCTAGCTGAAGGTGGATTTGCTCAAATATACACTGTAAAATTTATAGAGTTGCTTAATGAATTGGATATCTTAAAGAATGATAACGACACGAACAAGAAAGATAAGGATACATTGAATATAGGTGATATTGCGTGTTTGAAACGTGTAAAAGTTAACGATGATAACGGACTTAGTGAAATGAAGAACGAAATCGAGGTTATGAAGAAACTAAGTCGTTCATCAAATATAGTTCAATATTATGACTCTAATGCTACTAAATTACAAAATAGCTCTGCGGGTTATGAAGTGTTTCTATTGATGGAACTTTGTCCCAACAAATCCCTCCTAGATTTCATGAATGATAGATTAGCTTCCAAATTATCTGTCGATGAGATATCTAAAATCATGTATGATGTTACATTAGGTCTATCTCAGATGCACTACTTAACAACACCATTAATTCATAGAGATATTAAAATCGAAAATGTGTTAGTTGATAAGGATAATAATTTCAAATTGGCAGATTTTGGCTCCACTACAAGTATAAAACCTATTGCATTGAACGATCAAGAGATTGCGATAGCAACACAGGATATATTTATACACACGACCCCACAATACCGATCTCCAGAAATGATTGATCTCTATAGATTTCTACCCATCAATGAGCCTTCCGACATTTGGGCATTAGGTGTGTTTTTATACAAATTGTTATTTTACATCACACCATTCGAAATGACTGGTCAATTTGCTATCCTTCATGGTAGATTTGTAATCCCAGAAAATAAATACCCAATAGAATTTACCAACCTCATCACTGCAATGTTGATGGAAAACCCACATATGAGACCTAACGTTTATCAAGTGTTGGAGACGATATGTAAGTTTAGAAATATGGATGTACCTTTATTTGATAGATATGGATATGGTGCCTATAATTTCCAAACATGTTTGGATTACAAAATTCAACTGAATGATATACAGAAGAATCTTTTAACGATAGAACAATCACATCTAATGGGTACATCCACGGACCTCAATTTATATAATGGAATCTTTACTAACCTATATGAGGTTGCACCAAAAATTGATCAGACTGAGTCCCTAAGAGTTATTAAACAATCAGGAGAAAGAAAGATTTCGGATACGTCCTATCCCTCAGGTAGTGAGAACAAACAAGAAATTGTCAATATACCATTTAATAATCAAAATAACGATGGCGCATCAACCGTGAGAGGTAACAGTAATAACCCACAAAAACTACAGTCACAACAACAGTTCTACCAGGGTGGTGTAGATGAGAGTAGGATCAGTAATGACACAACATATTATCCAAGTATCAATGAAATCAACGACTATGCTGCAAAAGAGTTTGGAAACAATATGAATGTTCTCCCAGTATCACAACTAGATTCAACCTCTAATAGAAATAGCGCCAGTGATGGTAAGGCAAATTTCAGTATGTTACCTACTATAACTACCCAAAGTGAAAGAAATATAAATACGTTTTTCCCATCAGGTAGGAATGGTTCCATCCATAGTAATGTTTTAAACAATGCCAATAGTAATAATGTTACCGAATCAGTTTATGAATATAATACCAACAACGAACCCACTCGAAGTTCTACCAAAGGAAAAACCCATAAATCGAACAACCCATTTCCATATTTCAAATCTGAGATTAACGTTTCAGATAATGGTCAATCATCTACAAATTATTTTACTGATCATACTAATCTAGACCAAAAAAAGAGAAACTCAGTACTGAATCCAGGGATGAATGTGTATGAAGCTCAAAGTCCAACCACTTATGATGCAGTCAGTCCCACAACATATGGTAATTTACACCCACCTCCTAATCTTGATAATATATTTGCCTCTACGCCAAATATGACAGTTGGGGTACCGCCAAAAAGTAATGATAGTAGAGGTAAACAGTTGTTCCGTAATGCTGTCCCTTCGACTAATCAAAACAAAAATGTTTCTGCTTCAAATAACAATACCACTGCACAACCATTTCAATATGTACCCCAATCAAACATTGGGGCCATAAATCAAGATTCTTCAACAGTGAATATGACCCAATTCAATACCCAAAATAATAATAAGAAATTGGCTAATGTAGAATTTCCTGATTTAATCGATTTAAAAGAAACCGCATCACCGACACCACCACCTCTTCCTCAAAAAAAACGGAATGATGAGAATAATGGGTATTTGAAAGTTGAACATAAACCTTTAGATTTAAGTATCAATGAGATGTCACTCTCACCAGACATCGGAGCTGAAGAAATATCTAGAGATATGAGACGAAGTAGAAGTGCAGGTATTAGAAGAAACTATGCGGAGGAGAGAGGGGGACCTCTTTCGGTCAACAACGACAAGGGGTACAAGAGTGGTCATGACACTTCCAATGTAGATAAAGATGCTGATAATGATTTAATGAGCGAAGAAAGTATATCTGAGATGAAGATTCCAAATATCAAAAGGATGATAGAGGATGACTTAGCTAGTGAACATTCCAGCGAGAGTATAGATATTAATATGGATGCAGCTAGACGAAAATCTAGTTTACTCAAACCTGTGTCCAAGGATTCATCTCCATCTGTTACTGGACCAAATACTAAGAACCATACAAGAAACGTATCTTTGTTATCAGAAAATTCAGATATTGCACCACTCAAAAAATTCGAAGACACTAGAGGTAATAGTGTTACAAGACCAGGCCGTCATTCATTAGATTTGAAATACGAAGAGATCAATTTCACAAGAAGAAACCAAGAACAACTCGACAAGACATTACAAGGGATCCAGAAGGTGAAGACTAACCCGCATACCCTATCGTCAACCTCGAATAACCTTCAAAATGGGAACGGATCAACTACTAGTTTCGACTCTAAAGAAAGACCATTATCACGAGTTCGTCAATCGTTAGATATCGACAGACTCCGGAAGGACCAATTTGGGGGCAAATCCAAAAGTAGTAAACGTTCTCTGTTCTCCATGTTTAAATAGACACAAGAAATATGTATTGGAACCCATTTTCCAAACCGACCTTCATAAACCACCTTCATAAACCAGCACTCTTAAACAATCATTCATCGTTGGATGGAGAGTGAGCCATTATTATTATTCTCATTATTATTTACAGTCATTGTCATTGTCATCGTCATTGCCGTTGCATGTTTTGTTTTGTTTTGAATACCGCGAAAAATGTTCAGTAACGAAATTGCAAAAGGAGGAAAATGCGAAATTTGCTCTCTTTCTCTCTCCTATTTCTTACCTTTTTAATGAATTAAAGGTCAATGCAACAACAACAAAGAAGGTTTATACTATACTATATATTTATATAAAGTGTAATTAAGTGTTATTTGAGTATATTGCTTTTTGTTTGTATTAGGTCTTACATATAGAACATACAATTTACATTGTTTTGACAAGTTAAAAGTAATTGATTTTGTCTCCGAGTCACCTTCCATTCCCATTCACCTCCCAGAAAATGCTACATCCAAAGATTGTCGTCAAGAGCTCACACCTTATGGAATTCGTTCCAACGGTGAAGGAAAGAAGAGCCAATGGTCTAGATAAACAGAACTTCATTGTTGAAAAAATTGAAGACGGTATCGAGAAGATGTACTGGATGTACTATATCAACTTACCATACTATCTGATGTTGACTGCAGATTCATACATTCTACATAGCTTCATCTTAACAATGGTCAGTTTAAGTGTATTTGGTGTAGTTAAGTACTGCTTAATGTACTAGTGATAGATACAATACTTATGGCTAATTTATTTTATAATTTATTTATAGCCAATCCATGCATTATGAGAAAGAAAACAACGACAACATTCAAAGTGGAGATCGATAGATAGTTTACAATTCATACCCTTACATTTTATCGCGATAGCTGTCATCCTACAAGATAACAGAAGATACAGAGAATATAACAATTATTGCTAACGGATCAACCTCAATTTAGATGTTGAGGATCCAACACGACAGACTTATATATCTCTACATTTTATTTAGCCCCAGACATTTTTAACTTAACTAAATATCTAATTTATATACATACACGTAATACCACAGGATACACATATGTTTGTATCATATTATAATTGATTCTTTCAGTATTCTTTTTTTATGGCTTCATGGCTCAATCCTATAGTAAAAGCTTTTATTATTTCAAGCAAAATTACCGAATAATTTTTTATTTTAGAAATAAAGGTAACAAAAACTGAACATAAAACAATGAAGAAGATAGGTCAGTAGCAATCGTCAAATACCTCATTATATAGTACCATCATTCCAGAACAACACTGTAATAATGGAAAACGAAATCCTGGAAAGAATAAACGTTCCTGCTGTTATCGATAGAGATGAATGTATTTATTGCTTCGAAACACCCGTTAATAACATCCCTGAAGGTCTAACGACAGCTGGTACCGAACATTCGTTGAATATCTGCCTATCATGTTTCCAATCTGTTTGCGAACTTCATCGTGAACTTCATATGAATGTCACTCAGAACTCTTGTGATACCATACATGTTAATTATTTAAACGTGGCCAAATTGGAGAAATCAAAAAAGGAGACTGATAATGCAGGTGATGTTACTCCTACAAAGAAGATTAAACTACAAGTGACAGAGAAGTCAGAGGATGATTTATATGATACAGTATGGGAATTAATTCAGGTGCAAGGAGAAAATACTGAGGTTTTATTGAATAGTGAATCCCTACGTGGCCAAAGTACCCCCGAGAAGATTTCCTCTATCTTAAGTGCCAAATCCCAACAGTTGGCAGATCAAGCAAGTTCTTGGCAATTAGAGATACATACATGTGAGCATTCTAGAAATTTTAATGTCGCTGATGTGCCTGTCTCAAAAATAGATACTTCCAAATGTAACGATTGTGGTTTGGATTCAAATCTATGGTTATGTCTACATTGCGGGAATTTAGGTTGTGGTAGAGAACAAATAGGTATCGAGGGCCATTCGCATGGGTTGAAACATTATGAGACTCATAACGATCATTGTTTGGCTATTAAATTAGGTTCTTTAAGTGAGAATTCCAATGATTTGTATTGTTATCAATGTGATGACGAAGTCAAATTTAATGATGGTAACAAGATTCTATCATTAATTTTACAAAAGTTTGGGATTGATATCTCAAATAAGATGGCTACTGAAAAGACTTTAACTGAGTTACAAGTGGAACAGAACATGAATTGGGATTTCAAAATGACAGATTCTCAAGGTAATCAATTGATTTCATTACAAGCAAATGATGAACTTGGATGTGGTTTGTTAAACCTGGGGAACTCCTGTTATTTAAACTCTGCGATTCAATGCCTTTTAAACGGTGGTGTTTCTCATTGGGGGGAGCAATTAATAGAGGACATTGGTGTTGAATTCCCAATGGATGTTGTTTATCCTAGTAACAATTTGAAATGTCAATTGATTAAGTTAACGAATGCCTTAAAGATGACACCTGACCAATATCCACAAGGTATTAAACCTCGTAGTTTTAAGAAATGTATAGGTGGTAATCATGAAGAGTTTAGTTCTAATAGACAACAGGATGCAATGGAATTTTTAACATATTTGATTGCACAATTAGACAAAAAATATTTTGATAAGAAATCCAATACTAATGACGATGAGGACTATAATAATAATCCAAGTGATTTAATGAGATTTACCATGGAGGATAAATTACAATGCCAAACATGTCATAAAGTAAAATATTCGTATAGCACAGCTGAAGCATTACAATTACCATTATTGGAGAATGATGAAACACAAGATATAAAAGAGCGTTTATCCAGTTTTTTTGCTAATGAAACCATTGAATTCAATTGTCCAAATTGTAAATCAGGAGTGAGCAATGCTGCTACTAAACAAGCTCACATGAAGACATTCCCTGATACCCTTGTATTAAACCCAGTAAGAATAAAATTAGCCAATTGGACACCCGTCAAGACGAGCAACGAATTACTTCTACCAGGTGTCGATGATCCAGAGGATCTTCTGGATATGAGCCAATGGAAAGCACATGGTTTCGATGTCGATAATGAACAATTGATGGAAGATAATGAGGCACAGGGGTTTGAACCTAATGCAGAGTCAATGTCCCAATTAAAAGAAATGGGATTCACCGAGAATGCTGCCATGAGAGCATTATATGCGACGGGGAACCAACCAGGAAGCACAGAATCAGCTATGAATTGGTTATTTCAACATGTGGATGATGCCGATTTGAACGATCCATTCGAGCCACCAAGTAGTGACAAACAAAACAGTAACAACAGAGAAGTTGACTCTGGTTCATTAGATACTATGTTAGCCATGGGACTAGACGGTAAATTATCTACGAAAGCGTTATTGCTGAACCAAGGAGATGTCAGTCGTAGTATTGAATGGGTTTTCAACAATATGGATGACGATGGAGAGATTATTGAAACCAATACCGCTGCAGCCGCTGATAGTACTACCAACACAAAGGAGTATGGACATGATGAACCGCTACGTTACAAATTGAGAGGTGTTGTCTGTCACAAGGGTAACTCTGTTCATTCTGGTCATTATGTTGCATTCATTAGGAAAACTGTTCCTGATATGACTGGAGAACAATGGGTGTTATATAATGATGAAAAAATTGTGTTGGCACAGGATACTCAAGAGATTCGCCAAAATGGGTATATATATTTCTATTCTCGTTCATAAAACAACAACAATGACAAATGTATAAACAATATTTACATAATTAATAAGGAGAAGTTTAGATTGATTAATGTTATACAAAAATGATAAAAAATAAAATTAATATATATGTATTTTTAAAGAGGAGAGAAAGTTAAGGTGTGTATATATGTATATTAGTTAAAATTACAATAGAAGAGCAGCTAGACCGGCAAATAGTAAACCTGAAGAAGCACCGACGGAATCAGCGGCATTCTTTTTAGACTTGGAAGTCTTAGTACTAGTAGAGTTACCACTATGAGAAGTAGAGGTAGAGTTCTTAGAGGATGACTTGGTAGAGGAGTGAGAAGAGGAAACATGAGTGATGGAGGAACTGTTTCTAGCCTCAGAAACAGAAGAAGTGATAGAGGCAGTTTCATTAGCAGAAGCAGTAGCACTAGTGGTGGCAGATTCTGTCTCATTAGTAGCAACATCCGTGTTAGCTCTTTCTAGAGCTGGCAATAGTCTAGAAGAGTACCATGGCAAGTTAGTGATGGTAGCGGTCAAAGCACTGACGTCTAATTCAGTGAACAAAGAAGTAAATGTTTCATCAGTGTAAGTATTTATTTGGGCATATAGAGATAAAACTTCAGGTGGAACTTGGAAAGTAGAATTACCTGATGTCTCTAGAGATAAATAGTCTGAGATGTGACTTTCGATATCGTTGATGATAACTAGCAAGTCATTGGTTTGTTCGGCAGTAACGTTAGCAGCGTTGACGGCAGAGATAGCGACAACAGCGGAGGCTAGGATAGTGGATTTAATTGAGACCATTATTAACTGTAGTATGTGTATGGAGAACTTGAAATAATTATTTGGATAATATAAGTAATATAATAAAAGAAAGAAACAAGAATTGAGATAGAAAATAAAAAGAGCAAAAAGAGAATAAAATAACCTAGCCAGGGGGAAAACTGATAGTCAGACTGAGTTATATATATATATAAATAAATAAATATTTACTTGTATCGAGGAAAGGGAAAATAATTAAACTAAATTAAATAAATATAATCATGTATCTACACATACACGAAAACGCGAACATTGAATATAATAGAATTTTCCATTATTAAATGAAACTTGCAAAGAATAATGAGTGAGAGAGTAAAAAGACCTTCATCATCATCATCAACATCACATCCATCCATCCATTATAGAGAAAGTCAAAATAATAAATTAGGAAAGATAGGACCGCGCCTTCCCGCCTTTTATTACAATAGAAATAGATAAATCATAGCAATAGAACAAGAACAGAGACTATTTCCAAATTCTATTCTTATTTTACAATGAATAGAATTCTAGTTTATGAAAACGACAACGATATCGGATTCGAGAGAATTCAAGAAAGGGTTAAAGTGAGAAAAGTCTAGACCCCTATCTGCACGCCTCCCTGTGTCACCTTATACTTCCCAATCTATCTATATATCTATCTGTGAAATCGATATATGCATGCATCAGCCTATATCTCTATCTATTTTTAAAAGCGAACTACCCACTGTTAGCAGAAGACACACGAACTGTGAATACATAGATGCATTATTATTGTGTTTAGTTAAACAATTTGTATCACTATTATGCAAAAGCTGGTTCAAGCTGGTTGGCCAGTTAAAGCGGAACAAGTATCTCAAACGGGAAGGAATATTAGTTAAACTGGTAGAATACAACAGTAGTTTGGATGCAAGGGAAAACGCTGACATTAAATAAAATTGTTGAGTGAATTTCGATTAAATGACAGGGAGACTGACCGTATGCGTCTTTATAAACATGATTTACATCTGTTTAGCTGAGAGAGGTTAGTGGTAGAATTATAAAGAATGTTTCGCGTTCGTTCGGGTTTATCTCTCAACTGAGATATTATCAACAGATGATATCGCAGTAGTGGAATATCTGAAGAAAAAAAGGTTAAAACCCAATTTGGTAGTCTGCACATTCATGTATACTTAAGTCGGATATATTTATATTTATATTTCCCAATTTAGCTAAAAAGCAAAAAATAGAAAAGCAAAAATTGTGGCTGAGGAAACGGAGATATGCGGTGTGTGGGTGTTGGCGCATGTTTCTTTGTTTGTTGAGCGGCGGCCGGGTTTTACCGAGATGTCGTGGTGGCACACCCATACACCTCAGACAAGTTTTGTTTTGCACTTGTTTTTAGCGTAAGGAGAGATGAGGGTTCAAAGCCCTAGCGACCGTTTGTAGGGCAAGTGTGTCTATTTGTATGATTGAAGCGCGTTAGGGCTTTTACTATAGCGATGAAGTTACACACATTTTATTTTTCTTAGATAATACTGAATATTGAATATGGGAATAATAAGGAAATGCAAGGGTCCTTTTTATAATTAAATATATCTAAAATAAGAAAGTGATGTGATCGATATACACATACCTTGCGTTACCTTACGTTACCTTACGTTACCTTACTACTATTATCATCAGTATCGGAATACTATTTATCATAGTAATAATATCAACCACATTTATATAAGTACATAGATAATTTTGCAAGAAAATGTCCGGTTTGCTATCAAGTAAGAGTAAAAGTAAACGTCCTAAATTTTTATTTTTTTTACAAGTTAATGAATTAGTTAATATTCCACAAACTTCAGGGTATTGTTACGTTAAGTGGAATATTAGAGATGGTACAGGAATAAATAAAAATTCAACTATTGTTGGAGATGATAAACAATATAAAGTTTCAAATCAAAGTAAAGGAATGACCCCTAGAGTTAAAGTGACACATCATAGAGCTCAGTGGAATTATAAATTAGATAGACCTATTCAATTAAAATTACAAGTAGAAAGAAATAAAGATCTACATAGAAAGGATCTAGTATTAGACATTTTTTTTGAATTTATTAGTGGCACAAGTAACACTAATAATAATAATAATAATAATACCAATACGAATAATGTGGTTCCACAGGAGAAAGTCTCTAATAAGATACAATTAGGGAGAGTGGTAATTAATTTATCAGAATATATTAGAGAGGATGAAATGCCTATTACAAACCGATTTCTTTTGAAAAACTCAAAAGTCAATTCTATTATTAACGTTACAATACAGATGAAGTTGATACGTGGTGCTTATTCGGATTTTAATATGATTCACATGGGTAATGGGAACTCTACCGTCTCTAGTAGGAATGTATCAGGCTCTGTATCCAAATCTCAATTACAACCATTAACTCTCTTAGAGACTCAAGGGACTTCTGATTTTAGTGGCACAACACCAAGCTCTCCTCGTAAGAGTTCACATTCTTATACTGGATTGTCTCCAGACGCACAAAATGATATCAGTGGTAGTGGTGGCAGGCCCTCTACAATGAAGTCGGGCCAATCCTCAACCGCAAAGGGACTTTCAACCATCTCCACATCGATGAACCCATTAGTGGATAGTCTCTATGCAAAGACGTTCCATTTACCTTGGGATCCAAGACCTAATGAGCTGAGTCCCAGAGAATGTGTGGACGATATCGTGAAAGGAGGGGATGGGTGGGCTAAGAATGAAAATGGAATCAATTTGATTGATTTACAAGCATTAAGACTACATGAATTGGAATTGGCTTATTATGCATCACATTCTGTGGACCCAACTGATTATTATAATGGGAATATGATTATTGATCCTGGTAATTCGAATGCAAATGCAACGTCCACTAAGATGGATAACCCATCAGAGGAATATTGGGATTCTATGGATAGAAGAGAATTCATGGAAAGAAGACAAGAAGTGAGAACTTCTTTAGCTAACGCAACCTCAACTCAAAAGAAACATGGCAAAAGTAAGAACTCTTGTATAGATAATGGTTGTGGAAATGATTCTAACAATAAGGATACTTCAACGACAAGAGATACTCGGAGTTGGTCCATTAGTCATGTTATGTCTTGAACCATAACTCAAAATTATGATTTTTGTTTTGTTTTGTGACTATGATTGTTTATGTGTTCCGTCTAACATCCGTACATCTATGACCTATATATTGCAATATGTATGGGTACACCCATACATTCCACATGCTTTTTTTTTAAATGTTTTTTAAATATTTTTCAGTTTTTTCAGTTTTTTGAACATGTCCTCTAAGAAATGTCCGGAGAGCTGTGGAATTTTCCATTTTGAAAAATTTCAAATTTTTATGAAATTCAGTTTCTGGAAGTGAAAAATTATTCTGAGGATTTCGACTTTTTTCATTGCTGACTTATCCTTTAATATGGAGTACCTTTCATCATCATCATCATCATCATCACCATCGTCGGGTCTAATATTGTACGGAGGTTGCTGTAAAGTTCTATCTGTTCTACTTCCTCATCATGGTCCATGGACTTTTTGGTTTCTCTAAGATGTCTTGGACATCACCATTAGTACCTACCTAAGTTTACACGTCGAATTAGGATCTATACCTAATTAACCATTACTATTATAGCTTTACTTAGTAATACTCTCTTACGTATATATTGAAATAGTATTTAATTATTACATTTTTTTTGGGATTAATATTAGAAAAATTCTAGTTGAATACCATATAGCAATATAATAACCAAGTAAAAATGTCTGGTAACGGTGCTCAAGGTACAAAATTTAGAATTTCAGTATGTTAAAATTATACAATTACGATAATAAGAAAACCTATCGATGTGTGTGTGTGCATGTGTTTGTTGAATATAAGGATTTTAGTTCCAATGATGAAGTTAGGCTGCACGTAGAAAATCAGCTCCAAAAAGGATGTTGTTACGAACCTAATCGAACATACTTCTCTTTAAATATCCCATTTTACCACGTCCTAAAAGGTAATAATTGTTTTTCATCGTCTTCTTTTTACTAACATATGAATGTGTTTTTATGTCTTTCCCTATCTGTTATTTACTGTTATCATACAGTAACAATAATGACATAATCTACATCTTTTTTTTAAATAGTTAGGTCTACCAGTTGGTGCCATCATGAACTGTGCTGACAACAGTGGTGCTAGAAATCTATACATCATCGCCGTCAAGGGTTCTGGTTCCAGATTGAACAGACTACCAGCTGCTTCTCTAGGTGATATGGTCATGGCTACCGTTAAGAAGGGTAAGCCTGAATTAAGAAAGAAGGTCATGCCAGCTATCGTTGTCCGTCAATCCAAGTCCTGGAGAAGAAAGGACGGTGTCTACTTATACTTTGAAGACAACGCTGGTGTCATTGCCAATCCAAAGGGTGAAATGAAGGGTTCCGCTATCACTGGTCCAGTCGGTAAGGAATGTGCCGATCTATGGCCAAGAGTTGCCTCTGCTTCCGGTGTTGTTGTGTAAACAGATCCTGTTTTACTCTTAATTACTAAACTCAACCCATTTTAAAAAAGCAGAAAAAGCTTATAAAATTTTCTATGACATTTCTTTACCTTTAGCAATATCATCTGTTTAATTTTCCATATTATATATATATATATCATTCATCATTTAATATCATACACTATTATTAGAAAGAATAATCATCTAAGAGTTCGACAGTTTATCTTGCTCATCTAGATATTTTACGTTAAACACGTCAACTCATCTAATGCCACCTTAAATTTATAGATGCCGAATCGTTATTTTAATAGAGTTAATTGACCTTGAAAAATTGTACATTGACAAAGATACAACAAACAGTAATACCTACAATCAATATAAAAGAGATATCACAGTCAAACATTCACATACTGATGTTATGAACAAAACAGATATAGTAACTATATTATCATTATTCTCCTCGCCGAAGTTAAAGGAAAGAAATGCAGCCTTGGAAGACCTAACCACAGTATTGAAAGAGGATCCGTCCAAAGTCCCTTCAAAGGCTCTACATGGGACATCTGAAACGCTGATCGAATTACTTGATCTAGAACATAGGAAATATTGTGATCTGTTGGATGAGCCATCGAAGTCAAATGAAAGTAAATTATCCTTATCCGAGAATAGACTCTCCACAATTGCATACGTTTTAAGACTTTTCATTGAGAAAGTTGGATACAGATTCAAATTAAAGACATTAAACTTGCATCTGGCTATACTTCCAGAATTGATGGTTAAAGATATAAATCAAATATTAGTAGAACCGGCCTCTGTTCATATAACTTTTGCATTATTGAACATTATTGAGTCATGTCCTTTTCAATTAAAATTTACCGCCCATCAATGGTTATCATTAATGGAGAAAGTATGTCTATGTTTAAATAAACAAATTTCGATTTCAGTATCAAACAGAACAGTTTCAAACCTCATCAGTATAATGGCATCCCTTTTAAAACTTGATACAATTGGGTTATATGATAGCTCATTATCTATCCATGGAACAATTTTATGCCTATTGAAGACTATTGAGCATCTTTCTATCGATACTCGTACAATCTTACAGATTGTAAATCTGTTACTTGCAAAGACTTACATGAGCCATATCAACGTATGCTTTTCAATAATTGAAGAAACATGGAAGTATGCCATTAATTTCAATGATACCACAATAGAGAACCTTCAAGATGAATTAATATATCATTATCTTTTATCAACTGATTTAATATACCACAAGTTGCCTAATATGGTTGGTGTTACATTACCTCAATTTGATGATGATAATTTCCTGGATATTTTTAAACAGACATTAAACACAAGATTAAACAGTTATAACCCCAGATTATTTGATCTAAAATGTATTATTTATAATAAAGAAATAAATATCAACAATCTTGATTGGTTCAATTTTTGTGATATTAAACTAAATACACAAGAAAGTCCCAAATCATGGACAAACGTTCTAGTATTAGTTAAATTACTACAGACATATTTCCATTTAAAAAAAAATTCTTTCAGTTCTATTCCTTTATTCAAAAGGAGTAGAACTGAAAATGAATTCAATTCTGCATTGAACAATTGCATAAATATCGAATCCTTCTTGACCGAATGTCTTTCATCTACATCATCTACTAAAGTACATTTAACATCTCTCCAAATATTTACATTTTTAGCCTCAATATCGAATATTCGTGAATTGAGTCTAAATGAATTTAAGGAAGTCCTATTACAAAGATTTGAAAATTCTGACTTAATAAGTTGGTGTACAATATCCCTTATACCTCTTCTCTCACAAGATGGTTTACAACTAACAGATGAAGATGTTGTCAAAATAATGAAATTATGCCTACCACTTATTAAAGAACCCATTCACTGCAGGTCAGTTTGTTCCTTGATATCAAGATTGATTAAATATTCCGATAATATAGTGACAGATTCCACACTAAAGAACCAAATATACGATCTTTATGACCTTTCCGATGTGAATGGTCCATCAATAATATGTAATGAATCGTTTGAATTCTGGCAATATCTTCAATATTATACCTCAGAGTACCGCTCAAGGGAAGGCAAATCGAGTGAGTTAAGAGTAATGATATGGCTGCTGAACTCATGGGATGAGATTTTCATTGGAACAGAAAACCAAGATGAAATATACTGGTTTATATTATGGTTCACAGGGATTAAGGTTGATGACAATCCTAGAATAGCTGAAACTATAACGGTTGAAAATACAGAACAATATCAGGTGTGGGGTCCTAGAATTACGCTAGAGAAGGAAAGTAGACCTCACAGACATTTTTTAATTCAACTACCAAACTCCGCTAAACAACCAAAGGTCAAAAAAAGGACCATTCAAACCATTCGAGACATATCAAATAGCAAGACCATAAATGATATACTTTATAAGGCCTTAGATCTTCTTGAAAAACGTGATACATATTCAATCGATGTGATATTAAAATGGGCATTCACGCTTTTGAGAATTGGAAAAGATCTTAAATCGAACAATCAATATGAGGACTTTATACAAGCACTGAAAAATACCTTCTATCTTTCAAAGAATTCTGTTAAATTTGACTCTTATAAGATATATCTTCAGTATTTCAGGGAGATGATCACAGGAAATTTTGATTGGATTTTGGTTGGAGAAATATTTGACCTATCTTACATTTTTAATAATTTCACTGACAAATTTTTAGCAGTAAACACTAACAAGGACGAAGAAGACAGAGATTTTGGGAATACTTCCCTCGAAAAACTAAGTAAAAGAATAGGAACCTCGTTACCACATGAATATTCTGTAATATATGATTCATTTGACCTTCGTCTTTCTTTTGAAGCACTGACACATGTTATCCTTGACAGTAATTCCGAACTCAGATTTTCTATTCTATTAGACTATCTAACGAAATTAACACCCCAATCAATAATATCATGTCTTAAATTGTTGTTTAAGATATCTCCAAACAATAAGAAATCAACATTAAAAATTGAGAACTCACAATTAGAGCAACTGACTTCTTTAGTAGGCCAAAAGTTACTATCTAATCAATATAACACGTCAAACGCAACTATAGAATGTCTTTGCGATTATTTATTTATTATTGAAGAACATTGGTTATCTGATCCATCTAGTCACGTCTATTCAGACTGTAATGATATATTGAATTGGCTAATTATGCGTTTTGAAGATCAAACGTTCAGTGGGACGAACGCACTAAGACATCTAATCCTACTGTTTCTCAAAATACTCACTTACCCCAATCTCTCTCAAAATACTAGCAAGGGTACCAAACAACGAATATTTGAAATACTTATACAATGCCTACAAATATTAGATACTAATTCTATCATGTGTGTTGAGAATTCAATCATCGAATATATGAAGATCATTACATACAAAAATCAAAACATATTTTTGGCAGAGATGTTAAAAGTTTTTGATGTCCCACAACAGAGCATAGAGTTAGCAAGTTGTTATACACTGACGTTAACTCACATGTCTTCAATATCGTATTCAATCCTGGTAAAATCTCTATTGGATATGTTATCATATCATCAGTATCCTCACGTCGAATATTATACTCATTGTGCCCTTGAGACAATTTCCAAATCATGGAAAATGGAAAATCCTTTGGAATTATTTGAGATGTGTAAATTGGAATTGTTGTCTAATTGGGTAAAAGGAGTTGCAAAAGGTGGTTCAACATCCAATTATCAATGGGATATTACAGGATTTGGATTTGCTGACATTAATGACGTTTATATAAGGTATTTGAGGGAAATCAGTGCAATATACATATCTTCAGGGTCTAATTGTAAATACGTCCTTGATCGATTATTAGAAAATGGATTGAAGGATGAAGCCGATATATTAGCCAGAAGTCTATTCCTAGCTATTCCATTAGCTTTCATTGAAGATAATATAGGATCAGTAATATTTGATGTTGGTTCGCAGTTACTTGGTAGAAATATGCAAGTATATGAAAAGAAGGATTCTTTATTGACTTTTAAGACCTTTCTAAGATTACTGGACCTCGGTAGACCTGATGATTTAAATAATGCATTACAACTGTACTATCCTAATCCAAATAATTGGAATGAAGTTATCAAGAATGAGAACTCAACTACCCGTTATCAATTTCCATTTCACATTGATCTACTCTCTGGTGTGAAATTTATGCATTCATATTTTGCTGACTCAGATTTTGTTGGACCAGAAGTTTGTGAACAACTTCTATGGGCCGAATTGACCGAGTTAGAAAATTCAGAAACAGTGATAGAGAAGTTAAGGTGTTTACGTGAAATAAAAATTATATTATTTCATTTCAATGAGAATATATACCAGTGCGAAGGGTATCCTATTATTATCCAAAAAATTGCCCAAAACATTACCAATGAAAATTTACTATTTGACATTATCCCTTTGCTACAATTGCTATTTACTAATGGGGAGAGAACTGTAGTGCACAGTAAAAAATCAGTTTCTACAATATTCCTTCAATTTATTAGATTGAAGCTACATATTAATATGTATTTTGGTTATGAAATTACCAATTTACTATGCGAAATTTCTGCCTCTCTAAATCAAAGTAATTCCCCATTATGGTTAATATGCATAGAATATATTAAGGGGAACGATGTACAGATGGATTATAATATTATAAGTGAATTATTAAATAATAAACTCTACTGCCAGGATGATCTGCTAATTATATCCGTATTGTTGAGTGACACAACTAAGGTACATCTCAACGAATCTCACTTCAAATTATCAGAGATTGGTTTATCCAGATTAATAACCACTCAAATAGATATTCCGGAAATATCGAAACGGTTTGCCCTTCTAAAAGCCTTATTTATAAAAATTCAGCATGAAACGAACATTTTTATTCCAAGAGTACATGAAAAAGGAACAATTATCATAGAGTGTAAAAACCTGTTCATGAGTTCCAATCCATTAAAGATTTTCTATGATGATTTTCTGAACTTTAACAGTATCCTGGACTCTAAAAACGATAGCAATAGAACATTTCTTTTAAGTCGTACGATATTGAATTTCTTGATAAGTTCCATAGGATCTAATAAAACTATGGAGAATACAAAAATTAAATTAAGAGATTTTCCAGATAAATTGAGCAAGACCCAGGAACTAATATATGATGTCATGACTCCTCACTGGAGGCCACATCTAAATATCAATGACTTTGTTTTAGATTCAAAAAAATATATCAGCCTTAATTCCGATTTATGGCAGACATTATTTCTATCTGCATTATTGCAATCAATATCATTCACAGTTCCTATAATTTCAATATTCAATCCTTTGATCAAAGAATCTCAACACTATCGTGAAAAAACTTTTAATACCATAATAATCCTTTCGTTATTCTATGAACCCAAAGGATTCATAGAATGGTATCCTGCACTAATAACTACTGTAATGAATAGTAAATATGTTCATGATAGTGAAACTAAACTAAAGTTAATTCTCTCAACAATTTCTATTATAAGGTATGGCTGTAAACTTCACAACAAATGTTGTATAAAAATATTTCAAAAACTAAACATATCGCGATTATGTTTTCTAACTATCGATGCCAAAATGCCGACATTAGGTCTGATGTTATACGAAGAAATGTATATTGGCAACAATATTGAATTTGACCAAATTCTTTTATCAAAACTGTTCGACAACATTGGCGACAGAGACTTCCAATCTGGTATGCCTCCGGCTCATTCTTTAATGGATGCATTTAATTCAACAATTAAGCTGGACTATAACCCATGGAAAAGTTTCGTATTTTCAAATGCCAAATTTGATGCAAACTATAAATTACCTAACTCGGATGATTTAATTATGTTAAAGACAGCTACTGAAAGGAATGGCTTTTATGGTATCACAAAGTTGATAGATAATGGGGATTCATTGCACGAACTACACAAAAATTTCGACTGGAATTTTCAACTTGGTAATTGGGATCTGCCATTTCCGGAAAAGATAAATAATGTTTCAAAGGGATTATATTCTACTCTGAAACATGTCAACAAGGAACATAGTTCTGTTACTTTTGCTTTGCAGGAGTCATTACTTCACGTTATGAATTCTCAAAAGAATTTTGAAAAAACTGAAGATTGGTTGGGTCTTATTACAGAGATAGGTAAGTTGATTGATATAGCCCATAGTTTAAAACTTCCAATGGATTTAGGACAAACCATAGGTAAAATTCTCAAAGAATCAAACAAATCACAACAGTGTGTCGACTTGGATAATCGCAGGATGTTTCTACAAAGCAGATATTATTTTTTGTCAGCAATATCATCCAACACAAAATTGGCGACCCAATATAATCCTATTACACTGAATCTAGCAAGCACCATCATGCTTAAGGATCAAATAAAATTTTCAATTAAAAACCATAAATTACAAGATTCACTCAGAAACGCATTTATTTTGATATCTTTAAACAAGCATTCTCAAGATTTATCATTAGATAATAATTTTAGTGATTACTCATCACGTTTGGTATCATTTTTATCTGCGATTACCCTATGGGAGTCTGATGACTACAAAACTCCTATAATGATGATGAATGACATATTAAAGACTGCAGATCCTGAAGTTAGAACAAATAATTCAAAATATAAAACGCTTGTTAATTTACTAGGTGTAGAAAATGGTATCGTTTTGGGTTATCTGGTAAAATGGTGCTCTGAATCAAGAATGGAGTCTCCTAATGAAATATACAATAAATATATATCAGGTAAAACCATCGATGTGGAAGAAAGTGATCTTCGAGCAAGAACATTTCGAATATTTGGAGATTTCCTAAATAACCAAATTAAGAAACTACTTGCAAGTGAAGAAATTGAAAAATACCAAGAGAGGAGTACCACAGGAAAGCATACTTTAGAAACACTAACATTAATTTCACAGAGCCAAACAGTTCCAGAAAAAGAGCGAAAAGATGCAAAGCGACATATTTTCAAAGCTCAGTTACAATATGATAGAGATAAAGCCCGATTAAATGATTTAGAACAGCTACGTGATGAGTTTACATATGAATCATTAAATTTCTACATGAAAACATTAATATCTACAAATATTTATGATTCAGATGTGATGGATAAGTTTTGTGCATTATGGTTTGAAAACGCAAACAACGTACCACTTAACCAAAAATTAATGGAAAATATTAGTGGAATTCCAAGTTGGAAGTTTATACCGTGGGTTAATCAAATATCTTCAAAATTAAATAACGATAATTCGGCATTCCAAAAACCGTTACAATTAACCATGAAAAGATTATTGTATAAACTACCATACGAGTCAATTTACTCCACTATTAGTATTAAACTTTACCAGTATTACACCATTGGTTCTAATGCAGCTATAGCGGGGAAGATTACAGCTGTAAAGAATATATTTGAGAGTTTACAATCATTTGATTCCGGCAATTACTACAGTAAATATGTTCTTCCTGTGGAAGAATTCTGCCAGAAATCTGTTGAATTAGCAAGCTTTAAAGTCAAGGAAGCGTCTAAAATAATCAACCTGAAGAATTTGAAAATAGGCGATTATTGGCTGAATAAACTACCTATTAGTAAAATACCACTTCCAACTGACCATATTGTTATCGGAAGTTCTGAAGACGGAAAGAAAGACCGACCATATATTGTGTCCGTAACGGAAGATATCCAAGTCACATCGACAGGTATTTCATTACCAAAAATTGTAAAATTTAAGATGTCTAATGGACTTACAAAACAGGTATTAATGAAGGGAAGTAATGACGACTTGAGACAAGATGCCATTATGGAGCAAGTATTTACTCAAGTTAATAATATTTTGATCCAAAATGAGGAACTTTCGAAATCCAATCTCAGAATTCGTACATATAAAGTTATACCATTAGGTCCAAGGGCTGGGATAATTGAATTTGTAAATAATTCAATTAGTTTACATCAGGTTCTAAAGGAGTATCATAAAGATGACAAGATAAAATTCGACGATGCAAGAAGAGCAATGAAAGCTGTTCAGAATAAAACGAATTCAGAAAGATTGAAGACATACAATAAAATAGTTTCTATAGTTGAGCCTCAACTACGGATGTTTTTCTTTGAGAATTTCGTAGATTATAACGAATGGTTTGAAGCTAAAAAATGTTACACAAGAGGTATTGCCACAAATTCCATTGTCGGTTATATTCTTGGTTTAGGTGATAGACACTTAAACAATATTTTACTTGATTCTGCTACTGGTGAACCAATCCATATCGATCTTGGTATTGCATTTGATCAAGGAAAATTATTAACCATTCCTGAGCTAGTACCATTTAGACTCACACGAGATATAGTTGATGGGTTTGGAATCACAGGTGTTGATGGACTGTTTAAGAGAAGTTGTGAAAGAGTGTATACTGCATTGAGAAAGGACTCCGAGAAAGTGATGTGTGTTTTGAATGTTTTGAAATGGGATCCCTTATATTCCTGGGTAATCTCGCCGGTGGCAAAACATAAACATATCTTGGAAGACGACACTGAGATGGAAGATAATTCTAATCTTGCACAGAAGACTAATAAAGAAATTAAACAAGTCGAAGATAATAATGATAACCAAGAATCTAATAGAGCATTGAAAGGTGTTGAAGAGAAATTGAACGGGGATGGCTTAAGAGTAGAGGCTACGATTGAGGGATTAATCCAGGATGCTATCAATCCTGAAAAATTATCTATCATATATATGGGATGGTCACCATTCTATTAATGAAATAACAAAGATATGTATTTAATGTTACATAATTATTATGTTTTCTACAGAATATGTGACATTCCAATTAGTTATTGAAGCGACATAAAAAACCCAGAAGTCGTATAGGATGGTGCAAAAAGAGAAAACATCATTAATTTCCTAGATATTTACATACTAATGTATATAGGAATATATAGAAATCTTTTAAATATTTTTTTTTAATAATCGTAATGCAAAGAAAATCAAATAGTAGCAACTCGAAGACTAAACCAAAAAAANGAAAATCAAATAGTAGCAACTCGAAGACTAAACAAAAAAAAAAAAAAAATACAACAACATGTCATTTTTTGTTAATGAGATGCACCCATGAATAATGTAGCTGACAACGAAGTGATCATGACAAATATACCCCATATAATCAATCCTAATGCTGCATATTTCAAAAATTTGTCAAACTTAGAGAGTGGTTCCTGTTCAGACTCGCCACTATCATTGGTATGTTCTGAACCAATCAATTTATATCCGAATGTTCCCGGTAATATAAATGAGATAGAGGTTGAACCTGTAGCACCCACAATGGAAAGAACTCTTGCCAACTCTGAGACTAAGATTGCCACTAAGTAGGATGCGAGAAGAATACAAGTTGTAATTATAACAAACCGCCTTCCTGTCAATGGTACAACTTGAGGTTCCTCTACGGATTCCTCTACTACCAGTTCTTCTGCTAATAACGTTTCCTCCTCAGCTACAGTTAGTTCACTTGTCTCTAAATTAATAGAATTGTTATCTTCTTCTATATCAACCGCCTTTCTTGCTTGTTCCCAATAATGCATAATATGATGTATAGAGGCTCTAGCAGGATGACATTGTAGAGGAAATGCAAATGTCACTAACAATACAATAGCGACTCTCCCGATGGTAGAAGAAAGTGATAAAGGATACAGAGTAATAATATTCCCAACGATATTATCTCCAAAAGTGAGATACCCTGCTGATCCAATCAAGAAATATAGAATATAAGCTAATAACATGGATGACATCGCAATATATTTGACGCTCTTAAACGAATTATCCTTTTGTTCATTAATTACTGAGAACATATTATGATGACATGTATAAGCAAATATGAAAATAGGCAAAGTTGTCAAAGGTGAAGGTTCCCCTGTAGGAAACCCATACGAGACGTTCCCTTTCAAATTCGTAATATCTTCCGATGGGAACAAGAAATGGAAAAGCACCAAAACACAAAGGTATGCTACTGATGACATTGCTACCATTGAAGCATATCTTAAAGAATTTAACCGTTTCATGAAACATAATGGAGCAATGACAAATATCATTATTAGAGTAATATTAAAATTTCTATCTAGCAACAGCGAATTCCTAGTGAAGACAAATAGAATCAAGGGGAGAAGATCACCTACTACAATAATGTATGATATACCAACACCAAAACATTTGATTGCGATGGCTAAATCGAACATGATACTTAAATTTGGATTAATCAATTGAGCGAGGCTGAAAAAGGATGCATTCTGATTCTTTGCATATTGGGCGACTCTAGCCTGTAATAGTAGACCAATAGCAGAACATAATCCACATAATGTAAGGATAAATATACCTGGGAACCAACCAAAGGGCCTAAATCCATAGGGCATCGCCAGGATACCTGCACCGCATGCCGTATGAAGCAACGTAACCACACCGGACTTCCTTGAGGCTGCCATAGTAAGTATATATATAGATATTGGGGACGACTGGATGTACCTTCAGAGTATTACTTCAACAAACAAACTGTAGTCTTAGACGCTGTTACAAAACGTAATAGCACTAACCGTTGCTGAAATAGCGACTCGTGTTTTAATGGCTGTTTGTAAAATTGGGGCCTGAATCTTCTCTCTTTCTAAATTTACGATTTACGATTTTTGATTTGGGCAATTTTGGGCCGTCCGAGCACAGAACCAGCCGTACAAATGCATTTATCATCCATGGTTGGCCTGGCAGCACCATGCCTTGGCTTGACTGTTTGCCATAATAGAACCGTTTACACAAGAGGACTGGATTGATAAACGACAACAGAGACTCGTTCGTTCTATGATGGTGGAGTAGCAGCTGATGTATGCCATACCGTATTGCAAAACTGAGAAATGGCAACCTCTTTCCCTATTGCCAACCATGGCCTTGCTAGTGCACCGTTCAACTACACAAACAGTAGTCGCAGTACTAACAGGGAACAACCACGTGAATATCACGTGGATATCACGTGAATACCATGCGACTAGGTCAGGCGATGTTCACGTGATTGTCGTATTAAACGACTGCTGGCTCAGCCTCCAGAAAATGGACATCACTGTCGACGACGAACAAGGTGGCAGTTTTCGTCTTTCAGAAATTTTGAAATTTTAAAGTTGCACAATCTAAGCAGCTTTTGGGAAGTAAACAAAGGAGTTGTGGCCTAAGGGTTGATTTAGTAGATGGTGGTGCCTTACAAGGCCGTTGCAGGGAGAAAAAGAGGAGACCATTGGGAATTGATTTATTTGAATAAACTATTGATCAGGAAGTTAATTCAAAGGTACCTTTTTATTTGTTTTGTTTGTTTGCGTTACATCAATTGACTCGATTACAATATTTGTTATTTGAATCGAACCAAAGAAAAAACAACGAACAACTGTGGAAATTGGATTATTTTAGAATAAATAATATAACTTAGCCAAAAAGAAGGTGAATCGTTCCTATTTTTTTCAACGTGCATTACATTTCTTTTCTTCATTTATAGACCCACACAATTACATACTAGATACAGATATACGAATCGAGAACCATGTCAACCATTAAGATTGAACCAGAAACGTTATCGTTCACTGCTCCATTGACTGCGGAATCCACAGACTATATTGAAATCACTAACGATAGTGATGAAGTATTTGCATTTAAAGTCAAGACTACTGCTCCAAAACTCTACTGTGTCAGACCTACTGCTGGGAAAGTTTCTCCTGGTGAAATGATGAAGATAGAAATAATATTTTTGGGTCTGACTGAAGAACCACCAAAGGATAGTAAATGTAAGGATAAATTCCTTGTATTGACATTGCCAGCTCCTTACGATCTGGATGGTAAGAGTGTCCCTGAACTTTGGAGTAGTCTAGAGGCCGAATTCAAGAAGGATATGGTCTCTAAGAAGATTAAAGTTAAATATTCCGAAGCTTCGACTCCAGCTACTACTTCTACCCCAGAAGTTATTGCTCCAGTTCCTGTCCCTGCTGAACAAAAACCTATTGTACCAGAAATTCCAGAGGAACCTGTTGTAGAAGAAGTCAAGCAAACTGTTCCAGAGACCAAGAAGGAAATTGCTACCCCTGTTAAAGCTCCGGTCGAAACTCCTGTTACTGCTATCCCAGCCGCTGTTCCAGCCGCTGTTCCAGCCGCTGTTGCTGCTGCTCCAGTTGAGACTGCTACTGATGAGAAATCCTCAACCCCTGTAGTCAATTACGACGTTCCTCTTGCTAAAGGCCAACAAACAGACTCTACCACCAGCAATTCCAACATACTATTGTTAATTGCTATTGTAATTTTCCTCCTAGCATGGTTATACTACTAAAACAACAACATAATAAACATACATATATATTAAGTAAAGAAAAACAATAAACAAATTGAAATAGAACTATAATCTTTTTTTTTTTTTTTT